CAAGAGGCTCCGTTCTTTGGATCTCTCAGGCAACCATGTTTCAGCCACAAACAAAAGTTCTGTTTCAGATCTTCCTTCGCAGTTGATGATAGGGATTTTGTACTTGTCAGGGTGCGGTATCACCGATTTTCCAGAGATCCTAAGAACACAATACGAATTGTCGTTTCTAGACATTTCCAACAACAAAATCAAAGGTCAAGTTCCTCGCTGGTTATGGACGCTACCAAACTTGTTCTACGTGAATCTTTCCAACAACACTTTCCTCGGTTTTGAAAGCTCATCGAAGAACCACTCTGTCCGGAAACCATTTATGAGGCACTTGTTTGGCTCCAACAACAACTTCACGGGCAAGATTCCTTCTTTTATATGCGAGTTGCGTTTTCTAAGAACTCTCGATTTATCAGACAACAACTTTAGTGGTTCAATCCCTCATTGTATGGGAAATCTCAAGAGTAATCTTTCAGTTCTGAACCTTCGTCAAAATAATCTGAGTGGAGGTCTTCCAACGCATATATTTGAAAGGCTAAGGTCGCTTGACGTTGGTAATAACCAACTGGTGGGAGAGCTTCCAAGATCTTTGATCCGTTTCACTACTCTTGAAGTTTTGAACGTGGAAAGCAACAGAATCAACGACACATTTCCGTTCTGGTTAAGTTCTTTACAAAAGTTGCAAGTTCTTGTCCTTCGCTCCAACGCATTCCACGGACCAATACATCAAGTTTCGTTCCCTAAGTTACGAATCATCGACATATCGCATAATCACTTCAATGGAACTTTGCCATCAGATTATTTTGTGAAGTGGAGTGCTATGTCATCACTTCGAAAAAATGAAGACCAGGCTAACGAAAACTACATGGGATCAAGAAGTTACTACCAAGATTCAATGGTTTTGATGAATAAAGGTTTAGCGATGGAGCTGGTACGTATCCTAACAATCTACACAGCACTCGACTTTTCGGGAAACAAATTTGAAGGAGAGATTCCAAAGTCCATCGGTCTATTGAAAGAGCTTCGTGTGCTCAACTTATCAAACAATGCATTCACTGGGCGCATCCCTTCATCGATGGGGAACCTGACAGTTCTCGAGTCATTGGACGTTTCCCAAAACAAGCTTTCAGGAGAAATTCCACAAGAGCTAGGGAACCTCTCCTTCCTTGCGTACATGAAATTCTCTCATAACCAGCTTTCAGGCCTAGTACCAGGGGGCACTCAGTTTCGAAGGCAAAACTGCTCTGCCTTTGAGAATAACCTGGGACTTTTTGGCCCTTCTCTTGACGAAGTTTGCAGAGATAAACATACGCCAGCATCGCAACAGAACGAAACGCCGGAATCAGAGGAAGAAGACAAAGAGGTGGTGAGTTGGATAGCTGCTGCAATAGGATTCATACCTGGTATTGCCTTGGGTTTAACGATTGGATACATACTCGTTTCCTACAAACCAGAGTGGTTCATGAACCCTTTTGGCCTAAACAATCGTAGACGCAGAAACACCACCACACACTAGAGAGGTAAATGTTTCTGACTTTTAAACGGATTTGTTAGTTTTCATCAGAATGAAAAAAACTTTTAACAACTATTTCGTTATTATAGGCTTAGAACCTGTCTGAAGTTTTTGGACGAGGAAAGTCAAAGTAACCGGATGCAGGACGTCAACCAACCTCTCTTTTAGCCAAATATGTCCAAATCCAGATCGGTTTAGATTTTGGTTCGTGTTTTCTCTTTTTACTCTGTTTTAGCCAACTTTGTAAATGAACAACTCTGTTTTGGACGAGGAAAGTCAAAGTAACCTAAAGTTGTTTTTTCCGCGAGTTTTATTGTTATCATTTCTTTTCCTATTTGACTCTCGTATCTACAAATGTACAGTAAAACCTCTATAAATTAATACTCTATAAATTAATAACCTCTCTAAATTAATAAATTCTTCCGGTCCCGAGTTGGGACCAGTGTAAAATATGACATAAATCGATAAATTAATAAGATAATAATTTTTTTGAAAATTCTATTTAAACATATGGTCCCATTTATATTATAAATTAATAATTGTATAAACTTATCAATATATATATATATATATATGTATATTTAACTTAATATATATATATGTCATATATGAAATACTATGATATATATTTAAAATATTATATGTAATAATTTAATGAAATATGATTCTATTATTCAAAAAAAGTTTGTATTGTTTTTTAAACTTAATAATTATTTCTCTACTTGCAATTGATTTAAAAAAGATATTGCTTATAAAGAAAAAATTTATTTTTAGATAGAAATTTTTTTAAAAATTATAAAATTAGTAAAATCTCTCTATAAATTAATAATTATTAATTTATCGATAAATTAATACCTCTCTAAATTAATAAAATTTCATGGTCCCAATATTATTAATTTATAGAGGTTTTACTGTATGTCTATTTGTTCGTAGCAATTAAGACACATAAATACAGAGCAACTATAGAATTTGGGAATACTTTTTTTTTTAATCAAAAATCCATTTACATTACTACATTTTGTATACTAAATCTTTACATGGATATAGTCGCTGACAGTTGTGTGTTGTTCCTTATTTTACACCAACCTCTTTTATTCTCCAAATTTTCAAGAAATTTACAACGAGTATGGACAAGTGTATTTTGATGATGAGTTTTTGGGTTTTTTGGTATGGCTTAAGGAGAGGAAGCTCTGTGAACTACTATAAAAGATTAGGCAAGCCTCTGATATTATAATCTATATTGGAAAAGGAATGGAAAGCATTATTACATTTTAGTGTTAATTTACGATATGACAAGATAAGAAGATTTGTTAAGTTGCTATTAGCAATTTCTTGAAATTATTACTAGTTTTGTACATGTGTACTAAGGTTAAGAGATTACAAGATTCTTTGGATTTGTAGTTAAGTTGTTATCATCATTTTGTGTACTCATTCACAAAGGTTAAAAGATTACAGGATTCTTTGGATTTGTAGTTAAGTTTTAATTGTCATTTTGTGTACTCATCATTATAAGGATAAGATTTTAAGATCCTTAACATTTTTGAATGTTAGATTTAAGAAAAGAACTTTAAGTTTTGCGTTGATTTTTTCTTGTTTATTGGTATATTCGCAACCATAATGAATGATGAGTAGAAGAGGAAGCCAAAGAAAGAAGAGAAAAATGGATTGTGAAGGGGACGGTGGTGGTGGTGGTGGTGGTGGGCTTCTCATTCTCTCACTTTTCTTGTCAAATGTCTTGTCTTCTCCATTTCCACACTCCAATTTTATATGCTACCTGTGATTTATTTATTTATTTATTTATTATTCGACTTTTTTTACTTCCCTCAAAAGTATGCATTATCTACAATAAGAACCAAAAATGCTATAAGCTCAAAATTCTATTTTGTTTTAAGCATCATCACCCACTTTGTAAGAAAATTCCACTTGGATTTGGAGCAATGTGAAATCTATTTTGTATTTTCCTTGATTGACTTGTTTCATCTAATCCAAAGTCTTGCTTCTCTTTTTTTTTTTTTTTTTTTTTTGATGATGTACACAATCTCAAAAGAGAAAATTAGCTTATTGGTTACTTTTACCCTCTCTATCTCTATAGTACGTTATCCTTTGATTTTTCAACACTATACTCAAATCTCATTACCAAAATCTCAAAGATAAACCATCTATGGTATATGATTATGATTTATGGACTCGAACTGACGACCAATCATGTAATTAGCAAGGAAAAGCTCAAGCCAACACAAATGATGAATAGGCCCATGCCTTGTCCCATTTGTTCCCTTCTCTCTATTACTTTCAAAAACACTCTTCTTCACATAAAGTTAAAAGAGTCTTATTTATATATAAAGGAAGCACGAGATAAAACTTGGAAAAAACGAGAGCCTAACATTTACCACCAAACAATCAAAACAAACAAAAAAAGTTTGAGATGAGAGGGCATGAGCCACGATCAAGCTCATCTTGTGCAGCCTGCAAGCTCTTGAAGAGACGATGTACACCCACTTGCATTTTCGCTCCTTATTTCCGCTCAAGTGACTTGATAACTTTTGCCAAAGTCCATAAAGTCTTTGGAGCCAGCAACGTCAGTAAGCTTCTCGGTGAGGTCCCTGAAGAACAGAGACAAGAAACCGTTAAATCCTTGGCTTATGAAGCTGAGGTTCGTCTCAAGGACCCTGTTTACGGTTGCATAGGAGCCATAGCGTCTCTGCAGAAGAAGATGCTCGAGCTTCAACATGATCTAGCCGTTGCTCGCACTCGACTACTTGCCCATTCTGGGGTCACCAACCAAGTGTCCCCTTTGGATGATTCTCCTGAGCTTGCTGCTTTTCTTGATCTTGTACCTTATAGTGACTTGATGTTGCTTGATGGGTCTACTAGTCTTGATGCTTACTTGTATGATCTTGGACAGCCTCCTTTTGTATAGGCCTTATCTCTCTATCATATATCTCTTTATCAGTTGTATTCGCACTTTGCTTCACAAGTTATCTTCGACACTCTAAAGTCTGTCCCTAATGTATGAATTCCAGTATGCAAAATCAGATGCTTACTTCATTATTTGTATGAAAAAGGGTTTAACTTCAAAAGTAACCATCACATGCGATGAGATAACCTCAGGTACATGTATGAGCCTTGGAAGGTCAGAGTCCTTACCAATTTTGTACCAAGTGGTAGGCCAAGGCAAGCAAAGTGAGGTTTTTTAGATGAAGAGCTTCTTTGTGAGTCAGGTCTGAATAGGAGAGCACATGCTTATGTCAGCCCCAAATTCTACCAAACATGAAACATTGATAGATATGCTTCTGTGATGTTCTTTTTTGAGGCTCCAATAATACAGCCTCATGTGTCAACTCGTCTCCCTCAGGCCACAAGAGTCATGTCCTGGAGATTCCAGAGTGCTGCAAAGTCACATAAGCAAACATCCAAATCAATAGCTTGGTGGGTTTGATCAAACTCCAAACTGAATTATGAATGACTGTGATAAGAGTTCTCTCAGATGGGCTCTACGCATCTTGTTAAGTCTGTAGGCATTCCTGAAACCTGATTAAGCAAAAGACTAATTGCAGATCACAAAATGAGATATGAGCACTCTTTGGAACTGCAGGCAGTGATACACAAACCATCATACATTGATACTTCACAAAAGTACATCTTGATATGTCAGATACTATGAGAGTTCTTTCGGTAATCCGCATTGCTACTACCAATGTGCTCTACAATGCTAAAGAAGAAAAATGAAAAAGAAGAAGAAAAAGCATCGCTATAACTTAAGAAAACCTAAAGATTAATAATAATAACATCTTCTCCAATTCGTATGAGCTTTAAATCCAACCATTGCTCCTTGCTTCATCACAGTAACTCCTCCACAATCTATAATCCTACAACTTCTTACCTGTACAACAACAAAGCACAACTGAACTTTCAGTAAACTCATCAATCACACGATGAATAAAGAGTATAATGCCCCCAAAGTTTCATCTCAAGATACAGTTCCAAATTCACAAATTGAAAGCACATAAAAATGAAAACTTTACCTGAAGCAGCTCTTCGTTTCCCAAGTTTAGATTTCTCAAGCTCCAATTGCATCTCCATCAACATATTCATTCGTTGTAACTCAAGCTCCTTTGCAACTTCCATTCTCTGTTTCTCCAATTCAATCATCATCTGCTGCTTCTTACCCTCAATTCTTTCAAACGCTTCCCCTAACTTCAGAATCGATCTCGCTAATTCCCTAAAGGCTGATCCTTCACTCGGATCTACATCTTCAACTTTACGATGCTTCCTCACCACAAATCCCCAATCACCCGCATCATCATCATCTTCTTCGTCGTCATCATCATCATCGTCGTCAAGAGAGCTTCCAGTGGATTTAGATCCAGTAGGAATTCAAATTAGGGTTCATCAACGCCGATTTAACAACTCCACCGGACGATTTCTTCATAACCGGACCGATTAAGAAATCAAGTCTATCAAAGAAGCACCAATTCGATAAAGGTTTCGCCTTTTCAGTTTTGTACTTCTTCTTCAACGTATCGATCCGGTTTTTGCACTGCACGTCGGTCTTTGGCCGGCCATTCCCGTGGCTAGAATTAACGGCGTCAGGCGACTTCTTTCCAATCGTTTTGCCGGAGATTTCCACGGTTAAGATTGACGTAACGATCTCCCCAAGCTTCGATCAATGTCGCCGTCGCGTCTTCGCTCCACCAATCCTCTCTTCCCGCCGGTACACGGTTAGACCCGCTTTGGTGAGTCTTGGACTGAGTCTCCGGCGTCGTCTCCATCTCGGAGGGGGAGGAGAGGAGGCTAACGTGCGCGGTGGAGAATGAGGCTTAGGATAAGAATTTCTGTTGGATCGGATTTTTGGTAAAGTTAAAGAGAAATTACGGTTAAAGGAAAGATTTTGATTACCGGCGGTGACGTCAGCAACGGCGATTATCTTCTTTCTCCTACCTTTCTTTTTTTTTCCTCTGCTAACCGATTCAATCACTCATACCTGACTCCGGTTATTGAAAACCGGTTTAGTCATAAATTTGAGTCCTACTAGTACTAGACTACTAGTAATGTATGGTCAATGTCAATTGTCAAGCTTCTTTTAATGCGTTTCTACTAGTAATGATGATAGATTACATTATTAAACTCATAAACTGATTGATAATAACGTTTAAGTGGTTTGGAAAAATGATTAGAGCTAGAATGTCATCAGTTCATGTCATTATAGTTACAAGTCTTTAAACGTATATTTTTGTGTATTCTAGGAAAGAATACAAAAAATGAGGTTATATTAGTTTTGATAGTAGTTTCTTTATGTCATAATTGGAAAGAAGTGTTATAGAATAATAAGAAAATTTGTATGTTTTATGTATTCAAGTAACTAGATCATATAGCGTTACGCTGTAACAAATTGGAGTTTGGAAGTGAAAAATGGTGGGATGTAATTAAGGAAAATAGGTGAGTAGGCAAAGTGTTAGGTAAGAACATCCCAAACGTGTTAGGTCGTAGACTAATATTGTATCGTATGTTTCGTGCCGTGTGATCTTGTCTAATTGTCTTTTTGCTGCCTCACCAATTGATATATATGTTTTCACCAATTGATAACAATGGCTGCAATGTAATGGTTTTTACGATTAATGCAACCATCCGTAATATATGTATGCAATAGTGGAAGAACCAAATCATATTCATCAATACAGCACGTCGTTGTAGCTAGTATAGAATAAAGAGTTCAAAGGAAAAGGAACGTTATGAACTTAATTATGATCAAATTTACATTATGGCTTTTCTATCGACAGGCTTCCATATTAATGCTTTTGAATCTTTCATGCAATCGATCTAATGTTACTCTTAGAACACGTTACATTTAGAGAGCCCTTACATTTATATCATATATATCAGTATATCACATCCTGCTACTAAGTAATCGAGTTAATAGTGGTCGAGTATATACGTCGTGAAGCAATTAAAAATGACAAAATGTAGCCAATTTTGTTTTCAAGCATAATATATAACAATGCTACTTTTATTTTCTTTTGTTATGTTGCTACTGGCTTCGTACTTGCCAGTTGCTACCATATCTGGATATTGAGAAACATACAAACGTGCATGTTGCCTAATAGTATAGTCTTTAATATTGTTCCGAAATTAATTAAGAAAAATACAAACAATCTAAAAAGTTTTAAAAATCCAACTTTCCTCCAAACTTGGCTCTTACTTGTGGAAGCTGTTTAACTCAAATAAATATTCTCTTTCTGTTATTTCTATTGAAATTATCAACACATATAATCACGTGAGAGACGTTAACTGTATCTATACTAGTATTTTTGCAACACTTTGGTGACGGATGGGTAAAAATACTTCTGGATTAATCGGATATCCGACCCATTTTTTAAATTCTTTCAAAAAAAATTTGTTGGGTCGGGTTATATTTAACCCAACTCATACACCGGATATTTTATATTTAATAATTTAGATATTTAGAAGATTTGATTAAGATTTAGAATTATGATTCTCCTATCATCTTTGTTTGATTTGTTTCTAACCGTTTTGAATCATCATATATTACATAAAGTAAAAAAAAAATCAATTTTTTTTTCTGCATATACTGTGATTCAAAATTTTAAAAACGGACATATATTATCCAATTGACGAAAATGTGTGTTCAACGTTCTACATCGATTAAAATAGTTAGACAATGATTCAGAATCATATCATAAATAAGATCAACATTAATAAAATAAATGAGTTTTTTGGCCGGACGGGTTTGGCGTGACGGATTTTTGAATCAACAATAATAAAAAGATTAAAATATCATTAATCCGCCGCTTCAATACGGATTAAATCCTTATTTTTTTTAATACCACCAATATTAGACATATTAAATTAGTGTCATTTAGAAAAGATTGTATAAAACCAAAAATTGTCCCGTGGTATAATGTTACTTAATAAAAATATTTATAAAATTTTAAAATATCATTAACATGCCGCTTTAATACATATTAAATCTTCAGTTTATTAAAATATAAATGTCTTAGAGAATGATATGATTTGTAAACTTTTATATATAATAAATAATCATTAAATTTTAAAATAAAAACAAATCACGGGACGGGTTAAGAAATTACGGAACGAGTTATATTTCGGAAAGGATTTATATGGCAGACGAATTTGAATCAATATTTATATACCGCTTTAATACGGGTTAAATCCTCAATTTATTAATAATTGTCTCGTGGACTCGTGGTATACCGTTACTTAATAACAATTGTAAACTATAATATAAATAAATATGTTATAACGAGATACAATTTACAAAATATTTTTATACTAACTTTAAAATTAAATCATCCCGCGGTACACCGCGGGTTAAAATCTAGTACTATATTACATCACACCGTGTTCACAATCAACGGCCAGAATTAAGAAACAACCGATTGCAAACCGGAACATGACGTCATCTTCACCGTCTCCACAAGCCTCGATGCTTTTGTACTGGCACGAGAACAAATACGACGACCGCACCTTCCAGATTCATGGCCGGACACTCTTCTTCGCCATGGCTCTATTCTCCGTCGTCCTCTTCTTCGCACTACTCACTCTCTACATCCACCGGAACTGCCTCCCCCGAGATTCTCTTAATCTCCACTCGCCCTCTCCTGATCAACGCACATGTTGTGCTAGTGGAGGGCTTGATCCGGCGACGATTCGGAGCTTGCCGGTGGTGCTTTGCAGGAGAGAAGCGGCGGAGGAGGAGGAGAATGAGTGTTGTATATGTCTAGGTGGTTTTGAAGAAGGAGAGAAGATGAAAGTGCTTCCTCCGTGTAGCCATTGTTATCACTGCGAATGTGTGGATAGGTGGCTTAAGACTGAGTCGAGTTGTCCGCTCTGCCGAGTCTCCATCCGAGTCGACTCGTCAAGCTAATGAGACAGCTAGAGTGATAGTGATTAAGATATTAATTTGTTTGTTTTGTAATTGGGTGGGTAAAGATTTATACATACTTGTGTTGCATGGACATGGATGGAGGATAATATTTTATACACACACGAATGGTCATGGTTTTTTCTTAAAATATTTTAATTTTCATATTCTGTCTTTATCATATTTTTTTTTTTTTTTTTAACTTATATTAAAAATCTCCTTAATGGGCTTGGGCCATAAGCCTTACAATTCAAAGGTACAGTTACAAAAAATTCATATTAATTCAAAGGTACAGTCCTTACAATTCATATTTCTGTCTTTTATCATTGATTGTGAAGTTTTATCACTTCATCTATATTTTAAACATACGATGATAGAAAGTTCTTGTGTAGATGTTATGGACTTATTAATTCAGGTAAATAACTAAATGATAAAGAAATGATATGTTATTTTGTTATATAGCATATGTGATACAGTTACATGGTAAAATTCTGTAGTATTTCTGTATAAATAACATGCTATTTTTTCTAAATCCATAATTTCAAATAAAATAACATGCTGTTTAAGTTAATAACATTTTATTTTATCAAACTCGCATGTACCAAACAAATGGAATGTATTTCGCAAATAATTTGTTATCTATAGTTTACTAACCTAATACTGTAATTTCTAAAAAAATTATGGTTATTTACTCTCTTTAAAAATGTAAAAATGAATTATACTATACTCTTCTACTGATCTAAAAGTTAATTACCACAAAGCTTGGCCAATAGGCAATAAAGAGAGAGAAAATCACAAAAAAAATATACAGTATTGGTTACAATTTAGAAAGGCATCAGTATGGGCTTTAATGGGCATACAATTAGTATCGACCGGCCCAACATTTGCAAAAGAGAAAACAAGTGTCTAGGGTTTTGCTTTGGTATAAAGAAGCAATATGAGTGAAACTAACAAAATCTTTCTGAATTCGCGGCCGCTCATTTTCCTGAAATTTGCATTAGAATCCGAGGAGTGAAGGGTTTATCTTCTGTGAATTCACCATGAGGGCTAAGGTGAGAAATGGGTTTATATCTGTTGTCATTTGTGGATTATCTCTAATTCTGAATAATTGTGGGTAAGAGATCTTAATGGTGGTGTTTTGGTGTTGTATCAGTGGAAGAAGAAGCGTATGAGGAGATTAAAGAGGAAGAGACGAAAGATGAGACAGCGATCTAAGTAGAGTTTCGAACAAACCTGGTTTTGTGTTTTCTTTTGTTTTTAAATCAACTCTGTTCTGAGTTTCAGTTTGAATGTATCGTTGGACCAAATTTAATGGAAGTTATGTTTTATTACATGGAAAAAATCAATCTTCTAATGTTGATGTTCTACAATCTGCTTTATTATAATTTTGAGATGCTCTTAAGTTAGATCATGGTGATTGTTTGGGGTGTTGATGATTGGGAATACAAAGGGAAGCAGTAGATTACTTAGTGGTCACACTTAGTTATGGATGCTTGTAGTTGGCTCATTTGTTTCCAGTCAGTAGTTGGCTTTGGTTTGCGTCCGATATATGATGCTGTGTGGATCTCTGATTGCAATCAACTAGGATTGCAATCAACTAGGATTGCAATGTGTTGTCATAATTTGAGAAGTCATCATATGAAAGAGGAGACGACTTGTTGGCTAATCATATGATCAAAAAATTAGTGTACCTTGGATTGAATGTCCCAATGTAAAAATTATGTTGTGCAAATATATTTTCTCTGTTAATGGGGAAACTAGAATACAAATTTTTGGTAATTGAATTGAGTTTTGAATTTTACCGAAGTGATTGTGGTTTATCTAACAAGATATTTCATACTTATCTAACAAGATATTTCATACAAGAGAAAGTGAAGTAAGACAATTTCATAACTCAAAAAAGGGTTCAAAATGTCGAAATTTAAGTGTGACATATAAACTGAGAGAGAGAAAGAACAACTCATGAGAGAATCTCAATGTAAAATGACAAGACTATTAAAGAAGTCTCCGCTGTTCTAGAGAAAAAATAGTAAAATGGCCTTCAACCAAAAATGACTCGCCTAAAAGAAAAGTAAGACCCCCAAAGAATATTACAAACGAAAGCAAGTTTATTATCCACACATATCCTATAAAACGAAACCAAAGAAGGAAACATTCTGACGAATTCCGGTCACTCCTGTAGTAGACAAATAACACCATGGGTGATTGCGCTACTATGAGTTTTCGATAACTTGAATGGATAGTTTTGTTCCAGTGGTCTTAGTAGCCGCCCATTGGAGGCATTCCATACGGTGGCATTGGAGGCATTCCTGGCATTCCGCCCATTGGTGGTGGCGGACCATACCCACCACCTCCCATTCCTGGCATCGGAGGGGCAGGTAGAGCCAATGGCAATAATTGGGCGTACATGTTCTGTTTAGGAAAAACAAAAAGGAGACATAAGTGTCTATTGATTTGTTTTTAAGCATTTTACGGGAATGATGTCTGAGTGTAGTACCTGTTGGGACATGACATCCTTCTCTTCCTGTTCTTTGGCCTTCACCTCTTTTTGTGCCTCCAGCTTGTCCTTGATAAGCTCATCCACTTTGCCAGAGTATTCTCGAATAAACTGTGAAGAAAAAAGACCCGATAAAGAGAATTGATCATAGCGTTCATATGGTTCCTATCTCATTTGGTAGAGTGTATTTGAGGGATTTGGAGGATAAATCACCTGGAGGAGATACGGGAAGGCAAAGTCTATCATATTGTTGATCCAAGCAAGTTCTAGAGCAACGTCTGGTCGGATTAAGTCATAACAGACAAAGAGACATGTAGCAAAGCATTCCTTTTTCCCCTGTAAAATCATCACAACATGCAACAAAGGGAATGTAAAGACCAATACTCTTTCTGTTTTACCATATACGGTAAAAAGTTGGAAAAAAAAACTAATGGCTTTCGACGTAATCCTGCCTGAAACCTATCCATACCTGTTCAATGAAGTAGACGAGAAGTTGTTCTGCAAGATCATGGTCGCCAGATTGCGAAGCAGTTTCCATACAGTCCTTGTACATGTTATCTTTCTTTGATAAAGCAATCGATTGCTTCCATCTACCAGCTTTCTTGTAGATATAAGCAGCCACACGTCTCATTTCGACAAGCTCGTGTTTCTCAATCTGTTTCGCACCATCCACATGAAGATAAATTAGTATATAAGGGAAAATATATATGTGTACTCGATAGATAGATTTAAACTCTTACCTTCTGGGCAAGACCTATCTGGTCAAAACTGTCATGCAAATCAATAGACTCGCGCAACCTGTCATAGTCTTCTTCTTCTACATATATCTCATTCAGAGCTTCATTTACAGCAGAGACATTATTGCTCTGAACTGCAACCATGTATGGCTTGATAAGCGCAAGTGACCAGCCTGAGATCGAAAACAAGAAAAAGTCATCAGAAATAGATTGTTAAGCCACTGCTGATAAGCTTTAACAGAAAATTTTAAATCAATGGTCAGCCTCTAACCTTGCGCATAATATCAACGACACGAGTGTGATCTAACCGCAGAGCAAGCACATTGAGAAGATCGTTGATTATATCAGGGTGCTCTTGCAAGTAGAAGTGAACGGCCTTATAGTAAAGCTCAACATTCGCAACCTTGGCAACAATGTCTTTGAATTGCATGTGCTCCCATGCTTCAGGAGAATGATTCATGACAGTGGTTGCAGCATTATCAAACTCATCATATTGAATGTAAAGATAGGTAAGTTCCTGCCAATGCTGTTGTTCATCACAGGCCCGGATAAGCTTGGGAATATTGAGGCGAGTCGAGAACAACTTGATGTGTTCCATAAGCTTCTCATAACGATATCTGGCGTACAGTACACCCAACTCGGTGAAGATCCCCATGTGAGCACGTTCCAGACCAAGTCCACTCTCCATAAGTGAGATCAATTCATTGAAGCATCCTCTGTTCTGGTAGTACTCGCTTACTTCTTCCAGGTCATCCACCTATTAAAGCACAAAAAGATTACAAAAAGCATACAAAATTGAAAATTGAAACCCAGTTATAACTAAAAACTTTATCGGGAACTAGGATCAGGTATTTATCCACCTGTATGATAATGTTAAGTCCACAGATTTGGGCCAGTCGGAATTCCTCAGCATCAACACAAGCAAAGCAGACTTCCTTCCATGTCTTTGCACTGTTTGCTTTCCTTGCAGCATCAACAGCACCTTGGAACTGTTGCAACTTCACAAGGGTGACGGCTAACTTGGCCCAATTCGATATGAATGCATATATTATCTTTGCAGCCTCATACAGAGCTTCATCATACAAGCGGTCACCAACATTTTGAAGGTTGGCAACGTTGGGCATCAGAATAAATTCTTCAATCTCACCCAACCTTTCAATCTTTGCATAAGCATAGATGAGCTCACTATCCACCTTGGGTTCCTTCACCTTCTGTCTAACCATCAGAAGGTATCTGACCAAGTCATCATAGACATTAGTATCTTCAGAGGCGCGGATGACCTCCAGGAACTGAGTGGCATCATCAGCTCGGATAAAGGACTCAATAGCATCACTGACTAGTCCGTCCCTGAGCTGAGCCTTAGCGACTTGACTCCAAACAGCATCTTCTTCGACCCGGAAAGCAAACTCAACAGCACGCTCAATGCTTCTGACGTTATCCAACAATACATTGACAGCCTGAACATTTAAGTTAAACTTCTTGAAAATCGCAAATGCTTCCTCATACAATTGAGCATCAACCGCCACTTCTCCAACAGCTGGACCATCAAAATTATCCAGCCTGTTAATGTAATCCATAACTCTAGACGGATCTGCCTTAATAGCTGTCAGTATAAGCAGATTTTGCAGATTGAAATTTCCACTGAAGGCAGAATTTTGAAGCACAATTTTTTCAAGAAGCTCAATAAGCTCATGCGGCAGATCAGCAGTCATGAATGCTTTAACAGCTGCAGAAACTTGCTCTGGGCTCTTGCTTTCAGGTAAAGCAGTAGACACAACTTGGTCGATAAGTTGCCTCCTATATTCATTTTCTTCCGTAAGAACCTTCTCCCAGAGGTCACCATCCATCCTCTCCACTACGTACCTGCAGTTGGAAAATCGTGTGTAAGCAGTCTACAAAGTAACCAGTGTGGAATAAGTAAGAAGTCTGGTAAGCAATAATCAAATACCTGGCTTGTAACTTAAACAAAGAGTTCTTGTTGGTGACATTGATGAGTTCCTCGTCACATTGTCCTCTTCTGTATGCCACAACGGCCAGAGTGGGATCACGTTTCTCGCAGTACTTACCCACAACCTTAGAGTCGTAGTAAGGATTGGTGGTCAGGAAATGCTCGGGGTTGTTGTTACTGTCTATGATAATTTTACCCAAGGCATTATGGACATGCACATCTTGGCTTCCCTCACTAACTAGATGCTCCAAGAACTGAGTAAGGAGACGGAGTCGATTTCTGAAAAAACATATACATATAAGAGCCTCAGGAACAAAAGAGCATACACATGAACGGAAACCCAGATGACTAAAAGGATCCGCACCTCTTTTCACATTCATCAACAAGGGGTTCAACAGGAAGTAATGAACGAACAGAAAGAATGAGGCCTTTTATAAAATCTTCAGGGCATTCGTCATCAAGCAACTGCCCCACAACTAAGGGAGCATTCCCAGGATTTACCTACAAAAGGGATCACATATATAATTATTTCATGAAAATCCTACCATATTTAACAATAGTCTAAAGAAACTACATACCTTCTGAACGTAACCTTCAATGTAACGCAGCATGTTGTTTGTGTAGAGGTAATGAGTAAGATCAGGCACAAAGCCAAAACGATCGCAGACATTTATCAAAGGTCGGGCATCAGGAAGCTTAGCTTCCATCAAAAAGTTCTTCGTCTTTTCAGCATCATAAAAGTTAGACTCTCTAGTCACACGCTCAACCTCCTTTATTTGACCAGTCTTGGCAGCTGCTTCAATGTACTTGAAGTGAATCTCAGGATCCTCACTATCACACAGAGGGAAGACATTGTAAGTCATCAGAATATAAACTCCCGCATGAGCTTGTTTACAGGAATGACAGCAGGTTCTTGATAAATTACCTCATACTCAAGTATGAACCTAGGAAAAAGTACAGCCCTTCGTATGACTTGAATTGCTCAAAGAGTTTAATGCATGCATCGACACCAAGTTGCTCACAGTACTCCTTGCAAGCCTGCAAAGACATGGACACGTCAGTGTCACATTAAACAATCAAATTCATATCTTACAACAATACAGCACATACCTGAACGATTATCTGAAGGTTGCCTCTCAGGTTGACCAACAGGAGATCTTTCATGCACTCCATAGCCCACTCGCTAGAAAGAGTACCGAAAAACTCGACAAGAGCCTGCAAATTAGAGTAGAGGGCTATTCAGCAACTCGAACATCGAGAAGTTTAGTAACCACCATTTGGTCAGAGATAGTACCTGTGGCTCAATAGCATGTGTGTTAACAATTACACGTTTGATATCAGGTAACTCTGAGTAATGCTGCACAAAGCAAAAGGAAACGAAGTTAGAGATGAAAACATAATGCATCTATTAGGCCAAGAAAATAAAGAAGACATTGAGAAATAACCTTTAAGGATTGGATGTAAAGTCCAGCCTTTTCACAAAGCTGTGCAACACGAGGCCTGTCATAATGGCTGAACATCCCATTTGCTAAGATTGCATCAGCCACATTAGGAAAGGTTACCAAATTGATCTCCAAAACCTGTGTTGACAGTGAACTAAAAGGTCTGAGAAAGGAAGGTGAATAGGGAAAGCACAGAGAAGTACAAGGTGGCAACTCTTTTCAACCTTAGTTTGCAGAAAAGCATGCTCGGGTAAGTTTGGCTTCAGAACATCCAGAAGGAAAGCAGTGGCTTCACGGATCAGATTTCTCTGAATATGCACAAATAAGTAAATTAGCGCATGGTAGCTCTCTTTTACTACAGAGTTTCTGTATATAGAAGCCGAACAAGTAATAAGCTACAATTTTTAATTCTACAGTATATTTTACGTGTTCACCTACCTGAAGGAAAAGATCAGTGATAGTGTTGTAGTCAACTGGGCAACCTCCTTCCATTTGGGACATCATTAAAGCAAAATTTACTGCTCCCTGCAATTAGCAGAAAACAACTATTGATCTTTTACAGGGCAAAATATTAGTTGCTTGATAAACAACATCAGGTCAAAATTAATCAAGATGAATCGATTTATGACTCTTCTTGTGATTACAGAGCAAGAGTCTAGTAAACCACTCCTTCCATAGTTTAATAAGTTGCAAGTATCAAAAGTGCACCACACTAACCTGAGGATCCGTACGAAGTATCGTTTGCAGAAGAAACATGTAATCAGGTGTGTACCCAACCTAAAGTCACAACATAAAACAATGGTACTTCTTGAGCACAATGACCTTTAGGGTAACATAAAAACGGAGGGGGAGGGGGTGGTGAAAACTTTATAACTTAATTGTTTACCTGCTTTGAATAAATCAGTATTTTGTCAAACTCCCTTCGCTCTGCAAAAGCTGCAACGACTTTTGGAGTAGCTCTAGCTTTGATGTAAATTTTTAGAGCAAGGTCATTATCCACAGTCTGAAACAGAAAAGAGTACCGTTACAACATACTAAAGGAGCCATAGGAGACATTATAAATGAAAATGGTCATTTCAAGATTACCTTGACAAGGTCTCCGAGTTCTTCACTGCATTCTAACTTATCCTCGGCTAACCAGTTTTCCAAAAGGTTCTTCTTGTTTTGATTCACAACAAGCCGAGATAGTTCCAAAGACTCATATGAATTGAGCTTCCCTCTAGTCAAAAGGGTCCCAAAATACTGTAACAATGGAGGAGTTTGCCCTGCTTGTACAGGAACACTCTGCAAAATGGTAAAGTGTGATGTTATAGTTTCAGATTGGTGTTACCAGCATATATAATTGTCCAGAGGATTCTTTCTTTGAATATGGAACAGATACCTGGAATTTGGCCACCGTATCAGGTGTCCGTAGAATGCCCTGAGGAGATTCAGCAGCAAGCTCAGCAGCCTCCTTGTACTTTGTTTGAGCAAATAACTCTTGGAACCGCTGGACAACCTGTAACATCAAAATTGAATATGAGGAACTTCTCATTAAGAAATGTGATACGAGCAGTGGGTTTCGAGGTCTAAGGAATTTATGACTATTTACTACGTGTTCTAAGGCTACTAGGGTTTAACTGTGTTTACTTTCAAGTAACCATGGTTTAAATAGGTTATGATCTTTAGTCTCTATCTAGTATAAGATGTCCTAGGAGTTTGGAAGAGATTTATCATCAAATTCACTCAGGTATTTTGTAGAATTCCAACTTTAACATGTACTCCCTCCGTTTCTAAGTATCATCTTATGATTCAATATAAATTTTGATATGAATTTATCTATTTAACCAATATTAATTAACAATGTAATAAAATTGAAATCAGAATTGAAATTCAAGGGATATCATGGACTATTTAATTATTCCTTAATTTGCTTGAAAATGTCAAAAATGACACTTGCATATTGAAACGGAGGGAGCGTTAAGTATCGATTATTTCTACATTATTGTTTCTATCAGAATGACCTTTTTCGTCAAATTGGCACAATATTTACTTCACCAAGAAATAATCCACACATCGGATCCAAGATAAATATCACATACCAGATTCTCTGCACCAGGGAGATTTCCTCTTTTAGCAAGATTGACAGCAAGTTCCAAATTGTTCAACTGTGATACAAAAGCATATATTTCTTAGCATGTCATGATGAATAGATAGATTATATAGAGAAGAACAGAATAAAAGTTGAACATACTTGACCACTAATAAAAGGTATTATGGTGGCCTCATTTACGGTTGCCAAAAGAACTTGTCCTCGCCTATTAATGGCATAGAAACCCCCAACTGAGGAAGCTTCAGACGTTAAGAAAATTGGGTCCGGACTTATCCGATTTCTGTAGATAGCAGAAGCTGTCTCTAGATCATATACAAACAGCAGGCCAAGCTTGGTGATGACATAAATCAAGTTAAACTTGTGAGAGACCTGTCAGGGAAAAAGAGAAGTCGGTGTCATGAAATTTTCACAAGAAACTTAATGAAGTTAATTGAACATCTAATGCAACTACAAACCTGCATGGCCACAGGAAAATCATCAGCAAAATCTGGGGGGAAAAAGAGATCTGCCTGCTTTTTTGTAAATGATGGTTTTCCTGCAAAATAAGTCGCCCACCTTTAAACATCAGAAAAATACCAACTAACAATAACCATGAAAATATAGAGCAGTTGAGGAAGCGAACCTGGTTGGGCACCAAGTTCAATAACATGCAACTTTGATGTTATCTGCCCAGCATTAAAGCTCTTGCTTGCAAAGGATATAAGAATAGAAGGATTCTCATTCCCAGGGACCTAACATTAACAATGTCGCTTGTCATACTACAGTTCAGGATCTGACCATGGAATGAACTAACAAAAGAATCACATAGTTTACCTTAAACTGAGCAAATGATGCAGCATGTGCTTCAAGGGCCTGGCTCCGCTGTTGATCCACCGAGAAAAGCTGCATATTTCCTTTTACCAATTGTGGTCTCTACAGAAGATAATAATGACAAGATCCAGTCAAAAATATACAACACGACTGCCATTATGATGTCTTAATTCAACCTAATACGTGGTGCAGGAATCCTACCTCAGGAGAGCCAGGAGCGATTCCAATCAAGACCAACCACTTCTCATTAGGAGAGCACTTATAGTTTATAATTTGATTGTTTGTCAAATTGGCCGTTCTATCAAACATCTTAACTGGCTCAGAATCACCTGGAATTATCGGAGCAAAAATGAGAAACAATATATACATGATATGAAGAAGACGACAGTAAGTTAAAGATATAAAACCTTCAATCGACCAATGATAAACAGAAGTTTGTGTGACCAGCCCCAGCATCTTTGGTGTGATCCACTTCCAAAAAGCAACCTATAAAACACGGGTCATTAATATCCAAAAAAATTCAGACCAGTAAAATCAGAGTCTGTCTGAAATGTACATCATGAAAGATAATTGGGTTACACTATGTTTGCTTCAACACTCACCTGCTCAGGCATCTGATGTGACTTCAACTTTGCTTTTGCTTCGATGTTAAATATCTGTAGATGATCCTGAGTAGTTCCTGGAACTTGAGCTATATACGAGTTTAAGAAAAAGTTAACAACAAATTAAAGAAGAAATAAGTAATAGCCTATACAAGGAAACATCCATTACAAACCAAAATTTCTAGTTTAACTACACTAAGCTTGAGACACAACACTGCCACGAGAAATATAACACATGTCGGAAAACACAGAACTCTATACAGATGGTTTCTACAGTATTAAACATGCTATCACCCCAAGTCCAGAACAAGAGTATAGGACTAAAACGTAAACTCGAGGAGTGTAGTTACTTTTCCATACTAATTTAATAAAATAGGTTTTCTATCAAGTGACGCATCACAACATGGACAGAGTCATTTAGACTTCAAATAAATCAAAAACACTTTATCCGTGATAAATAGCATATATACTTAACAAAAATGAAGTGGAAGTTATCAATGGTAGTTCTGGAGAAAACTTTAAAAGGAAACACTTATGGGTGTTATAACTGATAATACACTTCAAAAGGAGAATCTTATGGGTGTTATAAGTGATAATACGACACAAGTTTCTTTCAATCGAAGGAAACAGTTAAATACCTTTTAAGGCAAGGATCCTCGAGTTTGGGTTCATAAGAGCAGAATCAGCAGTTATAGGTCTCCTTAAAGGCTGCATGGGCATATTCATATCGATAATTACAACACTGTTCTGTGGTGCCGTCTCTCGTACACATATGTACTTATCAGACTCCATAGTAACATTTGTAAAGGTGATGAACTGTTGACCGATCCCAACGCTCGGAAGCTGGAAATTTTCCAAAACAAAAGTAATCAATTGGCATAGTTCATTAATTTAGTTACAAGATCCGAGTAAATAAGCACATTGCGCAACACAATAACTTAAAATCAAGGGCTAGATACATTCAGATAACACAGATCTGAGCGTACATAGAGAAAATCTGATCAGAGAGACATTGAATTATAAACTTGACTAAATCGCAACGATCGGGATATAATTGAGAACAGTATGAAACTTGAATCAATCATATAACAGTGTGAGCAGAACCAAATCGGTAGAAATCAGAGACTACAGCTATAGAAACATGTTAATCGTCCAAAATTTTAGCTCGATTCCAGATTTAGAAACGGAGGACTCACCGTTAGGACCTCCTTCATGATGATGGGCGCGTTAGCCGCCGCCATGTTTGACCTCAGATCGCGGCGAGAGAATCCGGGGCCAGAATCAGATCCACGGCAAGGACGGGACCGTCAACGGCCGAGCGATGCGAGAGAAACTAAAGAAGATTTGAAATCGCAGCCAGATCTGAGGCAAGTGAAGGAGAAAGGTGATGATGGTGGAGAGAGATTCGTTTTTCTTTAGAAAGTGAGAAATGACGAAACAGCGATCCAATCGGAGTCACTCGTCGAATATAAGGGGAGAGAAACCAAAGGAGAGACGACGTGCTACAAGTGCCTGAGCTGTACGATGTGCCTTTTGCCCAAGTACCGGGTTCGGATCGTATTCGGGTCGAGTTTCAAACCGCGTAAATCAACGGGTCGGGTTTTGTCACGAAACACTACTTTTTGTGGGAATTTTATGCGTATGTTTTGAGCAATGGTCAATGACTCAATGATGGCATAAAAAAAAATGTTTGCATGTCGATTATACTATGTGAATTTATTATAGAAAAAAGTCAAGATAAAAAACCAAGAACGAAGTATGAAAGAAAATTTAGCTATGATAATATTGGGAGAAAGAGAAGCGTAGATCGGAAGATCGACGGTGGATGAGAGATCTCGGGATTACGAGATCGAGTTGAATATATTTCCTTATTATTATTGGGAAAGTTAACATTTGTATGCTATATTCTTATTGTTAAATAGGTAGATTTCCTATTATTATATATGTAAAGAACTTGCTAATCAAGTTATGATCCTTGTATAAATAAGCCTATTGGCTAATGAATAAATTGAGAGAAATTATTCCACTTCTAAGGTTTCCTCCAAATTTATCATGGTATCAGAGCCTTGATCCTATTCATTTGGGTTATGGTTCTCTTACGTTAGCTTCCGCGTTTGAAAAAAAAAAAAAAAGTTTGTAAGCTTCGTTTCTTTGTTTAGGAAAATCAAACACACTTCATTGATTTTCTTTTATTTCTATTTTATTGTTATGAAAAAAAAAAAAAAAAAATGGTGTTACTTTGTCTCGTTCACAGAGAATTGGTGACAAGAAAAGTCAATGAAGACTATGATGTTGGTGACGTTAATAACTTCGGAATTTGGCGTTGCATGGATATGAACATGAACTTGATTGGTTCGTTCTATGATGAGATGGTTCTCACATGATATTCGCAACGTTGATGAAGATGGTTATGATATTTTCAAGAGATTTTGTCAAAGACTCCAACGATGTTATGGAGACGGTGATTTTTTTCTTGTGAAGATGAAGCCACAAATATGAAGAACTCCAACGGATATATACGGATCCGATGGAGGTGATGATATGATGTTGCTGTGAATTATGAGCATGAACCAATTGATGAGTTCGTTCAATTCACATGGTGACATAAGACGATGGAGATACACAACTACAAAAGATGTAATTTCCACCGTTGATGACCCCACGACCGGGTATAAACGTCGATGATGACCCGACGGCCGGGTATAAAGCCGTTATTTTGAAGATTTGTCCAATCTCACACGTGTTACCACGTATGAGCTTGCCGGGGGGTATTGGGAGAAAGAGAAGCGTAGATCGGAAGATCGACGGTGGATGAGAGATCTCGGGATTACGAGATCGAGTTGAATATATTTCCTTATTATTATTGGGAAAGTTAACATTTGTATGCTATATTCTTATTGTTAAATAGGTAGATTTCCTATTATTATATATGTAAAGAACTTGCTAATCAAGTTATGATCCTTGTATAAATAAGCCTATTGGCTAATGAATAAATTGAGAGAAACTATTCTACTACTACGGTTTCCTCCAAACTTATCAGATAATGATTTTCGTAGGAGTGAAAACATTCTTCGTATGAATGATCTAGTAAAATGCCAATTTCTAAATATGGAGATGAAAGATAGACAAAAGTTTCTAATATTTCATATCGAATTAGGGCATAGAGACCAATAATGTCTAATTTGATCCAAAAATTATTAAATTTACGTCGATTTAAGTTTTGCATGAATATAGAGTATAACAAATTTACAAAATTACGTCGATTTAAGTGTTTGACGAAGATCGTATTATTTATAATTTCAACTCGAACAAAACGATAATCAATTTCGATGTATCCCATCCTTGGAAAATACCAATATGGATCACTACATTTACGTTGATTCAAGTGTTTCAAGAAAATATTGTGTATATACGTGTTTGGTGAATATTGTATTATTTTGTAATTTCAGCTAGAACAAAACAATAATCAATTTCAATGTATCCCATAGTGGAAAATAAAATGATTTAACACCACTATTAATCACATAGCCCACATTCGTGTGATGAACTCCAAAACTCTCCAAAAGATTTATAAGCCAAAGTGATTTCAAGACCACGACTGACAAAATATGATATTCTGCCTCAGTGAAATTAAAGATTGAAAACCAACATTTTAATTTTATATAAGCGCTTGTGACACGTCCTAATTATAGCAAATAATTACCATCGAAAAACAAAAATTATCTTGGCATTTGGTTTTGGTCTGTTAAGGAATAGGACAGCCTCTAGTAGGCACTTAATCACGTGCGTCCAGATTAATTCCGCTCCAACCTCATGTTTCGTAAGATAATGGAAGTCTAAGTTTAAACATCATCAAAAGACTCGATATATATGTTGAGATATATTCTTCAATATAAAATCTAGGACTTGAGTTGACTATGAGTCATTGGTGTACCCAAAAAGTTCATCTTGAGATCGTGACAGTTTCGATATATATGTGAAAAAATGATTTGAATGACGGTGCAAATCCTTTATAAGTGGCATGTCTTGTTGTATTTCCGAGATGTTGGGCTTGGGCTGTTTCCCGTTGGACCGTTTCCCACCCACATCTCGAGGAGGCCTATTAGAATGTCCCACATTGCTTGGGATTAAGATCTTTGGGTAGTATATAAAGGATGTGGCAATCCTTAACTCTTGAGCTAGCTTTTGGGTTAAGTTAGGCCACATTCCTAATATGGTATCAGAGCCCAAGGTTGGCCCAACAAGCAAATTCCCACAAAAATGGTTTCCCACCTATGTGGCCCATATAAGTGGCATGTCTTGTTGTATTTCCGAGATGTTGGGCTTGGGCTGTTTCCCGTTGGACCGTTTCCCACCCACATCTCGAGGAGGCCTATTAGAATGTCCCACATTGCTTGGGATTAAGATCTTTGGGTAGTATATAAAGGATGTGGCAATCCTTAACTCTTGAGCTAGCTTTTGGGTTAAGTTAGGCCACATTCCTAATAAAGTAACTATCAAAATGGAACATTCTCCAAATTGAATCGAACAAAAACCACACTATCTCAATGCCAAAAATGCTAATAATCCGCTGAAAAATCAGAAAGTTTTATGGAAGAAAAAAATAGTAACAACAAGACTCGACTCTAGTACCAAATAATTCAACCCCGGAAACAAACAAACCAAACATCAGTTCTTCAATCTTTCTAAGATTTGATTCTGTATCTGTCCAGTGGATCCCTGAAGAAGAGACGTTCTTGGTACACTCTCCATGCGTACTCCTCGAAACGAAAAGACCTAAATGCCTTTTTATCATCACTTCTTGCTCCTCCATCTTCCTCCTCCTCCTCTGCATACTCTTCTTCTTTGTCACCGTCACTGATCATATCTTTCAATGGTGAAACCATACTGTCCATGGGAAGTGTAAGCATCAATGTCATTGTTACACACTTTTTTGGACCATTGTTTTGTCTTGAACACAACACCGGTCGATATTTCACTCTTTTGACCTCTCCATTTCTCCAAACCTACCATTTTTTTTAATTGTTTGTTAGTTGTTCAAAAGTAGCTACACTATATATTGTACAAAGCAGGTTTTGAAAAGTAACCATTGCGATTATATAAATTAAAGATCGAAAATGTAATTAACAATATATATTGGCAATTTACAAATTCTTATTTTCTTTCCCAATGCCATTAAAATCTGTTTCAAATGAAAAGTGAAAACACATTCCCCTTTAAATTTTCCCCGCTTCTGCTCCACAGTTGTTGTTGTTGACAACAATAAATATCGGGAATATTCAAATTCTTGTTCTCTTTTTGATCAATGCGTTGGAAAACATTTATTTTGGATATGGACATCTATTATATTTAAATAAATAAAAACAGCGAGTTAACGCCATAGTGGAGGGAATAAAGTTCCATTCCATTAGAAAGATGATAATGTGATGAATTGTTTTAAAGATTTTTTTAAGAACACAACTACCCAATTAATAAAAGAGAAATTTTTATTTTTTTCTTAAACCAATAAAAGAGAACGAACCTGAGCAATGTCACCTAACGTCACCAGAACCGAGTCAACTCGAGGCAAAACGGACACCCAACCAGACTCGGTTAGCAAACAATACTTCTGTTCCCTAATCTGATACTGTAAACAGACAACACAAAGGATAAAATCCGTTGGTTATCTCCGGTTCATCATCAGGAACACCTTGGTTAACCCACATTAGAGTATTAAACCGGGTCGAGTCATATTCAAACCCGAGTGCATTCGCCAGCATCTCTATCGTCTTAAGTCCAACTTTCTCCAGAGTCCGAGTGAACTCGCGGAGCGAACTCAGATTCAACTCGCTAGACTCGGTTGAACAGTCGGCGTCAAGGCAAAACGATGGCGTTTCAGCATCCGCTTCGTAGCCCAGCGGCCAGTTCTTTGGAAACGACGATTCTATTTTCTCTTCACTGAGCTCTAAGAGCGAGAGTGAGTCAGACTCGGCTGCTTCAGCGAGCTCAGGAGGGAAAACAATATCGGAGTCATCGTTAGTGAGTTGGAAATAGCCTAAATCAGTCACGGCGGAGATAAGATCGTCCCAGCTACGTCGATCTCCAGCGGAGAGAGATACCATCGGAAGAGAAGCGATTGAGGATGCCGAGTCGGAGAAGCGGCGGTTGGGGAGTGAAAGAAAAGGAGGGAGACGGTGGAAAAGGCTGGAGAGAGGGTCGACTGCTGTCTCAGATTTGCTGGTGGTGTTGAGATGTGAGCATGAAGGAGTTGGCGGAGGCGCCGCCGTGGCTCCACCGTGCTTGTTCGAAGGTTGGTGGTGGTTGAGGTGAGCTGAAGAAGAAGCCATTGGAAGATGGATGTGACTTTGGAAGAGGCTGAGTGATTTAAGTTACTAGAGAAGAGTAGTATTTGTCAAAGCATATGTATAACTTGCGTCTACGCATGGAATATATAACCTAATTTTCTAGATTAATTAGTACAAGATACCCAAATTATACCATCTTATTTGTAAAAGTGAAAACAAATAAGATGGTATAAATGAAAAGGGAAAATTCCCAAAAAAAACCTCATGTATTTTTTATTTGGACGTTTAATACCCAATTTTTTTCGGTTGGAAGAAAAATACACATATTAATAAAACTGTGTGATTTAATACCCAAACAATTAAATGTTGTTATTTTCATACTCACGAACTCACAACAAAAAAAATATTCTAATTTTATCCTTACCATCTCAATTAATTATTAACTTTTAAATAAAGTGGTATTACTTTTTTATTTAAATAAAATTTAATTTTGTTAATGTTTTATTTTATGTTGCCTAAAAAATAAATTTTAAATTTATATAATTATTTTATTTTAAAATTAAACATAAAAATTAGCAGAAAATCAAAAATATTAAAAATTGTCATTTGTACAATCTTATTCCGTCTTTGCAATGTCAAAGAGACGTTTCCTCTTCGATTCTAATTTTTTCGATTAATATCTATGAGAATTACCGGTAAACAATCTCCGTCGTCCTCTTTTGTAACCATCAAATTCGATAACCGTTCACAATCTCCTTTTAATCCTATCCAAAATCTTCATCGCCAATAAAACTAATTTGATTTGATTCGTCATGATGCATATGATATCAACGAGCATCAATATGAACTTTTTCTTCGTCGTGAAAAACTCTCTATTCGAATATAAATCCTTCACGAATGAAACTATTTTCGACAAAATCTCAATCCGAATCTCATCGTCTCTCTCAAGATTTATCAATTCATAAAAATGGCTAATTTTATTTTTTACTTTTTCTAAATTTTTTGCTAATTAATTTTATTTTTAATTTTTAATAATTAAATATTTGTAAAATAAACTGCAAATTATTTTGAATTTTTTTTGGGATAACAAAGAAATAAAATATTAATAAAATTAATTTTTATTTAAATAGAAAACTATTGTCACGTAATCTAAAAGTTAATAATTAATTGAAATAGTAAGGGTAAAATTGGAATTTTATTTTTGTTGTGAGATCGTGAGTATGAAAATAACAACATTTAATTGTTTGGATATTAAATCGCACAGTTTTATTAATATGTGTATTTTTCTTCCAACCGAAAACAATTGAGTATTAAACGTCCAAATAAAAAATAATTGAGGTTTTTTTTGGGAATTTAACCTAAATGAAAATTAGTTTTTTTTTTTATGTAGTATAACCTAATTCTCTAGATTGATTAGTACAAGATAGCCAAATTTTACCATCTTATTTGTAAAAATGAAAACAAATAAGTACTGAACTGATTTGCACTTTCTCATGCTTGTACGACTTTCTCTGCCTTTTCTTGCTCATCACAGCAAAATCCAGATTTCCGACAAAATTTGGAAACTTAAAACATGATTATGCAGTTTCCTTATGCTCTCTTTCTCAGGTTTGAAGTTGAACAGACACTTAGTAGTTAGTACAACACTTTTAATGATCAAACACTTGACCATCGCTCTAATCTGGTGATACAACTATATGGATAAACTCCGATTAAATTAAGAATCTCGTTACTTGATCGACCAAACCATCACGATTCTTCATCACTAATCCATTTTTCAATTGCCGAGAACCTAACAAACAAGGACTCCAGTCTTGTTCCAAGTTGGATATATGTTTGTGAGTGTTTCGTGGGAGTGATTGAGCCAAAGATTGCACTGTTGTTTTGATCGTCACAAAGCTGGAGCCTGGAAGTCGGATTCCTTCTTGTTGAATTATGAACCTTGATTATTCATTCGTAAAGAGAGGAAAGAAGAAGAAGAAGATGACAAGAGTCATCAAAGAGAACAGATTAAGTCAAAGAGAGTTTTAGTCACAACAAAACTAAGTTAGAAAGTTCCTTACTCCTTAGTTTGGTTAAGCAAACAAGCAAGGATGTGTTGTTGTTTAAAGTCTAGGTAAGGTGGAGTTTTTAGGAGTGGTCTAAAAGTGAGTTGTTAAAGTTTGCTTGTAAGACTTGTAGCTACAGAGATATGGGGTCTAAGTGTTAGTAGTTAACGTGTGTGTGGTTAATAGTAGCAAACTACTATAAGTACGTATGTATCTTTATGAAAGTGTAAAAAAGACACAAAACAGAGAAATTGAGAGTGAGAGCTTGAAACAGAGATAGAGTGAGGCCGCCCTTAGTGAATAAATCAAAAGTTGAACACTTGTTTGCTTCGATGATTTTAGTCCATCCACCATGAATCCGCTGATATGTTCTATTTGTGAAGTCGATTGTTTGGATTCGAATTCGATCGGATTCACTGCACCAAGTTCGTAGCTTCGCTTCCATCATTATGATAAATGACATTGATTCTGAAAATATCAGAGATATTTAGGATTTCGATTTATAGTCAGACCACTTCTTGTCCAAACTTCTAAACCACGCCATCTTCCTTAACTCAGGCCACATTTTCTTCCTCAGATCCTCGATTTCCGCAGGATTCCCAAAAACGTCCATCACAATCTGAAGACACAGAGAGATGATGATGATGATGATGAAGATGTAATAATAGCAACAGTCACAAAATGTCGTCATTCAATTGCTTACCTGTTGCCGCTTCTCCTCATATTTCTCTAATTGACCTCCATACAAATAATAACCTTCATACACACAAAAAAAAACAGAAAAGCAAACTGATTAATTCGATGAAAGGAATTAAATCTTAAAAATTTTGTTGTCTCTGCATACCTGAGATCCATCCCAAAGTCACTCCTGTACCTTGAACTAAGAACCTAGCTCCCATCTCCACTACAATCACAAATGAAAACTTGGATTTATTTTTCTACTTTCCCTCCGAGTACAAATACATCGAAACCCCACACTCGCGAATTTGAGGGATTTCAAGCTGACTCATAGAACGTTACCTTTGCTAATACGGGATGAAGATAAATTGCGGCACTGTAAAGTTTTTAATCTTGTTCAATAGATCGCACAAAGAAAGGAAACAGAAGAAAAAAATATAAACAAAAGCTAATCATAATCAGATTTTCGATTTACCTGCTCACATACTGATCTCAGATGCTTATTCCGCGACATGATCGGAAATTAGGGTTCGCTCTTCTTCTTCTTCTTTTTTATTTTTTATTTTTTAAGCGTGTCCTATTGTTCACTGCTATTTATCACATCCCCATGATCCCATTTATTACCAAACTGACCTCCTTAATAATATAGGGAATAATATATGACTTCATGTTCTTGGATAATTAATAATAATAGAAACAATTTTTTTTAAAAGCAAATCAAAAATATTATAGCATAAAAGTGTTACGTTTTTTTTTGCTAAGAGAGTAAATATCATATAAATGAAATGTTAGGAATTATTATCTAAGACTTGGTTCCTTGGCAAAATAAAATAAAATACAAGAAAGCAAACTAATCCAAAAGATTTCAGACTCTAATTGAGCCAACAGCTCATTAGCTTACGAAATTTTCGACAGTGCCTTCTCGCATTGATTGAGTTAATGACTTCACGGTCTAGGGTCTTGAAGATGGTAGCTGGAGGGATGACTTGGTTATTATGCAGCACATTGTTCCTCTGCTTCCATGCCGAGTAGATAATGGCCTGAACCACAAGCTTTCTTAGGACGGAAGGAGCTCTCGCAGTCGTGACTCTGGTCCAGGACAATAAATCCTCCCAATATATATTACTAATTTTATTTTGCACACAGCGTCAAACAAAACCCTAACACTGACCAACATCACCACAAGGTCCACAACCATAGATTAGTAGTCTAACTTTTTCAAAGCATCAAACAAAAACCTAACACAGAGAGCTACATCACAGACCCATAGGTTATAACTTTTGTTTGTTCACAGCATCAAACATAAACTAAAGACAAATTCTTCTGAATTCAATCATTGGAGGATCCAAATAAGCATATCACGCAGTATCTCCGGTGGCTGAAATCGTGGAAAAATCACAGAAAAAAACATATGTTAGAATTCTTTTTAAAACAAATTGTTATATCCCCAAATGATAAATTTTAAAAAATTTCACACCTCCCCCCTTACGCCAAGACGACGATTACGTTCTTCCACATCCCTCATCATCGTTCGACGGAATTCTAGTAGCTCGATAATTGCTGAGTTATGATTAAAAAAAAAAAAAAAAAAAGGCAATCACGAATTTGAATTTTGTTTTTCAATCTCTAATCAAAACTGAAAATTAAAATATTGAAAATCTCAACATTACCCCAACCACCGAAAGCAAGATTTCCATACGTTAATGATGACAAAAAACCATTCACATAATTAAACCCATCGCCACTGTCCATAACTCTTCTTCGGCCTTCTTCCAACACCAAAATTGAAAGAAGAATTACAAAATCGAAACCCAAGAATATATGCTCACGAATTTGATACATTTGGAAGAAGAGAACGTTACCATTGTTGTTACCATTGTTACTACGGGACGAAGATACATTGCGGCGAGACCTCGTAGATAAATGGCGGCACTGTAAAGTTTGCATCTTATTCAATAGATCGTACAAAGACATGAAACCAAAAAAAAAAAGGATAATCATGATGAAATATTCGATTTACCTGCGCGATTACGGATCTCAGATTGTTGTTCGGTGCCATGATCGGATATTAGGGTTCGGTCGCTCTTCTTCTTCTTTGTCTCCGCGCGATTTGTGATTTTCTTCTCTCCAAAAAAAAAAAAAAAAAAAGTCGGATAATTTGAGGGTTGTGTGTTTAATGGGCTTATAGTCTTATTTTAAGTCGGACTTGGGCTAATATATTTCAGGCTGACCAATTAATTTAGTCTAACTAGTTGGGTTGGGCTTGTTTTAATTTCAATTTCCACTTGGTTCAATTTTATGTGCTGCACCGTCCACGGCACACACCTTCCTTATGTACCATGTAACTTGACGGCCGACTAGTATGAGATTTGGTTTGTCCCCATCAAAATAAAGCAACAACAATAGGTATAGGGTGTGAAACACTGAAACGTAATTGACTCAAATTCTCAAATAGGTTTCTTCACCAAACTCCTCTTTCTTTTTTTTTTTTTGATAAACCCTATAACTCCTCTTTCTTTGTCTAACGATCTTATATACTCACTAAAATAATGTGTATAAATTTTGCTACCGTCATTTAAAAGCTAAGGTCATGAAACATGCGCCTCATTATCTTTTTTGGTAGTATTATTCTTTTCTTTCACTTTATTTTCAAAGGCTTTAAACTAGATGACATCATAACCAAAGAAAGACTATAAAACCAAGAATTAAAACGAGATCAATCAAATCCGTGTTGAAACCTCAAGTTGTGTCAAAATTGACCGTCACAAAAATCTCACATCACCACTAATAAGTTTCCTTCTGCTTTCAAGTTGCAGATACTTATATAAAGACTTTTATTAGCGTGTGAACCAGAGACATAGATATAAATTGGGAGACGATAAGCAAAGTAGAACACAAGTTTCAAATCTCACACATTATCTTTATTCTGTAGTCTCTCTCTGTTTCTCTATTACCACCACTCATTTAACAGAAACCTAAAAAAAAAGAGAGAGTCTTTTCTTTTCTGGGGAGAGAGCTCGAGCTCTAATGGCGAACTTGGTCTTATCAGAATGTGGTATAAGACCTCTCCCCAGAATCTACACAACACCCAGATCCAATTTCGTCTCCAACAACAACAAATTCAGACCATCACCTTCTTCTGCTTACAAAACATCATCTCCTCTCGCTTTTCGTCTGAATTCACGAGATGGGTTCACAAGGAATTGGGCGTTGAATGTGAGCACACCATTAACGACACCAGTATTTGAGGAGTCTTCATTGGAGGAAGAACACGAAGAATATAAGCAGAGATTCGATCCAGGTGCGCCTCCTCCGTTCAATTTAGCGGATATTAGAGCAGCTATACCTAAGCATTGTTGGGTTAAGAATCCATGGAAGTCGTTGAGTTATGTCGTCAGAGATGTTGCTATCGTCTTTGCATTGGCTGCTGGAGCTGCTTACCTCAACAATTGGATTGTTTGGCCTCTCTATTGGCTCGCTCAAGGAACCATGTTTTGGGCTCTCTTTGTTCTTGGTCATGACTGGTACACTTAAAAACCCTAACTTTTTTTCTCTGCTTAGTCCTTAGCCTTTGATTTGGTCAACTTTGGATGATTCCCACTTTAATTTGGAATCAATTGAACAAAATTGGTCTTTATCCCTATCTCTTCAATAGCTTTAGGACATAATTGGTCTCTGAGGTAATAAGCTGTCCTTGTCATCAGCATCATCATCTTGTTTGTAGACCAACCCAATTGGCAACTGGTTATTGGTTTTGCCACTGTGTAATCTCTTTTGAATTGTCAACTAAATTATTGATTTATGTTGATTACATTGCAGTGGACATGGTAGTTTCTCAAATGATCCGAGGTTGAACAGTGTGGTTGGTCATCTTCTTCATTCCTCAATTCTGGTTCCATACCATGGCTGGTGAGTTTTGCTTTCAAATCGTTCTTCTCTTAAACCACTTGCAGAATCTGATATTCCTCATGTAAAAGTATATGACTTTGGTTGCTTTGCAGGAGAATTAGCCACAGAACTCACCACCAGAACCATGGACATGTTGAGAACGACGAATCTTGGCATCCTGTAAGTCAAAAACCGGCTTATTTGGTTATCATCTTCTTTCTGTCCTGTGGTGTTTCTTAGATGCAGTTTTCTTACTGTTTCTGTAACTGCAGATGTCTGAGAAAATCTACAAGACTTTGGACAAACCGACTAGATTCTTTAGATTTACACTGCCCCTCGTGATGCTTGCATACCCTTTCTACTTGGTAAAAACTCTTCTATTTGTTATGGTAACTTAAGCTGGCCACCTCTAGCAAAAAAAGCTCATGTTTCGTCTTCTGTTTCAGTGGGCTCGAAGTCCGGGGAAAAAGGGTTCTCATTACCATCCGGACAGCGACTTGTTCCTCCCTAAAGAGAAAAAGGATGTCCTTACTTCTACTGCTTGTTGGACTGCAATGGCTGCTCTGCTTGTCTGTCTCAACTTCACAATCGGTCCAATTCAAATGCTCAAACTTTATGGAATTCCTTATTGGGTAATGCGCCGCTGTTACTCCCCTGTTTCAGCCTGAGCAATTTGTGTATTATTTCCTCTGCCTTACTAAAAATTGGTTTTATGTCAAATGCAGATAAATGTAATGTGGTTGGACTTTGTGACTTACCTGCATCACCATGGTCATGAAGATAAGCTTCCTTGGTACCGTGGAAAGGTAAAATGCATAGTCTCCTCTTCCACTGTTCTTTGACTACATGGCTCTCTCTTTTAAGGTTAAAGCCACTGGCGTGTAAAATCTCATGATTCTCTCAAAACAGGAATGGAGTTACCTGAGAGGAGGACTTACAACATTGGACCGTGACTACGGATTGATCAATAACATCCATCACGACATTGGAACACATGTGATACATCATCTTTTCCCGCAGATCCCACATTATCATCTAGTAGAAGCAGTAAGTAATAGAAAGATAAGACTGATAGAATGTTTGTGTTTTTGGTGTTCATGCTAGTTTTTCTTACTCTTGCTCCTCTGTTATGCAGACAGAAGCAGCTAAACCAGTATTAGGGAAGTATTACAGGGAGCCTGATAAGTCTGGACCATTGCCATTACATTTACTGGAAATTCTAGCAAAAAGTATAAAAGAAGATCATTACGTGAGCGACGAAGGAGATGTTGTATACTATAAAGCAGATCCAAATCTCTATGGAGAAGTCAAAGTAAGAGCAGATTGAAATGAAGCAGGCTTGAGATTGAAGTTTTTCTACTTCAGACCAGCTGATTTTTTGCTTACTCTGTCAGCCACCAGAGAGTTAGTATCTCTGAATACGATCAGATGGAAACAACAAATTTGTTTTCGATACTGAAGCTATATAACAATATACATTGCATTATCTTAGATTCATCAAGTTTATAAATATTTTGTAATTGGATGATTAAACCAAGTTATTTTCAGTTTTGATTTAACCTTCTCAAGGTTAAAAACCGTTACTTACAACAATCATTTTAGGTTATAATTAAGAAAATAATTTTCTATTTTTTCACATTTCAACATAATCATAGTTATTCTTCCTAACCACCTCCCTAAATTGTTTTGATTAATTAATTTGAAAAGTGGGATTTAAGTATTTGTTACACAATATGTAGTTGGTTAGTATTCACATGTGCCTTCCAAATTCAATGAACCATGTTTCCATTATTGGGAAGTCGTCGGCCATCTATTTAGATGGTCAACGGACCATATATTAATACAAGTTTTACCCATTATATATTCAGACTCTCCTTCGGAAATGTAACATTCAAAATTTCTAAAAGCTGCTTAAATAATCCAACATACAGTAATCATGAACTAATGTCTAAATTTTTTTATATAATGTGGTTATTAAAATTATAAACTACAAAACTTTGATTGGTATGTTGAATATGCTAATTTGCTACGGCATGACACACATATAATCATCTTAATTTAACACTCTTGAATATATATTTTAAAAATAATTGCGATTCTCATATTTAGTCATAAATTGGGAGATTGACACAAATAGCCCCAAAAAAGTTGTTTTTTCCAAAAATAGCACCTCATTTGAAAAGTTCCACAAATAGCACCATAAACTTCAATTAAACTTAATGAAAATATAAGATAGAAAATAAAAAAGAGAGCAAACACTAATTTAATATTAAATTGAATCAAAATTGTTTTAAATAGTGGAAATATATACCCTAATTTGGAAATAGGGAACCCAAATATAATACCACAAACTAATATTAAAATAAAAATCTCTTTTAAATTGTGAAAATATATACCCTAAATTGGAAATAGGGAACCCAAATATAATACCATAAACTAATATTAAAATGAATCAAAATCTCTTTTAAATGGTAGAAATATATACCCTAAATTGGAAATAGAGAACCCAAATATAATATTTTAAATTTATTTCTAATTTATTTTGTTGAATAGCTTTTATATAAAAGTTGTGGTATTATTGAAAAAAAAAGCTAGTGATAAAATGTTTAGAACAAAAACACTAATAGTAAGTTAACTAGTGCTATTTTTGGAAGTTTATGGAGTGTGTGCTATTATTGTCAATAAAACTTGTTTTAGGGCCATTTTTAGGAATTTCTCTAAATTCAATAACTATCATTGCTAAGTGGCATAAATATAGAGTTAGATAGTCACCGTCCGTTGCTAAAACAGAATAAAAGTCACCGTCCATTTACACACATGTTAGGAATTATACATACATAGATTAGTTTTATAGAGATGGAACTGGTGACTGGTGACTGGTGAGTGCTACGTTTTAGATTAATACTATGTCAAGAAATATATCTACTTTTGTAATATTTACTTAAATGGTTGACAAATTACAGAAAATTATTACAAGTTACAAACATTGTTACTCTTCTTATAAGAACCATGCATATACATTGTTTATTTCACCATATATAGAACTATATAATTTCATATTATTGCCTTTATAATAGAATTGTACAATTCCAAAGAGCATCCTCTTCCTTGCGTAGGATATCATTTTTAACTATTAAGAACACTTTGATAACTGAAGTAAGTTAGAAATCACTTATACATGTAGTAAAATATCAATAAAATTAGTGCAATTCTTAGATAAGGAAGTTAAAGGTAAATATTCTTTTCAAAATGTTGAAGTCAGATTCTTTTAGTATATATCTCAAGTCATTAAATATTTCAAGGTTGAGTATGTCGTTAAGCTACCCAAACATTCTCAAATAGAAGAAAATCATACCGATCTTAATTTATATTATTAGGATTATGTTAAAAAAAGATCTTGTAAAATTGTAAAATATCTACGAACTTTCAAACTAATAACCAAAAAATGAACTCCACGTGATATTTAAAATTATTTGTAAGGAAGCTAAAAAACTTTTTCATTGGAAAATGCTTCGTAGTTTTCAGATTTGGATTTATTATCAAATATGTCAAAAATATTTACTAAATTTACGTTTTATTAGTTGGAATCCATGCATCCCCATCATTTTCAATCTTTTTTACCACGTATCGAAAAAGGAACATTTTAATACACGTTTTCATGAATTAACAAGCAAGAAACTTCAATTGTATGGACTCTATTCGACTTTCTCATCGGTTACAATTACGGATTCCAACATCCGTTACGATTCTCTTCAGTTACTTTATACAAAGAAAAGATAATATAATATTTGGATTCACGAGAATAGTCTGCAAACAAGTCGGTCCGAGTTTGATTTTATTTGTGTATGATGATTAATATTCACAATTCATTTATTTTTGTTAAGCCAAATCTTCTTCCCTTTCTCTCTCCCTTTCTCTGCCTCTAACCATATAAACCACCTATATATATAGCAGCACTTCACAACTTCTCATGAACAAGTAGAAGAAAAAGAGCAAGACTAATAAATAAGCCAGAAGAGACAACATGAACAACCAAGATGAGATCAAGATCGAGGCCGAGAGCAAGAACGGCCTCAACGACCAAGAACAAGAAGTCAAAATAGATAACATGAGCGACCAAGACAAGAACAAGAAGGAGATCAAGATCGAAGCAAAGAACAAGAATGGCCTCGGCGAAGAGTGGCCAGAACCCATCGTCCGAGTCCAATCTCTAGCAGAGAGCAACCTCACTACCCTCCCCGACCGTTACATCAAGCCGCCATCTCAACGCCCTCAAACCACCATCATCAACCACGAACCGGAAGCAGCTGCCATAAATATACCGATCATAGACCTAGACAGCCTCTTTTCCGGCAATGAAGACGACATGAAGAGAATATCGGAGGCATGCCGTGAATGGGGATTCTTTCAGGTAACTCTTTTTTTTTTTTTTTTTTTCTTGGCTTTTTTCTGGTTTGAGAAATACTTACCGACTTATAAATGTAGTCTAGAAAAATTTAGATTTGGTTCGGTTGACATGTAGAGTTCTATTTTCAGGTAATCAACCATGGGGTGAAGCCGGAGCTGATGGACGCAGCTAGAGAAACTTGGAAATTCTTCTTTAATTTACCCGTTGAAGCCAAAGAAGTTTACTCAAACTCCCCAAGAACCTATGAAGGATATGGAAGCAGATTGGGTGTGGAAAAAGGAGCCATTCTTGATTGGAATGATTATTACTATCTCCATTTCCTTCCTCTTCCTTTGAAGGATTTCAACAAATGGCCTTCTTTACCTTCCAACATTAGGTAACTAATTAAGCCTCTAAATCTTACTTCTTTATAAATTTTGTAGATAATTAACGAATTTTGGTTTCGATGATTCCTATGAGTTTTGAGAACTTGAGAATCTATAGCTAGTGTAATTGTTATCCAATCACTTTATGGGGAAGTCTGAGACTGAAGTCAGAAACTAGTTTGAGTTCTTTACTTTTTCTGTAAGAGTAAAAGAAGACCAAATGTCCAAAACTATAATTCTGGTCTTCGAAAAATAATTTAGAAATAAATCAATCTAAAATAAAAATGATTCATGTGTTGTTATGTTGATTGGCAATCATGTTGGTTACTTTTTTCTATTTTAATAAACAATTTTATAGTAATTTAATTTAAATGTGAATTTCATTAAATTTTAAGAAAGAGTTGAATTAATTTTATTTGAAACTAACCTTTTTGTTAAATTAACCTACATTTTACAATAGAATTATTATTTTTCCTAAACATTAATATAAATAATCTTTCAATGTATAATGCTTATTTCTACTTTTTAAAATGGATATAGAGAAGTGATTGATGAGTACGGCAAAGAACTAGTGAAGCTAGGTGGGAGACTAATGACGATCTTATCGTCAAATTTGGGGCTAAGAGAAGAACAACTTCAAGAAGCATTTGGTGGAGAAGACGTTGGTGCATGTTTGAGGGTTAATTATTACCCAAAATGCCCTCAACCGGAACTTGCCCTCGGCCTCTCCCCTCATTCCGACCCCGGCGGCATGACCATCCTCTTGCCGGACGATCAAGTCGTCGGCCTTCAAGTCCGTCACGATGACACGTGGATCACCGTCAATCCTCTCCGCCATGCTTTTATCGTCAATATCGGCGATCAAATTCAGGTAACCTTTTTAAAAAACGTTTTTGCTTTTGTTCTTTTCCTTTTCACCTTCTACACTTCCTTTATTTATTCTATAAACGAATTACTACATATATATAATTTTCACCGCTAAGATATAGAAATAAAATGTTAGCACTCAAGAAAATCTTGATAAAAAAAAAGTAAGTCACTAATAATTATTGTCATGATATAGTTGGTACTGAACTACTGATAGAGGATCCTATTCCTAGTTGTAGTTCCACGTTTTAGACATGACTTAGAATAGCAATAAAAGGTTAACCGTTTCAACTTCAGGCCAAAAATTTAAAACATACTAAGATTTTTCTAAAAAAGTTGTAATTATTTATGTCATTTTCACGGCAAAGTGATTTGATATTATATAAGACGATATTTTAAATAAATAAATGGAGAAATATATTTTTTGTGGTTGTAGCTTTAAGAGTACCATCATAGACAATAATCATGTTGCAAAAGCCAAATTGCACATAAAGTAAATTATTTGTAAAGAAAAATATCACAAATTCAATCTAACGTTTGATGAAGTACAATGTTAGTCAGGCAATAAAAGTGCGGTTCTTATATTTGATATAGCTATACTAACAAACAATTTCTCTTGTAAAAAAACTGGCAGATACTAAGCAATTCGAAATACAAGAGCGTGGAACATCGAGTGATAGTGAATTCGGAAAAAGAAAGGGTTTCACTAGCATTCTTCTATAACCCTAAGAGTGACATTCCGATCCAACCAATGCAACAACTTGTCACCTCTACGATGCCTCCTTTATATCCTCCCATGACCTTTGATCAGTATAGACTCTTTATTAGAACGCAAGGTCCACGTGGAAAATCCCACGTTGAGTCTCATATATCCCGTCGTTAATTGATATCTACTTCACAAAATGTCCGATAAAAGAGAATCATTGTAAGTCTTCTTGTTTATGCAACTCAATTTCTAGTGTGCATCGATATACACTAATCTTTTTAATGTGCTAAATGTATTCTGAAGGATACCGAAGCTATGGAAGCTTAAAGAACTACCGAGAGATTCCAAAATATCGGTGAAGCTATATATTTAGATCAAAATGAATCAACTAAATACCGAGAACTATCATATTTGTTTTAAGATAAATTATTTTGTAGTTACCCTTGTAGTTTCTATATATATGTTTATAATTTTGTCTTTAGGTTCTATTGTAATTGTAATATGCAAAATCAATATCCGTGATTAATGTTGAAGGATGCTTATCAATAATCATTTCTTCTTCTATGATTAGTAACAATAATAGTGGAGCTTATCGGTACTAGTCTTCTCAGTATTGATTGAGCAACTAATCTATTAGACAATTTGTTTTTCTTTCAAAAAATAGTATTGACAAACAAAATGATGACGGACATGTGAACGCAATAAATATCTAGCTAGTATCTAAAAGATAACTAGTATTGGTACACATATTAGATTAAGTAATGTATATAAAAAGGATAATTCGTGTTGACCATATATTACAGAATCTTGTTAGATCCGATTTAAGTTCTTTATAATATATATACGTAGTTGGGACTTGGGGGCTTGTAACTAACGTTTACGAAAAAGATTGGGCAAATAACACTTTGAATACCCCAAAACTACAATTTTTGTATAGTGAGCCTCATGCTGGCTTTGAATACCCAAAACTAAACCAAACCACTATGCTACAAATCATTATCATCGAATCATAGACTTAAAAAAATTCAGTCGATGAATTAAAAATTTAGTTAAATTCAGTCGATGGTAAACTATACTCTTTTTTTTGGTAGGCATGGTAAACTATACTCTTGTCTTATTCGTTTAATAGATTTTAAAATAGAAGTTGAAATATGTAGTTATCGAAAAACATTTAAAGAGTTTCTTATTGAGTACGATGCTAAATAAATAATTTCTTAAAATTAAATTTGATTGAAAAAATTAGATTTGGATTTAGAGATGATTTGTGAATCTGTGATAATATAGATAGTTAGTACTTAGGGTTACCAATTCTAAGGTTGCGATCACATCTACGTGCCCTTTAGAACTTGGAAAACATGTTGGCTCTTTACAATTCCGGCCAAATGGCCCAAATGAGAAGACTATATATCACTAATTAATCTTTGACATATCATTTAATTTTAAATAATATTTTTTTTTGAAATTATGAAAACAAAATCTTAAGCCAGAAGAAAGACCTAACAGAAGATTAAAAACATAAAGTGCAAGATACAGTTCAAAGCTTAAAGATTTGACTACATATACAAACCCAATGACACATTTGATGGAACAACCCAAGTTTTTTTTTTTAATATGAATAATAATAATATTACTCAAACAGTTGCTACTCTCTCTATCAACTTCTTGAAATCCCTTTCTTGAGATCTAAAGAGAGAGTTTTGTATGCTTTAAAATTAAAAGGTTAAAGAAAAAAAAAAAAGAAAAAAAAAGTTGATTAACATATTGATTAAAACATGAGAACCAGAGTCTCTCTGAGAGATCATCATCATCATCAATTCATCACCATCACTGTCTTCCTTTCTTTGCACAGCAAGGCGGGCATTTATACTGCTTGATGCTCTCTGCTTTAGCCGGAGTTATCTTAACGCATTTTCCATGGTACCAGCGTTCACAAACATCACAGCAAATCCAGAACTCCTCATTTGTGTAATTACCTCCACAGCTCCCACAGAGAGTGTCTCCATGCTCGTCTTCTTCTTCTTCCTCCTCATAGCTCTCTTCCATTAGTTTTGGTGTTGAGCTCTTTGTCTGCCCGTCTATTGATCTCTGCAAACACGATTTTTGTTTTCAAGGAGGGAAACCAGATAACAAAAAGAAGAAAGGAAGCTCCTTTTCTTATGTACCTTAGTGCCGTTTCTGGATTTGCTTCCGGAATCCGAGCTTGGCTTGTTGTCTTTCATGGCTTTCCTACCAGTCACTACATCGAAGAGAGTTGGGAGATCGTTGATCAGACTGAATAACCGCTTCCTGCAAATCAAAAGAATAACATAACTCCATGAGTGGACAACACATTGAAAACGGCAGCTGAGATAAGCTAAGAACTCGATTAGCAAGCGAAAGTGAAGAAGAAAAAACCAGTATCTTCATATCAGTACAACAAAAAATTGTGATATTTTATCTAGCATTATAAGTTTGTACCTATGTCGGTTTCAATTCTCTATCCTTGGGAATGCATCTACGAAATACTTTTTACTAGTGTAGTGTAAATAAGATGAGGACTAAAATGGTAGAGAAGCACTTTAGAGACTTGTTAATGTATAATTGAAACTACTGGTGGAGAAAACAAAGTCCAATTTCTTGGACCTATAATTGATACTAGACTTGTTAATGTATAAGATTGTTTAATAGACTAGATGACAAGACAGACAGTGATATGATATCATTAGTACTAATCAAAGAGCAATTTTTTTTGTTTGATATTCAACTTTCACATAACCTTTGTGAGCAAAGTTTTTGGGATTCCATAGTTACTAAGGTGAGTGTTCAGATCTAACAATTAAATGGTGAAATTCAGCACATGCTTCTACAGAATCCGTTTTGAGATTTCATAGGATAGCAAAAACCAGGCTTGTCAATTTAGGGTGAATAATCAAGTATGGCAATAAAGTAATCTAGTTTCAAGTTTAGCCATTACAATATCCAAAAGAGCTGAGAAAAAGTTTAGACAGATGAAGTGATGCAACAAACAAGAGCCCATAGATATGAATCTAGCCAGAAGAATAGCCAAGAAACAAAACAAACTCATTCCACATACATTCAAAGACAATCTCATTCCCAACCAACTCAATCATTATCACAAAGTTTCAATTTTTACTTCACATGAGAAGGGCCAGAGAACATAACAGGAACAAAACTACGGGGTTCTTCATATAAGAAGAGCAAAATCCATTGAAAATCAAGTAAAAGTGCAAGACTTTAGCTAAATAAAAAAACTCAAAACAATGAGAATGCAGAATCAAATTGTCGGGAAAAAGAGAAGTACCTCTCATTGCGATTAAGACGAGCTCCAAAGTAGAAAGAAACAGAGAGCAACCAACAATCACTGTGAACAGCAACAAGAGAAAGCCAATCTTTCCTCTGCATACCATCTCTAGCGAAATTGATACCAAGAGCAGGCTCAGGTAGCTCAGGAGGAACTTCCTCTGCTGGTAGATTCACTTCCCATGACTCATTAGGGTGTCCGTACAAACACAAATTCTCCTTTTCTATACCACAACACACAAAAATTGAAATCAAATCTCAATAAAAGAGACAAAAGGGTATCTAAAAGTCGAAATCTTTCTTACCCGGATCGCATTGAGAGTAAAAATCATCAACATCTGGAAAAAAAATCAAAAAACGAACAAGTTAAGGAGAATCCAAAGGCATTACGGAGAAATCTGGGAAAATTTAGAGAAAGCGAGAGAGAGGATTAGACCTTTAGTGAGAGCACGAAGAAGAGCGGCACGACGAGCGCTATAATCTTTGAAGATCTCTTCAACGGTGCGAGGGTTAGAGGAAACGGCTGCGGCGGCCATATCTCTACAGATTTATAAGATCAGTATTAGTTGAGAAAGATCGATGTCTGTATCAATGGTTTTTGAGACCCGATGCGTTCGGGCATGAAGAGAGAGAGAGAACAAGAGATAGAGAGAGAGTTGGAAGGAGATGGAGAGAAGCAGACGGAAGAAGAAGAAAATAAGAGAGAGAGAGAGAGAAAGAAAAATAAACTTTATTTTTGGGAGTTTGGTTGCGTCAGCGAAAAGGTTTGGTAGTAGAAGAAGATGCGTCACTTTTTAGGTAAATAGCAATTTAGTTGGGCCCTTAAGTGTTAGGTCTTAGGCCCAAATTAATCCAATCTCCTTAGTGATTTAAGGCCCAAATATAGTTTCTGATTTTACCTTAAAACACACCCCTGTCGGGAGTGTTACAATCAAGACATTTGTTGATGTCTAAACGTAAAACGTAGACAAGAAAAAAAAGAATTTACTTGAACACAAACTTTGTGTGTTTCTTTGATTCAAGTTTTAGATAAGTATAAATGTCAAGCATGATGATAACAAAGACTTTTAAAAATGATAACGTTTTTTAGAGCGAAATCAGATTATAGCAGAGACACTTGTAAAACAATCTAAAGCAAAGCTTTATCACATTAAGACAGTGAATTATATAAAGATAGGGTCTTGTTGTTGTTGTTGTTGTTGTCTGTTGAAATGTTTAGTCCCATTGTTCTTCCCAGAAATAAGTCCATTCTGAAGAATTTACTGTCTGTTTGCCATCTGCTGAAACAAGATCATAAGGAGAGTCCTCGGCGAATTCGGTTGGCATTGATTTCCAGTGAAGTGATGGATTCCATTCCGCTTCTTTAACCACTCTTAGTATCTCTGCCGCCACTAGTTTGCTTCCTTGTGCTGACAAATGAATCCCGTCTCTGTAAAGAAACCAGACTACCGTTAAAACATTTCAATGAACATCGATACTCCATTCCCGGTTGTCGCATTTGGAAACTCTGAGAAAGTCATATATATCCAAGGTCTATATATTTCTTCAGAACTCAAAAATACTTACGTGAAGCAAACAGTTTTCCAGTCATCTGCTTTCTGAAAAGTAGAGAAGAGATCAACTACTTCTACGCCGAGTTCTTGGCACAGCTCCACACAAGCATCTGAATAAGTCTTGCAGAGGTCGTTTGTGCGAATTACCTCGCTCAAGTATGGGCTTTTCAGGGAAAAAGAAGGACACAAATCATTAATAAGTCGGGAGTTAATAAGGAGAAACAGAGAGGTAGTGAAGAAATTCAGGGAAGGTACCTTTGGTTCTGACGAACTTTAGCCTCGTCCACTGGAGGACAACTAAGAAATATGATACGGGTGGAGTCTGAAAGGCTCTGAAACAGAACATAAATGATGATGTTATAATTGCAGCTTGCAATGATCTAGAGAGAGAGAGAGATTCAAAATGCATAATGGAAGATAAGCCTTTATTCCATATCTTCATAGGGAAGAAATTAGCTCTTGGAAACAACAATTCTAAAGAAAGTAGAACCTGAAGATGAAGAGCGATCTTCTTCATGTTATCAACATATTCAGTAAGTGGTACGTGAGGTCCTAGACCAGAAGGGTGAGGCGCCATTGAGTCGTTTCCTCCAAAATAGACAACTACCAGAGAAGGTTGTACTGCAGCATCCTGAATCCGTTACAAGTTGGCATTTTTAGGCAACAAAGTGGAAGAAAACAGAAGCTTTGTACACTGATAGTTTTCTACAAACTTAAGCTTGTTCTACCATTTTAAAATCCCAGAAAGACTTTCTAAGAGAAAACAGCTTAAGATATCAAGAAAACTCCAAGATAAAGAATATCCAACTGAAATAAACACTTGTGTAATCCTTTTGAGTATTTGAAGATATACAATTCACAAGAAAGAAGAAGCAAAAAAGAAGAAGTTGAAAGAGTACCTTGGGGAACACTTTGTCGACAACTTCCAAAGCACGAGAAGAGTTCCATCCATAATATCCTCGCAGAATGATGTCGGCCTATACACGTTGTCCACATAAGAGAAAAGTCACATTGAGTATTTGCTCTAAGAGCCCATATTAAATTTCTCCCATATCTATCTACCCCAAATCCCACCACATTTAGTTTTGCCATAAATGCCTTTTTATCATTCCATGACAACAAGGTAAAAGCTTGCTTTCATTTTAACATTTAAGTCCAGAAAAAGATAATCAAAACATCCAAATGGAGAAATAACATTACGGTTCTTGATTACGTTCAAGAATACTTATGTTGTCACATAATCAACGCTTATTCAGAAAACCAAACACGAATTTATAGTTAGGGGAAATAATACACAGTAATGAGAATAAGCGATCTACTTGTATAATCGACGCTCTAGCAATCTAACGAAGGATGAATACCGAAACCGGAAGCTACAGAGAGTGATTGATGAATCGGACGATACCTTACGAGCGTAGACCTCCGAAAGAATGGCACCCCAACCACCATGGCCAAAGCTCATCTGAACAATGGAAGATCCAAACAAAACGATCTGAGGCCGTGAGGGTCCAACCATTGTCTCCTTCCTAACCTCTCTGCCTAACAATCACGTCTCTCTTCCTCTGTTTCAGAGCTGAAGACAGGCCGTTCTTTCTCCCACCGCAAAATGAAAAAAAAAAATCGGCCGGTGAAGAACGAACAAACCTGAGCGATCTTCTCTCTCACTCTTTGTCGTAAGGTGCGAGATTAAATGCATGAACGTCGCGTTTTTTTCTTATTTTTGATTATTATAAAGGAAAAATAAAAGAAGAAAAAAACAATAAAAAACAAACAAAACAAAACAAGAAAACCTTTGTTATATGTTCCTCATCATCACGTGCATTACTGTTATTTCCTTTTTTAAGGATTTGTTTCTCATACTAGTTTTCTCTTTTTGTTTCTCAAATATTTTTTACTTGAAATGCTATACCAAAAAGAAAAATGATGAGAAATCTTTTCTTTCTTTTTCTATATGAAAATATCAGTTTTATGAATATATCTCTCTTTTATAATAAGCTTTGAGAAAAAACAAAGTCAAGAAAAATAGGGTAGTAAATAATGAGAGATTGGGTAGAGAGAGAGATTTATGAGCAATAATAATTCAAATGATATGGTCGTTGGTTGGTAAGTAAAGGAACACTGAATTAAAGGAGCACCAAATATAGATCAACCATATTTTTGTACTCTTCATTCAATGCCTCGACTTCTTTCTTCATATGTTATTTGGTTCAACAAATAACCACGTGAACATGTTAAGTGATTACATCGAACGATTTAGTAACAAGCATCTATCATTGGTCATAGTTTCATAACAGTATAATACAGAAATGAAATAAATTAGATTTCACTATAAAAACATATTGCTTCTTTTTTTTTTTTAAGCTAAATGTCAAAAACTGTTTTAAGACCAAACACTCTATAATGTAATTGCTCAGGTTAGTGAGTGAAATCAGAGAACTCAATGGAGAGGAGAAAAAAAACTAAGAAGAAAAGAAAGACTAACTCAGCAACTCAAAAATCGAGTGCTCCGGATTTGGATGAGCAGCTACCAGATGTGCCATATGATGTTCCACTGGACCCGTCTACAGGGGCTTGATTCAGACACTCTAGAGCCAAGAATCTTCTCTTCTTCAGGCTCATTGAGAAGGTTTTTGCCTCAAGAATTACAGGCACCTGTTCCATTAAACAATTCAGATAGAACCTGTGTGTTAGGACCAAAGTGAATCCTTTTTTTTCAACGGTTTCTAAGCGAGTTCATGCCATTCTCATCAAAAGAGAGAAAAATGCATTAGATGGGGATTTTTGGATAAGTTGCTCCGTAGACATTTGAATTTTTATCCATTGAACTTGTTTTTTTGACTTGGCAAAATACAAAAGGGGTTTTTCCTAACAGGTTTCAGGGTAATAATATCCCCTATATAAATAGAGAATTACAATTTGGAAATACCTGTGTGTTGATACGAGCAACCTTGTGTATGTTGAGGAATCCATTTATATCCTTGTATCCCGTTAGGAGTTTCTCCAATTCTTTGTCACCATCTGGAAAAAAAGGCAAGGATACTTGTCAAGAAACAACGACGATGATCTATTTATGAATAAGAAAATCAGGGAAAGCAAACCTGGAATTGCTTTGATAGAGAGCAAAGTATCTGCCATATGCTGAAGTCTTTTTGAGGAAGATGGTGAGAGCAAGGAAGGCGGGAAAGTAACAATGGCTACCGCATTTGAAACCATGAGCATACTTTTAAGCAATCTTATGAACGAGAGCATGTCTGATTCCTGTGTTGACAGAAACAAAATGTCAAAAAGTCAACATGATAATACAGAACAATGTGATCCTGGTACAAGCTTCAGCTTTCAAAAATTATAGAGTCAGGAGAATTTTAGTTAGAAAGTAAACAGACACCTTGTTGACTGATAATTACCTTATCAGAATACTCACACAGGGGAGAGCTGAATGACTGGATTGCGATGCGACCAATGGATGCAATGTTACTGCTGCTTCTGCGGAAATTATCACACAAGTTCTTAAGAAAAGATAAGATTCAAAACAAAGTCAACAAAATAATAGAAGAACTCGTACAAAGTGCCAAACTAGAACAATATTTGAGGATGAAATTATTGGCAACACAATGTATCATCTTAATATATGAGCCGTTGAAAAGCTAATTCTGTCCAAATAAAGTAGCATATTTGGAAGTATGCAAGAGAGATGTGAAAAAAAGAGCTTGGGCATATTTTGCTGTATAGTAACATGGAAGTGGACCAACAACTTATGGATTCAAAACAAGATGGAAGTAATTGAGCATCAAATAAGAAAGGGATGCCACACTACCTTGAAAATTTTGACAAAAAAGTTGAGCAGTGGTCTTGAGCAACGGAAAGATCTGAAGTATCTAACAGACTGACACAATCTATCGGCCGTCCACTAAGAAATTGCCTCTCCAAGGGCTTTCTCATATCAAAGTCATTGGAGTAATCATCTGATCCAGAATTAGATAAAACGGATTAGGTTTCCACATAATGATATTAACTTACTAATACTATTTACTAGTAGCTCGATTATACATAAATGACATGATGAGGTTATATGACCACAGTAACTAGATTACCAATAGAATTCTTCTGGCTTTCCAAATACTTCCGATACTGCCAAGCAATCCTCAAGCTCTCTCCCTACAAAATTGACAACAATGCACACTATCCAACTTGTAACTAACTCTTCATGTCATGCCAGGAAATAACAAACAGAAACAAAGTACGGACAAGAAAGAAGCACCTGATCAGGGTCGGGCGCAGTAGACTTATCCTCTTTGGATGATGCAGGATGCGGCAAAGTGCCAAGAAACCCTTTTGGATCTTTCGAAGGACTAGCATAAAGAAGTGGTTGATTGTTAACAAGCCCCTGAGACATGAAAGTTCTTAACAGATCCATATGATGCGGTGCTTCAGGATCTTCCATTACCATTACTAAGCTTCCCAAAGGATACCCACCACCTAGTATCCCTGGAAAGAAAATAAAAGACAAACCTTTTAGCTCCAAAACCAAACTCTCATCATCATCTAGACTTGATGTGTAGATTAAAAAAGGAGAAATCTCACTGTCAAGATCACGAATCCCAGTCGATATAAAAGCTGTGCCATTAGGACCACTTTTGAGACCAGGAATTTGAGGCGATGACACAACTGATATGTTGCGAGAGAAGCTGCTACTACTACGAACGTTTGGTGCAGCCATAATCAAATTAAGTAATCACACACGGAACTCAGCTCCAGGTTCAAAATCTAGAAAATCCCAAACCAAAAAACAAACAATCAATCAATAAGCCGTTACTAAATTCCTTTATGCTCACAATGAATTCACTAATTTCTATTCACTCAGGCATTTCATCGAACAACTGTCACGCAGCTGAAAGTAAAATCTTCCCCTACCAATATAGCTAAAAGAATAAAACACATAACTAGAGTCTAGAGAAGTATATTGATGGGAAACCTAGAGGCTATAAATCAAATATTACCAGCTATTTTCAAAGAGAAAACTCAAAGGCTTCGTCTTTGCTTCAGGTTTATGAAGATGGTCTCAGAAGTAGGAATCTTTTCTCGTAGTTCAGGTGCTCTTTGGTTGGCGTCTCCGGCGACTAACTTGGAAGAACCAGAAGGACCCCAAAAGGGGTTTTTCGTTTTTTCGTTTTTTCGTTTAGTGTAAGCGTTTGGGTCGGTCTTCGGCTCCAATAGAGACTCTTTATCGTCCAGAGGGTTTGCATTGTAATCAAAGGTTGATTATTTAGTAGTGATAATATGCAAAAAATACGAGTGTGTATAGATTTATCGTAATTCGCATAAAAAAATTAAGTTCCGTATATTCCAAGGTCATCCATGAATTTGTCAGGTCCACGTTACTACAAGAAAAAAAAAGGTGAGGACTTTTTTTCTTTTAATATCGTCAAAGAACACTTTTTTGATTTTTCTCTATTTTAAAGTTTCTTCCTTTCATCTATAAATCGGCAGATCATCTTCCCTTTTACGACACACACTCTTTCTTCTATTGGTTTCTCTTAAGAAGATTTGATTTTTTTTTTTGCTTTTATAGATTCTGAGAATAGTTTAGAGATGGGAAGATTGTTCTTGGTGAATTTGGAAGGCAAGTCTTACAGTTGTAAGCACTGCAAGACCAATCTTGGTCTCTGTGATGATGTCGTCTCTAAGGTTTGAATCTGACATGTTTTTACTTTAGCTGCTAAAATCTTTTAATCTGGGTTATTGCGATTTATCTCTTTTGATGATCAGATCATCATCATCATCATATGGGGTCTCTTTTCACTAGGATTGTGTGTTTGATGATTGCATAGATTAGATGATCTAAATTGATTGAGAAAATCATATGCTTTTTGATGATATCTGGAATCTAGATGATCATATCTCTCAATATTGGATACATTTATCATGATCAGCTAAATTACAGGAGCTAGAATTGGGAATAGTTTTATTTGGAGACTGTCCTGCATTCTCATTAGATCAATCTATGCTTCAAACATTGTTAGACTCTTTCTCAGTGATATTGGATTGTGATTAGATGCTAAATGCAATCGATTATTCTAAGTGCTTATGGTTCAGACATTGTAAGACTCTCTCTCCCCTTATAATGGTGAGAAGATTTGCAAAGTTTTAGTATTGTGGCATATAAGATAGAAAAGACATTCCTGCATTCTCTTTGCGTATAATGATTTAATTGGTGATTAAGCTGTGGCCAATTTTAGAGTTGATTTTGGTTAGATGCTATATGCAATCGATTAGTGCTTAACTGCTTATGGTTCAAGACATTGTAACACTCTCACCTCTTTTGATTTGTAGTCAGTGGTGTTTGTTGGTTTTCTTACATGGCTTCACAATGTCATTTTGTTATTACTCTCTTCTACTTGGCTTCACAATGTTTTAGTATTTTGGCATGCGGAAGATACTGACTACATCTTGTTTGCCTATCTTTTACAGTCTTTTCAATCCCGACATGGGAAAGCTTACCTCTTCAGTAAGGTGTAAGTTTTCTTCTCCAAGTTTGATTTGGTTTTTTGGCTAGCCAGATTTGAAGAAACCCGAAGATCCTTTTGAAATGGCCTTTTGATGGATAGGAAGAGCTATGCATTTTCACCAGTTATGAATTTGTGTGAACAGAGTGAATGTGTATGCTGGGAAGAAGGAAGATAGGATGATGATGACGGGAATGCACACCGTAGTCGATATTTACTGTGTCAAATGCGGCTCTTATGTTGGATGGAGATATGTATGAAACATCAAAATGTTTCTTTTTCTTCTTTTTTGGTATTCTGCATTGGGTTCTTGCTTGCTAATCTAATCTTGTCAACCTCTTTTTTATTATGCAGGAGTTTGCTTTTGAGAAGAATCAAAAGTACAAGGAAGGAAAATCAGTTCTCGAAAGGTTAATACCCGAATAATCTTAACCGCTGATGTATCTTCTTTGAGAGAGATTCTTGAGATGATGCATTTGTTCATATTCTTTACAGGTACAAGGTTTGGGGTCCAGATGGGAACAATTATTGGGTGGCTCAAGAAGTTGAAGCCGGAGATAGCGATACTGATGATGCTTGATCTCATCATTCATATCTGATTTGTACATTCCCTCCTCCAACTTTTTCATCTTTCTTTATTCTTTTTCAATTTTCTTTTTCCTCATTTTGTAAACCATCCATCTTACATTAGAACAGCTTCCAAGATCAATTATTTGGTCATTGCTGCAACTACTTTGGACACCCAAGTTAAAGATCTCTCATTATCTTATCTGCCTAAGTTTAGTTTGTTTCCAAACATCTGGGGTTTGACTTATTTTGTTTTGCTAAAAATCTTGCCAAACTAAAACAAATTATTCGTTTACGCGTTTTGGTTCAATTAGATTTGAATTTTAAAAATAAAGTAAACATGTACAAGTACCCAAAAAAAAATTACATCTTTTTGGTATCATGTGATCAAAATAAAGAGAAACATGACATTACCGATATTATAATTATGTTACAGAATGCTTTTAAGTGGCTTGAGTTAAGCTTAATGTTACCGGAGTTCATACACCATTCTCTCCGATAGCTCGGCTCCGACAACTTTCCTGTAACTAACCAACATGGATTCCAGTTGTTTCTGAACCACTGGATTCTTGATCCGTGGTATATCCTTCAAAGACAATTTAAAAAAAAAGTTTTACAAAGATTTGAGAATTTGATTATCTGAAAAGAAAACAGGAGAGAGCAATGATAGTGATACTGATAGTACCTTGTATCGAAGTCGAGGTCCATCAAGACTGATAAGGATATTGGTAATGTCACTCCGGTTTCTGCTAGAGTCTGAGTCTGAGTCTTCATCAGAGTTATACATTTCATCATCATCATCATCATCATCATCATCATCATCATTTGTATCCCCTTGCTCCATGTCTTCATGTTCCCTCGTGGATTCCACTAGGTTTTCAGAAGCTTGAGGTGATGATGATGATGATAGAGACACCTTAGTGAAATTGGACAAGACGGAATATGGCTTTTTATCAAGCAGAGGCTTGGCTACTTCGAATGGAACCCATCTGAGAACAAAATACAAGAAAATCAATTTTATTCTCTCAAAAATGACAACAATTAATAAGAATTTGGTCTTAGTTTTGTGGTTTAAGGAACTTACTGGTACCGGAGAGGGCATAGAAGCTCTGACGGACGATAGGCTGCTTTATATCTCATCTTGTTGCAGGAATGTATGTAATAGCCAAGATAGTAATACTCAAGAGTAGAGCAATGAGCTTGGTTCTGTTTTACCCAATCGATTTCTTGCAGGGCTGAGTAGTTTCCAAGAGACAAGGATGCGAAATCCGGATCCCAGAATAGGTATTTACTAGATAAACATTTAGGAAGAATGTCAATCACCCCAACAGCAATTAAACGGTCATCAACTCGGTATTGTTGATGGAAAGAACCAAAGCCACAAGGAGGAACCTTTTCTTCGTCATCATAACCTGAAGCCGGAACTTCAATGAGCGGAGTGTCAACCAAAAACCTTTTGTATGAAGTTTCTGAGATGCTCTCCGGCTTATCATTATGCACCTTCAGTTGATACCGTTTGTATAATTCATATTCCTCTGGATCAAAACTCGACCTTTTCAAGTGCATCTCCAGCTTCCGCTTTCTTGCATGAAGCTTGTTCGAAGAAGACTTTGTTGTTGTAGCACAGAATCTTTCTTCACCTTCATTTCTATCTGAGGAAGTAACTCCAGTAGCTGAAAGGAAGTTGATATGGCCCTTGGAGACCTTAACAGAAAAACCAGTAAACTCTTCTACCTTATTCATTGCACTTAACAACTTCTCAGAAACAGCCTCTGGTGATAATCTGTTTTCTTCTACGTTTTTGCCTTTCTCAGATGTCTCTGTGCGTTTTATTGCAGCTACTATTGGAAAAGCAATGTTACTGGTGTATAAGAGTTCTTCTGACCCTTCAGCTAGTTTCTTCCTTTTAGCAGAGAGAACTTTCTTTACTGAAGCTTTGGGAATCTGAATATTAGAAGGAAACTCACCACTTTGTATGCATCTTTGTACCGCATTCTCAATTTGTTCAGCCAAATCTTTCATGATTGGTTCCACTTCATTGTTTTGTTCTCTTTTAGCAACTCCAAGTGATTTTCTCACAGACACTGAAACTTCGCGGGAGAAAGAAACGTCTTGATCTTCTGTCTGCTCACTCGGCTTCGCATCTAGTTCTCCATCCAAGAACCTTTTTAGACAACATCACAGAAACAGTTAAAATAAGAAGGGAAGTTTCCCATTCCGAGACTGCGTTGAATTTTGAGAACAAATTGGTTGAGAGAGAAAGTAACACAATTTCAACAACACGTTTTAAAGGCAAGACTGACGCAAGAGGAAAGGTTTTATTGACAGAACTAAAAAAAAATCTTGTTACAATTTCCGTTTATTGATATCCGAAGAAAGGGAGGAGAAGAGTGCATCCATAGATATATACCTTTCTAGTCTTCTACGCACTCGCTGCTGTTCCTTAGAAGGAACAAAATCGCTTGCTTTCAAGCGGATTGTATAAGAAGGGCAACAAGTTTTATCCATCTCAGGTTTGTAAAGGAAGCAGCCAGATCGTCTCCATCCACGGTTAAGAAGAGCTATTCAAAAGGAAAAGCAAAGATACATCAAAATGATCAATAAGAGAACCAAAATGGTGGATGAAGAACTTCAAATCGAAGTACAAATCTTGAGAAGCAAAATTCAAACTTTGTGTTTGCACATAATCAATACTAATATCTATAAGAACATGAGATTGGTGTAACAAACCTTGGTAGTCATTAACGGTGAGTCTCTCTGTCCATAAACCTGCAATGGAAATGATACACATTCACTCACTGAGTTATTAATACAAAACCATGGACATTTCTGATCTTACACTATCATAGCAAAATATATAAAATGGGAATTTTCGAATTTCCCCAATCTTTAATTCGACTTAGCTTGATGATAGTCAGATCAATTCAACGACAACTCTAGCGAAGATTCACGAACAATTAAAAAAACGAAAAATTCAACTGGCGAAGGCAACGAACCGTGAGAGATACTGGAGCGGGTAGAAGATTTACAGTAACCGCAAGTTGATTTATTTCGTCCACAATCAGCGACTACACTCTCTCCGCTGACGCCACCACGACTGCTACTTGCCTCGTTCTTCGTCTTCGCTTTCTTCGACGACATGATCGGAGAGAATTCACAACGATGAGCTCTTCCCGACGATGAAGAAGGAGAAGAAGCTCCTGGTTTTCTCTTGAAAAAAAAGTGAGAAACGCCCTGTAGTTTTTACCAATATGAACGACAGGAAGTTTTCTTCACAACATTAAAAAACGTCACGCGATGTTATGTTATTAATTTGGGCCCAATTTTAAGGTAAAGCCCAAGTTCATCAAAGTAAACAAGAGCCGTCAGATCAGAAATCTAGCAAAACAAACACGAACCGTTAGATTAAGATCATCACCAAAACCCTAGCTTCCTTCATCATCTTTCCCAATTCGTCGAACACTCTCCGAAACAGAGCACATTTGAGTTTTTTTTTAATCCTTTGAGCAACAACAATGGTGAAGGCAACGAAAGCAGAGAAGAAGATCGCGTATGACACAAAACTATGTCAGCTTATCGACGAATACACTCAGATCTTAGTCGTTGCGGCGGATAACGTCGGATCTACTCAGCTTCAGAACATCAGGAAAGGTCTCCGTGGAGACTCAGTGGTTCTCATGGGTAAGAACACTATGATGAAACGTTCCGTTAGAATCCACTCCGAGAACACTGGAAACACTGCGATCTTGAATCTGCTTCCTCTCCTTCAGGTTAATATTTCAGCTTCTTCGAAAATGTTTGAGGTTTTCTCGACGCTTGAGACTTTAGATTGTAATTTGCGATTGTTCTGTGTTTGTTTTTAGGGAAATGTTGGCTTGATCTTTACTAAAGGTGATCTCAAGGAAGTGAGCGAGGAGGTTGCTAAATACAAGGTTGGTTGGTTATTTGATCCCCAAATTTGGTTAGCAAATGTTTGATTAGTATGTGTAGCTAAGAGTATTGGATTGTGTAAAATGTTGATACTTGATTGGATTGAAATGGAAGTCTTTTATGATGTGAACAGGTTGGTGCTCCTGCTCGTGTGGGTTTGGTTGCTCCAATTGATGTGGTTGTTCAGCCTGGCAACACTGGTCTCGACCCATCTCAAACATCTTTCTTCCAGGTTTGGTTAATCATACATTGTAATGCTCGATTGGTTTTTCGTTTGAATACGAAAGATGAAGTTGTTGAAAGATGAATGTGTTTTTTGGAATGTTTAGGTGCTTAACATTCCGACTAAGATTAACAAGGGTACTGTCGAAATTATCACCCCTGTGGAGCTTATCAAGCAAGGTGACAAGGTTGGGTCTTCTGAGGCTGCCCTTTTAGCTAAGCTTGGCATTAGGCCTTTCTCGTATGGTCTAGTTGTTCAGTCGGTTTATGATAATGGCTCAGTGTTTAGCCCAGAGGTTCTTGATCTTACAGAAGATCAACTTGTGGAGAAATTTGCTTCTGGTATCTCCATGGTCACTTCCTTGGCTCTAGCTGTCTCTTACCCTACCCTTGCTGCTGCGCCTCATATGTTCATCAATGCCTATAAGAATGCCTTAGCTATCGCTGTTGCCACTGACTACACTTTCCCTCAAGCAGAGAAGGTTAAAGAATTCTTGAAGGTTAGTCATTAAATTGTATATCTTTTTATGTGATTACTAAAGCTTGGAGCCTTGGAGTATTGTTCTTGTTAATGCTAACTCTCTGGTGTGAATTTGGAATGCAGGATCCAAGCAAGTTTGTTGTTGCTGCAGCGGCAGTGTCAGCGGATGCAGGTGGTGGTGGTGCTCAAGCTGGAGCTGCTGCTAAGGTGGAGGAGAAGAAAGAAGAATCAGACGAAGAAGACTATGAGGGTGGTTTCGGTTTGTTCGACGAAGAGTAGGTTTTGTCTAATAAGTGTTGCTTCGTTTGTATTAATGTTGATCTCAAATTTTTTGGTTTTAAGCAAATTCAGATTTTATGTTATTGTCCCTTTTTGGAACGACTTTTATTTACCAACTTCAAAAAATATGTTTGGTAAAAAAGAAATGTTGTGTTTTTTCTTATGCCTGAACAAAATTTATTAACTAAAATATTAGCTAACACAAACACAGCTATTTGGGTTAACAAATTCAGAGACCAAATTATTTTGGTTATATATTTGTTTGGTAGCCAACAATGTATACGCATCTAAAATTGTGATTTTTGCTCGATAACTCAAATTCTGAAGGATTGGAATATATATGTCACTGACTCATTGGGGTGCTCTGATTTGGATGGACTATAAAACAAATATTGTTATTTGTTGATTTGAGCTTGTGTTTATTTTTAAATAAAACAATGTCACATTTCACATTTGCTTGCCAAAATGTGTCGATAGATAGACACTATCTTGTGTCTTTTAAAAGTATATTGATGCAGAAGAAGACTTTAGACACGATTTTATAAAACCTATGATATTTGAGGTATTACACTTTACAATTAATTAAAAGTTTACGTTTATTTGTTCTAATGCTTTCCATCGCAGTAGGCTCTTTGCCCTAAGATCTCACGCGTGCCCTAATTTCAAGCCTTGAATCCATCCTGGTTTCCTACTTTTCTGTTTAATTCTAATCCTAATTTATGTTGGATCAATATTTGATAAATATAAATCGGACATTTGTAAATTGTTACTAACATAAAACACTGTTAACGGGTTTTCTGAATAGCTAGCTAATTGTGTATTGTTAAAGAAATAGAAAAGAGTGGAATTAAGATCTTTAAGAAAACTTATACCAAAGTTTGGAGTTTAACTATGAAATATGTATATCTTATGCTATCACACGTCAAAAATTAGTCAACAACACATCTGCATTCTCTGAAAAATTACTAGATAAACAATACCGCTGAGACTTGAGCGAATGATTCAATTATCAAAATTTTAAGTGACACTATTTCATCCCACTTAAGTATGTTAAAGTGCTCAGAAATAAATAGGAAATTGTACTGGACATACAGAGAAGACAAAGGACAAGGAAGACCAATACATGTCGCTACTTTTTACAAATCTCTAAACCTTAAATTCTTCCCCATGTAAGCTTGTGAACAAATAATAATTTTAATTAATTAGATATTTTTCTTCAATTGCCTTCCAAAATCTTTATATGCAACTACCATCCTAGTAAAATAAAATGTTTTCTACATATGCAATTTCGTGATACAACGAACAAGGTTATATTTCAAAGTTTCTAGAAGGAAACCTTTAAAATAATATCAAATAAGAAAATTACTTAGGAAAGTTACACGCTTGACATGAATAGAGTTCTTTTAAGATTTGGTATTAGTTGAACCTTTTGATGAGAGTAATGGGGAAAAAAAATATGGAACCAATTAAAAAAGAAGTTAGATATTACCACAACATTGACCTAGTAGTTAGAGCCTAAACACCACTAGCCAAGAATTAGTCCCCAAACTGATGTCGTCTCAATCTTTATTATTCTAATGATCGTATCAGATATTATACTATAGAGCTTATAGATAACTGTATATATATTGACGTTAAATATAAACTAATATGTATATATTATGTGGTACATGGAACATCATAGGGAATTGAATGTTAGTGGGCATTACGATGTGAGACCGCCTTCAACTTTTTTGACTACGATAAGAACGCAATTCTCGCTGTCTGAGGCAGCAGTCTATATACAAAATAAATAAGTCAGATGATATTTGTATATAATCATCTTGCAAAATTTGATCTTCATACTTTATATTAACTACTCAATAGCGAAACAAACCTTAAGCTTTGATCATCTTAAAACACTACTAACGATGTGAAGCAAGAAACACTTTCATCAAAGGCAAATTTTCTCATCTCCCTTGGGTTTGCAACTTTAATTGAATTTGTATAATTTTAAATTTAAACACAAATGCATACATTAAAGTAATCCTATTTAAACTAATTAAGAACAATACTTTCTTAAAACTAATTTCTCGATTATGTTTTGGTAGTTGTTCTTTCGTTATTAGTATAATAGTTGAACTTTTTGTTCGAAAAGTTTTCTCAGCAGTTACTTAAATCAAGAGTGTTGTCCATTAAGGCTAGACAACTTTCATAGGTGTTTAGAATCAAAATAAAAATAAAAAAAAACTTCCATAGGTGTCCATTGCACAAAACGGGTTGATTGATTTCTCTCTCGATTATTATTTTTAATAATAGTAACAATAAACTTAAAATTAGAAACCAAGGTTGCTTTTTGAGGTTCCCAAAACTTGGAACCCGGACTTGTGTAAAAAGAAAAAAAAAACAACCCAAAAAACTATGCAAACTAGTGAATGTTGGATAAGAGCATATACAACTAAAAATATAGCAAAAGAACAAAATATGAAAGGTTTGGGGGCATCCAATACGAGAGTTTTCCATACAAGAGTTTTAAATTTTTAATATCTCTAATCCATGGCATGCATGCCATCTTAACTTTTTAACGTAAAACTCATAGCTTTTGGTCATCCGGCCAGTGCCAGTAATTGGGCGCATGCCTACTTTTTATCTCACAAAACTTATAAAGCATAAAGTTTCTCTAAATCGAATTCAAATGAGTGATATCCACAATTTTGCTTATTTAGACACAAGAGTAGGTAACATGAGATATCCGGTAAGAAAATTATGAGGTTAATGAAAAAGGATATTAACAAAAAAAAACACTAAACAAAGATGTTATGTAAAATTAAGTGGGATGATTCCAAGTATCATAAGCCACGTGAACTTTGACTTTGACACCGAATCGATCAATTTTAAAAACAAGATGCAGTTTATATGCGAGAGAGACAAATATATTTGTAAGTACTGTTATGTTGTTTAGTGAAGAGTACTTTGTTTATAAAAACAATGTTTGGTTTTATTCACATTGTCATTTTATTATTTGGACCATTTTCGTCTTGCTTAGCTTCCCGTGCATGTCTCATCTAAGTCCTCACCATTAAGACATTTTGACGCACACATGAATATAAATAAGCGAAATAAAATATTGCTCGATTTTTCATTTTCTATTTTTTTCAGTGTCAATTAGAAATCAAAAGTTTCTTGTAAAAACAACTAGACCATGCAAATTTCTTATATATATTTCTAATATATATAAAGATGAGTCTTATTGATGGTTAAAATTATTTTTACCTTTTGCAGAGTTGCAGTCATCTTTTCAACCATTCTTCACTCTAGAAGAGTTCTATATATACTAGCTTTTCACAAATATTTTGGTGTAGGACTTTTTAGTTATTACTATAGATATTTAATACATGTGTGTGGCGGACCTTCTGGCTCTATCTATTAAAAGCCTTTTCTTTTGTAAATTTATATGATTCAGATGTATGTAATAAAATATTACATTTTCTTATATAAAATGAGAACAAATTTTCAAATTTCCTGTCTACACTTGCCGACCAAACTTCCTCAAGTGTCACATCTTCTGTGGAAGTGAGACAAAACTACAATCTGTTCACACAATGTCATGATGCTTATAATTAATCTTATCATTTTTCATTCATATATATCAAACGAATATCGGCCATCCGTCTAAATAAGGTGCAGATAATTTGTCTTTTACAACAATTTCAAACTTATTTTTCATTTTTATATGTTATATACAATTTGTAAAACATTTAAATTTGTATTTTAAAAAATAATTTGGAAGTCATATAATGAGATTGAAGTATTGAAGTTACAATGTTGAATGTTAGAATATTGACACTGGTACAAATTATCACCAAGGCTTTCTGATATTTCTAGTCGTTGATTCAGATAGATATTACAACTTATGTCATGACAATGGGAGATCCAATAATATACTATTAAATATTAATATACACACAAAAACATATGTATAAAATATATACATGGAACAGAAGCCTAGATAGGTTAGGATAAAGAAAACGATCAAATCTGCAAAGATCAGTCTCTCCCAAATCCCCAAAAAAAACAAAGCATGCATTTCGTAATAAACAACTCATCATAAAACGACACATAACTCGAAAACCTCTCCTCCCGACAATTTATCAATTCATATCGCCCTCTCTTTTTTAAAGTTGGAAACATAATAAATTATTATGAATAATCTTACTATATATATATGGATATATACACAGGCCCTAAAACGTAAAACAGTTGAGGACTTTATATCTGAAAATGTCTTTCTCCATGAAAGGTCGAAGCTTACGTGGCAACAACAACGGAGGAGGAGGAGGGACGGGGACGAAGTGCGGGAGATGGAATCCCACGGTGGAGCAGTTGAAGATATTGACTGATCTGTTTCGAGCTGGTCTTAGAACTCCGACCACTGATCAGATTCAGAAGATCTCTACGGAGCTCAGTTTCTACGGCAAGATCGAGAGCAAGAACGTTTTCTATTGGTTCCAGAATCATAAGGCTAGGGAGAGGCAGAAACGTCGTAAAATCTCTATTGATTTTGATCATCCATCATTATCAACCATCAACTAGAGGTAATTAATCTCTTTAATCTATATCTATATATTATATGATTGTATATTTAAAGATTATATTGAAGGGTGATATTGGTATATTATTGTAGATGTTTTTGAAATAAGCGAAGAAGATTGTCAAGAGGAAGAGAAAGTGATAGAGACATTACAACTCTTTCCGGTGAATTCATTTGAAGACTCTAACTCCAAGGTGGAGAAACTGAGAGCTAGAAGCAATAACCAGTACCGTGAATATATTCGAGAGAGCAACAACACAACGTCGTTTTCTCCATATTCATCATGTGGAGCTGAGATGGAACATCCACCGCCGTTAGATCTTCGATTAAGCTTTCTTTGAATTATTGACCACATAAAAACAGACGCTTTAACCTTTAAGAGATGTTGTTGTATTTTGAATTATGATCACTTGTATCATCCAATGCATGAGTTATGACATAGACAAAGTTGTCTCATTTTAACTATTTTCATTTTGTTTTTTTTTTTTTTTTTTTTTTTTTTTTTTTTTTTTGATATAAGAATCTATGTTATGGAATGAGTATATGTATATATCATATAACTAAGGTTGTGATTTGTGAATGCATTTTTAATTTCTATGGTGTCTTTAAATAATTTATAGAAAGAGATTATTTATGAATATATAAATGGTAGAAAGCCTTTTGATGTTTAATCTGTTTTAAGGTTTTGGTTTTGCATGCCGCCTTGCGGAAAATAGTTCTATTTGCATAACAAAAATACTATATAAACAAACTTGTCTCTATTAATTTATAAAATTTGCATTATTTAAAAACACTTAAGTCTTGACCTACCATTAGACCAAGAAACTTCCATAATCTTATAAAAGAACTCTTTTTAAATGAACAAATTAATAATATCCTTTACAAGATAATACAATACTAATCATGTAATTGTTTATATTATTTTAAGCAGATCATTGTCTTTAAGGCCCATATCATTGGGCTTTATAATACAAATAAGGCCTAAGATTTGGTTAAACCCATAGTGCTGCTACAGAAGATTAATTAAAGGGGTTTTCCTGGAGAAGAAGCAAACTCAAGCTCCGTCGGAGAAAAACGGAATCGGAAGCTGAGGTTTTTGATCATTCCCGGAGAATTTTTTGAGTAGTTCTCAAGAGAATTTGATTCACCGAACAATGGATGTTATAAAGACGCAGCAAATATCGGCAAGGACGATAGAGAAAGTGATCGTTCACCCACTTGTCTTGCTTAGTATCGTCGACCATTACAATCGTGTAGCCAAGGACACACGCAAGCGCGTCGTCGGCGTTTTGCTCGGAAATAGCTCTCGTGGTACTGTCGACGTCACCAACAGCTACGCAGGTGCCTTAATTTAACTTTTCCTTTCTCTTGGTTCTCACAGATCTCTGAAAGTTTGCTGAGCTCTTGCTAATTCCAGAATTCGATATGTTTAGTGTTATTATGTGAAAATTAATTCACTTTCGTCAATTTAGGGTTTTTGTAGCTTGTGGGTTGCAAAATTGACTTAGTTTTTAAGTTGATTCTGTGATACTTGGATTCAGTCAAACTTGGTTCTAATTCCATATTGGAGTGATGAGTATAATATGGTGTAGAGAGTTAATTTAACAGATTTCATTTGATTTTGCACAGTACATTACACTACGAGCCTGTTCATAAGTGCGTTGTTATTGCACATCACTTGTTTGACTTTTTGTCTCTTGGTTTTACAGTGCCTTTTGAGGAGGATGACAAAGACACAAGCATCTGGTTTCTTGATCACAACTACCACGAGTCGATGTTTCACATGTTCAAGAGGATTAATGGTATTGCTCGGGAAGATAATGCTTAAGAATATAGATGTGGAAAACCTCTTGTTGACTGATTTAATCTTTGCTTTCAGCTAAGGAGCATATTGTGGGTTGGTACAGCACAGGTCCTAAACTTCGAGAGAATGATTTGGATGTTCACGCTTTATTTAATGGGTAAGACCATGGCTTAATGTAAAATCATTCTAAAATATGAGATATGATGGTCTAATATATGGTTTTCACAGATATGGTCTAATACAAACATTTTAAAGCCTTCACAATCTATCTCTCTTTTCTTTGCTTTTTGTTTTTCTTCGGGTTTTAATCTTACTTTCTGGTGTTGCAGCTACGTTCCAAATCCAGTGTTGGTCATTATTGATGTCCAACCTAAAGAACTTGGAATCCCTACAAAAGCATACTATGCAGTTGAGGAGGTGAAGGAGGTAAAATACCAGCCGATTTTCTAACCATATCACTTGCTCGACTGTTAAGTTGCAGCTGACATTCTTGATTTACTTTCTTATCTTTCTGCATTTGTGCTGTTTTTGTAGTTATATCCCTATATCTAATTGTCTTGATCTGAACTTGTTTCTCTGCAGAATGCTACCCAGAAAAGCCAGCAGGTGTTTATACACGTGCCTACAGAAATTGCGGCTCACGAAGTTGAGGAAATTGGTATGTCCACTTGAAGAAAATAAATCCTTTGATGGTTTGATTACCTTATTTCAGAGCATAAAATTGATGGGATATTTTATTTTTTATTTGCTTCCGAGGAAACTCAATGGAGTCCTACTTGCTTTGTTTACGCTGATTGGTTGGTCTTGAACAGGTGTGGAACATTTGCTCAGGGACGTAAAAGACACAACCATCAGTACCTTGGCAACTGAGGTTATTTCCTTCAAACATAACTTAATCATTTCATCATCAAGCTTCTTAATGTCCAAATCATGATTGTTGCTCTCAAAATAAAATGTGGGGAACATATAATGAGGAAACTGAAATTATTTGTGAACTGTATTTCAGGTCACGGCGAAACTTACTGCTCTGAAGGGATTGGATGCACGACTTCGGGAGATCAGGAGTTACCTTGACCTTGTCATCGAAGGAAAACTCCCATTAAACCATGAAATCTTGTACCATCTTCAGGTTAAAATACTCACACCTCTTAATTCTAGTTGACTAGTAGTATCAAACTTGTTTTCGTGTTTGCTTTTCCCAGTATCTGTGTCTGCTATTAGGGATTATTCAGCTAAATTAAATACTCTTTTGCAATCTGTAGGACGTATTTAACTTGCTTCCTAACTTGAACGTCAACGAGTTGGTTAAGGCCTTTGCAGGTTTGCTTTTTCTTCCTTGAAGTTTTATGTTCGCACAGGTATTCTCTCATTTGCACTCTTTTTTTTTCTCTGACTTTATCCATTTTTTGTACAGTGAAAACAAATGACATGATGCTCGTAATCTACCTATCGTCGCTTATCCGAAGTGTAATCGCCCTCCACAATCTGATCAACAACAAGGTTAGACGATCATCTCTCTCTCATTGAATTTGCTCTAATTTGTTTTGTTCATTCGTGGATGCTATGTCTCCAGTTATTGAACAAGGAACATGAAAAAGCAGAGGACTCAAAGCCTGTTGCCATACCTGCAATCACTGGGAGTTAAATGCAGCCAAATTTCGAGCTTTGTGGAGATTTTCTAATTGGATGTTACTGTCATTTCCTGCATGTCAAGAGGGTCTGTTGGGGAACAAAACGGGTTTGGTCTCGTTCCGATGAAAGTTGTTTCTACAATGGTTATGTTATTAATATGTCGTTTCTGTCTCGAAAGATTTTTTATTTTTAGTTTCCCTAATTTTTCCTTTAAAAGATGATATAAGTAAAGTAAGTATTACATCAATATGTGCTGAAATATCCATGAAAGTTGCTCGCGTTTTGAGTATGACGTCGAACTAGCCAGGGGTGTTCCGGATTTCGGTTGAGTGAATAAATGATGAAAATTGGGATCTTGTCGGATTTGGTTAAGATTTCATGGATCCGGTTATCAACTGGTTTACATGATCGTTTATAAATTTTAAACTATGATATATCGTCTCCTCTGATCTATAAGGCAATCAAGTTATGGAGGATAACTTACCATAGTTAAAAATATAGAAAATCACAAAATTAGATTCGTGTACACCGGATGTGTAGAGATGACCTGGTCCGGGGTTATAAAAATACTTTAAAAACAAAGTGTGTGTACAAAGTGTTCACATTGTTAGAGAAAAGAAGGAAGAAGATTGTCACTTTTTTATATAGAATTTGTCATGAAAATAGAAAACTAAAAAAATGAAGATATATTGAAGGGCCGCCAAAAAAAAATAAAGAGGTGTTTGGAAGGAAAATAAAGGCATACTAGTGGCGTAAGCTTCGTGAAAAGGATATGATGATAAGCGGAAATTTTGAAATTATGAAATCATGAACGTGCTTTGTTACGCATTATGCTTTTAAGCCTACTTTCGATGAACATTTTCTTTCTTCTTGATAAAACAATTAACAAAGGTTATAAATTCAGTTTTGTCGTTTACATAAAATATGTTCATGATTAGGAAGGATTAGCCTTAGGTCGTAAAGCTTCTCGACGTTTCTCCTACTTATTTTATTGTTCAATGTTCTTTATGATGTTTGTACTCACGTAGCATATGTCGGTATAAGAATTGTTAAATAACAATTATAGTATTTTTTTTTTAATTTTTTTTTGATAATTCAGGTGATTCTAATTAAGGCTTCGTAGGCCCAAAGACTAATCCTAGGGGCCGGGGAAACCATGTTAAAATTTGAACTCCGGTGGCCAATGCTACTCGAGCCAAGACGACTTGGTTTTATTTAACAATTCTCTAGAATATGTCCCTATAACTTTGCTATGGAAAGGATCTAACAAATGGTAAGTTCACTTTAAATTTATATCTACTTTTGCTTCCTGTTGTTCTCAAAGTTATCAGCATCGCAAATCTTTGTCATCGAATAGTGGATGTGTACACATACGCTATTAAAATAGTGTATACTGTATAGTATATAGTAATGCATGTATGACGTAAGAACATTGAATGTTTTTTTGATATTGGTACATCAGTGTAAGGCATGTAGATCCCATCGAAGCGACCAGATCGAAAGTGACAAAATAACAAAAGGGTGGCAAAAGAAATAAAGCCATAAAGTTGCAAGAAAGAAAAAACTACTTTGTTTTCTTTATCCGAAATAGGATCTCACAAATTGCACACAATTGATGATCAAGATTCATTTAATATAGAAGATATAGAATTCAATTAATCCGATTTCTTTGACATATGAACTATGATAAGACAATATAATTGCTTCATTAAGTTTAGCCTTTGGTAGAAACAAACTTCTTCTTTTTATTGCCCTTAGTTATCCTGATCATTTCTAAATGATTATCCAACACTCAAATGATTTTAAGTTTTCATATAAAAAAGGGAGGGTCATAAATTTTAAATTCTATCGCCTGAAAAATGAATAAAAGCTCTTCTTGAAAAACATGTATTATACATCACTATATTATACAAAAATTAGATATATAGAAGTAGACATTAATTATTACTGGTTCATGATTTAAAACGATAAGTTTGCTGAATGATGACTATGGTCAGAGAGTTGAATACTATGGAGTGTCTTTCGTTTTATTCTCCAGTGTTTAGATTGGGACAACAAATGATTAAATTTTTTTAAATAAACATTCATTCATATTTGTTTGTATTCAAATGACACCATTATACGTAATTTTAAATACGTTATTGTATAGATTTGAGTCAGGAGGCAAAGGGGTTGGTGTAATAGATGAGAAGAATGAGATTCTTTGGTCAGAAGTGGAAAGCAGACTCAGCCTCTATTATACTCAAATCAATTCTTCGTACCTTCCACCAACAATTTCTCAATATTGAAAACTATACTATAGCCATCTCCTTAAAATATATCCAAACCCAAACATTTAAACATTTAACAAATTTCTCATTTTTGTGTAGTGTTGGATCTCTTGAGTCTTTATTATATCTTTGCATTTAACACCATAAAATAGATATATTGTGGTTAAATGTTATCATAAAGCACAAGTCTTTTTCACAATTAAGTCTATAATTAATGGTAAACAAAACACACTTTTTTTTAATTTAATAGGTATTTAGTAGATATAACACACAAAAACACAGAGTCACATTCATGTAAAAAAAACAAATTCTTGCTTCTTAAACAACACAATTACAATACATAAAATAAACTTGGGTTTTGCTTATAATCCGCTAATTACAGTTTCAAAACTCAACTTCTTTAGAACGCTGAGTTGGGGGATATATTCTATGTTACCTTAAGCTCCGGCACTGAAAGCATTTTGTCCAGCGAAGTTAATGGCAGCTTCGAATGAAGTTGGTGATGGAGAAAACAGGTTTTCTGAAGATAGATTCTGACCCATAAATATTACTCCCTCCTCAGCATTATCCTTGTCGATAAACCCTAAATCAGGGAGGATATCTGTGTGATCGGAAAAGGAACGGTTGAGATTGGCATTGAGAAGATTGCCGGTTGTGATGTCATGGATACTTGGCCGGCGTTTGTCCTTGGCTCCGGAGAGTTGTCTCTGATAATACTTTTGGGCGTGGCTCGCCACTTGCGTTGGTGTCTTCGACACAACAAAGTTTCTTGATATGTTTCTCCAATCTCCTTTACCAGTACTTGAGAAGCCCTAACAAGAATCTCCTGCAAAGAACAAAAAACAGAGCGTTGAAAACCTTAGGAAAAACAGGGGAATGGCTTGCGTTGCAAGAAACCTAGGAAGAGTGACTTATGTGGAAAGAAATCTATAGAGATGAAAGAGTTTATTAACCTGTGTTCTTCCTCTGTCCAAGGGACTCCTTTCTTTCGATCTTGATCAGATCCTCTGGCTCCATTAGGCCGTTTGCGACACGTGTCAGGATCAAACGCCAAGGGAGAAGAAGCTGCAGGGTAACCAGGAATGGGAACACGTCCTGCTTCGATATCGAAAACATCTTCTTCAAGCTTACTATATTGCTTCATAACATCCAAAACAGTCTTTCCAGGGATCATGGAAGCAACTTTAAACCAGCGATCAGGCGAGTCTTCAGCATATATCGCAAGAGCTCGTTCAAACATCTTGTTCTCTTCTTTAGTCCAGCTACTACTGCTGCTAGAGCTGTGTAAGCTCACCATCTCTTGAACAACGAACCGGTGGTCAGAGATAGGTAGGTGAGAGAATGGATGCAGAGTCTCCATACCTAAAAAAAAGGAAGAATAAGTTTCAACTACAAACAAAGCTCAAAAAAGTCCATTCTCTTGCTGTGTGTGGAAGCTTAAAAGATTGATTTGTGATATAAGGAAATGAAGGAAAGCTTTTATATATAGGATTTAATGATAATATAAAAGGAATAAAGAAAAAGAAAAACAAAAGGGAAGGAAAAATCAAGAATCGTATACTGAGAGAATCAAGAACCTGATTTGGGTGAGAGATTTGAAGCATATAAAACCGACCTTCGAATCTGAAAAAGACTCAAAGCTTTGAAGAATCTATGAGAATCTGCAAAAGAGAGTCGTCCAAGGAAGACAAAAACAGCAAAGCCCACTTGACAGATAGAGAGAGTTAAAGTCTTAGAGAAGACTCAGAAGCTGAAGACCAAGTTAAGAGACAGAGAGATAGTGAAGGAGGAATAAGAGTAATATACAGAGAGAGAGAGAGAGAGAGAGAGAGAGGAGTCACTGTAGAATTGGGAACTGAGTGAAGAGAAGAAAGGAAAGGTTTCTTTATTGGGAAGATTTGGCGTATGTGGATTGGAGAACAGCGAATGGCACCACTCCACTCGGATTCTTGCGGTTCATTTTTGTCAGGAAAAAAAAGTTGATTGATCTAATTCATTCTATTATTTAATTTCTCGAATACGACAAATTTGTTCTATCACCTTTTTTCTGGTCCACACAAGGATACATACTATGTGTTTTGGTTATTTAAATGTAATTAGACTATAAAACAAAAGCGCCTGTAGCTCAGTGGATAGAGCGTCTGTTTCCTAAGCAGAAGGTCGTAGGTTCGACCCCTACCTGGCGCGAGTTCTCTCTTTCTTTTTTTTTTTTTTCTTTTTTTCATTCTCATCTGCAACAGAGACAAGAGTATCTTGTAACTGTCATAAAATCTTTCAAGGAACCTAAAGTATCTTGCAATAACATTCGTCCACGATCAGTCTCTATTGGCTTTGATTATAGTCTACCTAACGGAAGATTCTTGTCAACTTATTTTGATTGCTCATAACTCATTAGCTTAATAATTTAACATCTCACACTGTTGAAAAGAGCTCTAAGTTACTCCAACATACTAGATATTACCCATCAACACAAAATAAACTTGAACAAAAAAGTACATAAAAGAGTTTTCTTGAAAAGAGTACATAAGACATAAGCAGAGGTTTGGGAGAATGAGAGGATCTTAGGCAGCAATGGTAGAGCCACCAGAATGACGTCTAAGCAGCCAAGACATTCTCAAACTTGAGTTCTTCAACAGCAAGAAAATCTCTCTGTACTCTTTGGTTAGAAACAAATCCAACGCAAACAAGTAAAGATCACTACCTTGCTCAACCTCTTCCATGGCGTCCAAACACTCTATGCATTCCCCAATTGTATACTCGTACTGCTTAACCGATGCACTCACTGGACTCTCCTTCATCAGCTCAGTTTTGAACCTGTGGCATCCCGGAGTTACAATTTCAACATCTTGTAACCGAGACTCTGCAAAACCAACACCGTTAAATCTCCGGTGCTGCGGAGTAGGCTCATCATCGTCATCATTGTCATCTTCATCAGCTCCACCTTCACTTCCTGTGACTGGCTCGTTTGTGTAAAGTGTTGATAATGGAGTTGGGTCATGTAGCTGTGGTGATTCGGAATGATAATCGAGCACTCTCCTGCGATAAGGACGGAAATAGGCTTTTCCAGGTTCTATAAGTCCTTTGAAGATGGTTGCTAGTTTATCCGCGTGAGGAAGTTGTTTCCGTCTGAATGGTGCAGCTCTATGATTTTCCTGTAAATCAACAACAAAAACCAAAAAAGATCCAATGTTAAGCTGCAAAATCTAATATAAGTCGTGTAGCGTTTTTTTACCTTTAAGTAGTTTTTCCAGTCTTCATCAGTAGCGCCAAATGTTTGGGAATTAGCATCCCATTTCATGACGGGAGCACCGATTACTTGACACCAGATCTTCCACGATTTCCTGGTGCAATCCCAATGATTTTTGAGCTGCGGTCTAGTGAAGCTTTTTCCGGTATTCTGATTGATCGTCTCAAGCATCATTTTCCAAGTTTCCTTTGGATAATGTGAGTCAGGTCTGTTTCCTTTTAAAGCCTCTTGGAACAACAAATCAACAAACAGCTCATGTGAGGACGGTGACCAGTATCCTTTCGACTGCGGACTCGAGAAATTAGACGCACTTTGCGTATCTTCATCTGCAGTATCATTTTCATCATCAGGATACTTGCATATTCGCTTCCTTTTGCTACCTGAAGTACCTTCATCATCTAAGTTACTATCTTCAAAGATAAGCTCAAGTTTCTCGAGGAACGACGGAGGATTCAACCGATACTGCCCAGCCTCAGGATTCACCTGTGACAAAATCCAATCATGAGTTTTTATTATAGCCTTTAAAAGAAAAAACAACACAGAACACAAACCAATTCTTTGTACCTGTAAATAGTTGGCCCAGTCTTGATCACTGGCACCAAACGTGTTAGTCTGAGGATCCCATTGCATATCAGTGCATTGAACAAGTCTACACCAAATCTTCCACTGCTTGATCATTGTATCCCAATGATTCTTAAGCTGGTTTCTGGTGAACCTAGCGCCAGTTCTTTGAAGAAAAGGTTTCAATATATGCTGCGTTCCAGGTTGATTCCCCAACATCTTTTGCTCCACGCATAAGTCCACAAATACTCTGTGGTATTCGGGTTCCCACGCCGCTTTCGGCATCATAGTTCTTCACTATATATCATAAATAGATAAGTGAAGACATAATTGAGAAGCATTTGTGGACTAAAGCCACATTTGTCAATTCAAGATAAAGCAATGATTTTTTGGAAGGCAAATTCTGAAAATCAACTAGATCGAGGGATCGATCATTCATGTGATGAAGATTGTCCAATTTAGGGTTCCGCTTTTTACACAAGATCGAGTGTTCTAGTTTGCGAGTCGCGATTTGCCTAAATAAAATGGAGAAATCGAACGCAAAATTGGGTATCGCTCACGAAAATGGGTACTACTAGAGTAGCCGGAGAAGAAGAACAAAATTCTAAAAAACAGCAAAGCAAGTGTAAAATGTTTACCAGAAAAAACAGCGGCGAGAGCGATTCTGATTTGTTGTTAAGACTTAAGAGTGTGGCTGAAAAAGCCGGATCGCGATTTTTCTCGCTGTTATCGGATTTTGGCGTTTGTGCCGCTCGAGACGGTGCCTTGTTTTCTCAGATCATAGGCGTCTCACTTTATACCGGTTAGATCCGGTTATCTTCATTGGCAACTTTAGATTGGTTATTATGAGTTTTGTGAATTTATGTCCAGATTGGTTTTATTTTAATTAGATTGGTTCTTAATTTGGAAAAGATATATAATAATATGATTCCGTGAGCGTGAAATTGTAGACAAAGGTTACTTGTTGTTCACGAAAACTCCAAAAATCTTTTAACACTTACATGGAACCTTTTTTTTTTTTTTTTGTTGAAACACTTACATTGAAGTTGTAGCGACGAATGTTCGTCTCAGGCAAATATAGCAGAGAGAGAAACCACGAGAAGAAGAATTCTAGAACAACAAGTAGCCATTCTATTTCAAGTCATAAGCTAATAAATTGAAAATAAATATTACTAGTTTAATACCTTACACTATTGAAAAGAGTTTTTAGGGTACTCTCCAACATATTAATTATTAAATATACCCATAAACATAAACTAAACGATTTTCTTAAAAGGATATATTTAAGAAAAAAATATAAAGAAAAGAGTTTTCCAAAATACCAATAAACATTAAAAAAAAAACTTGAACCAGACAAAGATAAATAAAGAGTTTTAAGACATAAGCAGAAGTTTGGGAGAACAAAAGAGGATCTTAGGCAGCAATGGTAGGGCCACCAGATAGACGTCTAAGCAGCCAAGACATTCTCAAACTTTGGAGTTACAGTTTTAACATCTTTTGACTCTTCAACTCCAACACCGTTAAATATCCCGTGATGCGGAGTAGGTAAATCATTGTCATCATTATCAGCTCTACCTTCACTTCCTGTGACTGGCTCTTTTGTGTAGAGTTCTGATGATGGAGCTGGGTCCTGTGGTGATTCGGAATGATGATCGATCATTATGTCATCATCATCAGCTCCACCTTCACTTCCTGTGACCTCTGGCTCGTTTGTGTAGAGTTCTGATGATGAAGCTGGGTCTTGTGGTGATTCATTGATCACTGTGTCAACATCATCAGCTCCACCTTCACTTCCTGTGACCACTGGCTCGTTTGTGTTGAGTGCTGATGAAGGAGCTGGGTCATGTGGTGCTTCGGAATGATGATTGATCACTCTCTTGCGGTAAGGACGGAAAACGGCTTTCCCAGGTTCTATACGTCCTTTGAAGATGATTGCTAGTTTATCAGTGTGACGAATATGATTCCCTCTGCATGGTGCAGCTTTTTTGTTTTCCTATAAACCAACAACGACGAAAACCAAAAAATATCCAATGTTATTCCCAAGCTGCAAAATTTTACCAAATGATAAAAAAAATCCGTGTAACGTTTTTTTACCTTCAAGTAGTTTTTCCATTCTTCATCACTAGCTCCAAAAGTGCGTGTATTAGCATCCCACTTCATTAACGGAGAACCAATAGCTTGACACCAGATCATCCAAGCTTCCCTGGTAACAGTATAGCGGTTTTTGAGCTGTTCTCGTGTGTAGCCTAGTCCTGTCTTCTGGTTGAACGACTCAACCATCATATTCCAAGTTTCCTTTGGATAATGTGAGTTACGTCTGGTTGTTCTCGGTCTGTTTCCTTTTAAAGACTCTTGGAACAACAAATTGACAAACAGCTCATGTGAGTACGATGACCAATATGCTTTAGGCTGAGGAGTCGCGATGTTAGACGCGCTTTGCCTATCTTCATCTCCAGAGTCATTTTCTTCATCAGGATGCTTGCATATTCGCTTCCTTTTGCTACCTGAAGTACCTTCATCATCTACGTTACTATCTTCAAAGATAAACTCTAGGTCCTTGAGTAACGATGGAGGATTCAACCGATACTGCCTAGCATCAGGATTTACCTTGTGCCAAATCCATTAAGTTTTATTAATTATAGCCTTTAAAAAAACAACCAAAATCAACACAGAACATAAACTACTCTTCGTACCTGTAAATAGTTGGCCCAGTCTTGATCACTGGCACCAAACGTCTTTGTCTGAGGATCCCATTTCATATCACTGCATTGAACAAGTCTACTCCATATCTTCCACTGCTTGACCATTGTATCCCAGTGATTCTTAAGCTGGCTTTTCGTGAGCATCGTGCCCGTCTTTTGTTGAAAAGGTACCAATATATGCGGCAATCCAGGTTTGTTTCCCAACATCTTTTGCTCCTTGCATAAGTCCACAAACACTATGTGGTGTTCATGTTCCCATACGAGTTTCGGCGGCATCAAAAATCTTTCCTATATGTATAGATAAGTAAACACAACAACAACCCAAAAAACATAAGTTCTTATTAAAGGCTCTGATTGGTAACACCATTAAAAATTGCAGGAAATAAATAGAAAAAGGCGCGAATCACGGTATGATTGGTTAAAATCTCACTGGATCGTAAAATGGTTTTTGTCAACCCGCGATTCCACGGGTTGTCTAAACACAACTTTAAACATTAACCAAATCTATACAAAGTTGTATATCCAAATTTGTCTGGAAAATTTAATGTCATGGCTGAATCTAGAACTGATAAGCTTAGGATTAAAGCCAGAAACTCATGAAACAACCACCATAAACCATTGCAATTGCTTCTAATTGGAAATAACAAATTCATTTCATAGCAAATGTACTTGGACAATTTTAACAAACGTAAGCATACAAAAACATCCCTGGAGACCACAAAAGACAGAAACACATACTCAAAATAAGTTGTAACAAATGGTTTTTGAACGGCAAATTCTGAAAAATCAACTAGATCTAGTGCTCATCCATGTGATGAACATTTATGCAATCTAGATTTGAGTTCCTTACACTAGATCGAATGGTCTGCTATAACCTGAACATGAATATAAATAAAAACGATTTTGTGACTAGCTATTTGTCTAATTCAGATATCGAAAGAGTGGCAAAGTAAGTGTAAACAGACCTCTAGTAAAGAGCGATTGTGATTGTGATTTGTTTTCTCGGATTACTAGAGGTCTAGGCCCCATTTTATATTGGATAGAGCATGTTCTCTTTATGGAAACTTTTCTATTGTGTAAGACAACTTTCAATTTGTTGTAAGAAAAAGACGATTTATCTTCAATTCTATTAAATCATATTGTGACTTTAAAAGGTAATTAATTAGTCAAAATAAATATTTTAATTAGGTTAATTATCATGAGTTTTTATTATTATTAGGTATACAATTAAGTTTACGCGCGCAAACTTTGACTATTTTTAGATTAGATCATAAACGACTCTACTCGAGAAATTTGGAAAAAAAATAACTGATTTTCTTATACTCCTTTAGTTCTTTTATAAACGATGTTTTAAGCTTATATTTTTGCTCTTAAATAGATTATGTTTTAAGTTTTCAATGCAATATTAATTTGTTTTTATTGGTTTTGATGATTTATATTATGCATATTATTTTTCTATTTGTTGATTAGATAATAAATAATGTTTTTGTTCAGAAATAAACAAAAATTAAATGATTTTTTAATCTGTGTATATTCTCTTAAAACATCATCTATAAAAGAACGGAGGAATTATTACATACTACTACTTCGAACCGTCGTTCTAAGGCATGAGATATGAGCATGCTATAGAAGCGTTCCTTGTTTGCTCGTGAGCGTGAAATTGTAGACAAAGGTTACTTGTTGTTCAAGAAAACTCCAAAAATCTGTAACACTTACATTGAACTTGTAGCGAAGAATCTTCGTCTCAATCAAATATAGCAGAGAGAGAAGCACGAGAAGAAGAATTCTAGAACAAGAAGTAGCCACTCTATCTCAAGTGATCAAGTCATAAGCAAAAAGTTTAATATCTTACGCTACTGGAATAAATTTTAGGGTACTCTCCAACAAATTAAATATTACCTATAAATATAAAATAAACGATTTTCCTAAAAAGATAATTAAGAAGAAAATAAAGAAAAGAGTTTTCCATAATACCAATAAACATGAAACAAACTTGAACAACAAACCACAAAACATCAAATAACATAAACTGTTTTCTTGAAAAGAGAAATAGAGTTTTAAGCATAATAAGACATAAGGAGAAGTCAAGGAGGATAAGAGGATCTTAGGCAGCAATGGTAGAGCCACCAGAATGACGTCTAAGCAGCCAAGACATTCTCAAACTTGAGGTCTTCAACAGCAAGAAGATCTCTCTGTACTCTTTCTTCACAAACAAATCCAACGCAAACATGTAAAGATCACTACCTTTCTCAACCTCTTCCATGGCGTCCAAACACTTCATGCATTCCCCAATGGTAAACTCGTACTCCTTAACCGATGCAGTCGCTGGAATCTTCTCCACCAGCTCGATATTGAACCTGTGACACGGCGCCGGAGTTACAGCAGTTTCAACATCTTGTGACTCCGCAACACCAACACCGTTAAATATCCCGTGATGCAGAGTAGGCTCATCATCGCCATCATCATCAGCTCCACCTTCATTTCCTGTGACTAGCTCGTTTGTGTAGAGTGTTGATATTGGAGCTGGGTCCTGTGGTGATTCATCGATCACTGTGTCAACATCACCAGCTCCACCTTCACTTCCTGTGACCACTGGCTCGTTTATGTTGAGTGCTGATGAAGGAGCTGGGTCATGTGGTGCTTCGGAATGATGATTGATCACTCTCTTGCGGTAAGGACGTGTAGCGACTTTTCCAGGTTCAATATGTCCTTTGAAGATGATTGCTAGTTTATCAGCGTGAGGAATATGTTTCAATCTGAATACTTCAGCTTTCTTATTTTCCTATAAACCAACAACGACCAAAACAAAGAAAACATATCCAATGTTATTCCCAATGCTGCAAATTTATCAATTGATAAAAAAAAGTGAGGACGTTTTTTTTACCTTGGAGTAGTTTTCCCAGTCCTCTGACGTAGCGCCAAAGGTATTGGTGTTGGCATCCCACTTCAATAGCGGAGAGCCAATAGCTTGGCACCAGAGCTTCCAAGCATCCCTGGTAACATTCCAGCGGTTTTTGAGCTGCTCTCTTGTGTAGCCTAGTCCTGTCTTCTGGTTGAACGACTCAACCATCATGTTCCAAGTTTCCTTGGGATAGTATGAGTTACGTCTGGTTGTGTTTCCTCTTAAAGACTCTTTGACCAACAAATCAAGAAACAGCTCATGTGAGGACGATGACCAATATGCTTTAAATGCTTTCAACCGCGGAATCGTGATATCTTCATCTCCAGTGTCAGTAGCTTCATCAGGAATTCGCTTCCTTTTGCCACATGAAGTACCTTCATCATCGAAGTTAGTACCTTCAAAGATAATCTTTAGGTCCTTGAACCACGACGGAGGAGTCAACCGAAACCGATACTGGTCAGCCTCAGGATGCACCTGTGACAAATCCAATCAAGTTTTATTAATTATAGCCTCCAAAAAAAACAACCAAAATTAACACAACATAAACCACATTCTTTGTACCACAAAATAGTTGTTCCAATCTTGATCACTGGCACCAAACGTCTTTGTCTTGGGATCCCATTTCATATCACTGCATTGAACAAGTCTACACCATATCTTCCACTGTCTCAACATTGTATCCCAATGATTCCTAAGCTGGACTTGGGTGAACACCCCGCCCGTCCTTTGTTGAAAAGGTTCCCACATATGATGCAATCCAGGTCGATTTCCCAACATCCTTTGCTCAACGCATAAGTCCACAAATATTTTGTGGTTTTCAGGTTCCCACACGGCTCTTCCTCTCGGCGTCATCAACATAACTCCTTCCTATATGTATAGATAAGTAAAGACAACAACAACAACAACAACAACAACAACAACAACAACAAAAAACATAAGTTCTTTCCATTGATTAAAGGCTCTGAATGCATTGATTCTAACTAATTAATTGCAAATTACTAAATCGTGTTAGCAAATTTACTTGGACGATAATCAATATTCACAAACATTTAATGGCACAAAAACACCAGGAGACCATAGATGACGAATCAACAGATAATCTAAATAAATATAACAAATAGTTTATATTCGAGTGCTCATTCATGTGATGTAAAACCAAGATCTAGTGCTCGTTGATGTGATGAACATGTATGCAATATAGGATTGAGCTCCTTACACTAGATCGAGTGTTTGTCTAATTGAGAAATCGAACGTGAAACTAAGAAGAAGAACAAAATCTAAAAATTTTCAAAAAAAGCAAAGTAAAATGTTTACCACGATTATGCTGGTGGCGTTTGTAACGCTTGAGACAGTGATTTCTTGTTTTCTCAGTTCCTAGAGACCCATTTTATACTGGTCGGAGCCTTTTCTCTTTATTACAAGTTTTATTTATGTATTTTATTTTGTTAAAAAGTTTCATTTTGTTGCAAGAAACAATTTATCTTCAATTCTATTAAATCATATTGTGATTTTTAAGAGTTAATAAAGAAGATAGTTAAATTATATATTTTAATTATGTTAACTGTGGTGAGTTTTATTGAGGTGTACAAGTAAGTTTACCCGCGAAATTTGATTATTGTTTAAATTAGATACATAAATGAGTTTACGCGGGAAATTTGAAAAGATAACTTATTTTCTTATACAAGTGAGTTTACGTGCTATATTGTTTTTTTTGTTTGTAATTAGGTATACAAATGAGTTTGCGTGCGAGATGACGTGTTATTTTTTGAAGTAAAAAAAAGTTTTACAATATATTTTATTTTTTTAATATTATAATTTGATATTCCACAATTTTTTCTCAAAAACAAATGCATAATATCTGGTAATATATTATTTAATAAATTAACATAATTTTATTAAATGTAAAGACTATTTTTAGTCAAAACATGCAAAAAGTTGTCTATCTTTTTCTTGTTTTTGTCAAAAAAAAAAACTGACTATATTTTTGCTACATTTGGCATTTGGTTATAACTTATAAGGTGAAAATCTTTTGTCATTATTATGAGTCCTTTTTTATTGACTACCCAGATTTTATTCTTTTTAAAGTTTGCCTATATTTGGCTAAACTTAATTATTGTCTCAACAAATAGATTTTCTACTATAAAGAGCTTGGGAAATCATGTTTGGTTTAAAAAAGTAGGCAGAGTAAATCATGGTTGGATCCCATTTACTAAAAATACTGAAAATTTGTTAATTTATTTTTAAAGCCAAAAAGGTTTAAAAGATATTTTTATTTTCGAAGAATTGCTAATTTATATATTTTAACACTAACATGTGTGACTTTATTACTAGTCATAAAATAGGAAAATTTAATTCGCCAAACGAAAACAAAAATAAAAAAATAAAAACAATATTGAAAACTTGAATAATGGATCTTTTCCTTTTTTTTTCCCCCTTCATCACCTCTATATGGTTTTCTTAGTCAATTATGTGGATTCCTACCAAAAAAAAAATCTGGTCAAGTATAAAACAAGGAAATAAGTGGTTCAACCTAGACTTGATTTTGGTTTAAATGAAATTTAAACTAGATCAATTTACATGGTTTTATCAATTTAGCATTTGACCGACTCTGCTAGAAATAGTGTAATTTTGTAATATATCACCTTTTTAGAAAATGAAATTTATACATTTTACACTTTCTAAACATAAATGAATTATTAATCTTCGGGTTAATACTATGCCTGGGCACAAATATGGATCCACATAGAACCGAACCGAACCGAACCGAAATTGATGGGTATGGTTCGGTTCTGGTTCTAGTAAAAATATCGATTGGATCTTGAATTTCAGATCCATGGGTATTGGTTCGGTTCGGGTAAGAACCGAGATCCAAATGGGTACCCGAAAAATATAATCCATGTACCTATATCTATATATCCCAAAGCCCAAATCCATACAAATCTAAACCTAAACCCAAGCCCAACAACCCACTATATATATTTCATAAACCTAAAGAGAAGAAGAAGCAGAAAATTGTAACAGATTTAAACTTCGGGTTATTTTGGTGTCTTAAAAACTTGTGTTTTTCGGTATCTTTGAAACTTTGGGTGTCTTTTGAGTTTTGACATAACACTTTCCAAGTTTCTAATATTTTTTGGATTTGTAATTGTATTATGATTGTTTTGTTTTTTCGTTTCCAAAAATACCCGAAATAATTTGGTTCCAAAATTTATTACCCGAACCGAACCGAACCGTAGAGGAACCGAACCGGAACCGAACCGATTTTGATTTGGTTCCAATATGGTTCCTAAATTTCAGAACCAAAATACTAAGAACCGAATGGTTCGGTTCTAGAACCGAACCATTTACCCAAACGCCCAGGCCTAGTTAATACCATAGAATAGAAATATCATCTTGACCATCTAAATAAGTTTAACATAACATTAACCACAACTTCAGAGTTAGATCACCCCAAATGAGAGAGACTCTTGATGGGTTTCTTAGTATTAAAATATTAAAAAAATAGAAAAATAGGAGAGAAAAGTAAGAAACTCTAGAAATTGTTTCTTATTTAAAAACTTTTACAATCTTATAAGAGACTTTTGAAGACACTTGTGTTTCTTGAGTGGTTTTCAAAACTAAAATTTAATTCAATAATTTAATTTTATAAAAATATTAATATTTTACATTTTTAGAAACTCAAATTGGGTCTCTCACCATAGAGGGTGTTCTTAAGAGAGAATCAAAGCTCGAGAACCCTAACTTCTCATACATAAATGCAACTTATGGGTTGGCCTTTTTGGTTGTGTGGTCGGATCATTAGTCAGATATTCTCTCTTCTTCTCTAGAAAAGATTGGAAATGTAAATGATATGACACAAGACAAGACATTGTTGCAGAAGAAATATGACTCGTTTTGTCTGGTCTCTTTTAGTTCTCCTTTGTTTTGCTCCTTCCCTTTTGACTCTGCTTCAAGAAACTATGGCAATATTACAAGTACACAACACAACCCAACCTAGAACCTGTGACTCGGTTTCAAGAATCTATGGCAAACAATATGAATCCAACTTCTGACTTGAGATAATAAACCAGTGAAACTGCAGAACATGAGTTGGATTTACAGAGAGTAGTGGGAACTAAAAACAGGTGGAAGAAAACAAAAAAAGCTTTATCCTTTTCCATTAATTAATCACTGTTGTAAATGTTGATATCACAAAACTAGATGTAAAGAATCGACAAAAAAGAAGAAGCTAAATCGAAGTTACTCTTAGAACAACCTACGACGAAAGCAGTAGAGAATCCGATTAACAAAAAAAGGAACAAAAGAAGGGAAAAAAAATCACTTATTTGTGAAGTCCTCTAAATGATTACTTTTGGTACTCTGATCCTTTGGTGTTGCTTTCACACATCCTTTGCTTTTGGTCCAAAGATGCTGTGTAAAGTTTTTTAGTTCACAGTGGAGGAAACTTGCCTGTGTTTGTTTACCTGAGGGACTGAACAAATATAATGAATGCTTCTTTCATTTGCTTCGTTTCTTGGCTTCGCTGTAGAGGATAACTCCACAGACAGTGAGCGAGTAACCTAACATTCCAGTCACTGAGACAGGATTCCTGAATATCAGGATGGATACCACCACTGCTACTGCACCTTTGGCGTTTCCTAGCACCTGTCATAGACAAGTTATAAGACATGGTCAGATGCAGAATGGCTTTAGATGATAGACTTGATGTATAGAAAGAAGAGTTGTGTTTTTACCTGGAGAGTCAGAGCGCTGGTGTGTTTCGTGACTAGGAAATTGGTCAAGTTCACGAAATAAGCTAGCGCCGAATTGAATAGCAGATACCAAACGATTCTAAAATCGTCTCTGGCAAGTGCAATTGTAATGCCAACAACATTTTTTTCCATGATAAGGGTAGCAGGAAGGAGGAACACAACAGCTATGGGAGCCATGTAAAGGAGGAGGTTCATGGAATTTAGCTTCTCCCTTCAAACAAATCCAATAAATATTTTCAGCAGCACTCTAAAAACACACAGACTTCTGAAAATGAAACTTTAGCTGATAAAAATCTGTGAAAATGCTGTTATCTCTTACCCTTCTGAAGATAGCAAAATTCCTTGAAGAACTGATTTAAGTGCTCTTGCAGCTGTGGCTGCAATGCACATAAGGAATCCAAACAGGTGGAAACTTGGTTCACCCTGACGATATGTTAAAAATTGAGGAAGATCAAGCCAACATAGAAAACGATTATCTAAATGAAATAAAAAAAGATCCAAAGAGGAAGCATACTCTGCACACATAAAAGAACAACCTCTAGTCTAATTTGAGCATCATATAAACTTCATATCATGAAGTCATCGAACTCAGGCAAATCCCAAGCTTGTTTCTAAGGTATAATACACCATCTTTAGCTTGTTCCATAAATGTTACCTATGATTTCTATCATCATCCAAAATGAATTGAATAAACCAGATTCAGCTCATACTCTTCTATTCCTAAGTCACACTAAAGCTACAGATTTCATCAGCTATGAACAAATATACTTGGAATTGGATCAGAACCAATGTCAAATACAAAGAAGGCAAAGAGCAGATTTTGAAGTAAAAAGCAAATTACCCCACTGGCAATGACAACACCGGTAACAACAGGGACGAGAGTGAAGTAAGTCAACCAAGCTTCTCTCTTGAACGTTATCAGATAAGCAAACACAGCGGTGAAAAACGGCGTCGTAGCACCGATCGCTTGATTAAACGATACAGGAAGAAACCGAAGCGAAATATTCCCAAAAACCACCGACACACAGAAAACGAGACTTAACGCAGCGATCTTAAGAAACTGAACTCGAGATCGGATCGTTTGCATCGGAACCATCTTCATCCAAGCAATGGCGACGTAGCTGAGAAGAGAACAAGCCGTCATATGACACATGGTGAGGAAGATCGGATATTTGAATCCATAGTTGCTTAACAAGTACTTGTTCAGCAACAAAACTCCGATATTCGATGAGTACCATGACGCGACGAGTCCGATTGTGAAAAACCGGCCATTGGCCGCTATCTTCATCTTTATAAGCCGATCTGATCGATTCAATTTGAGAATAATCCAAACCCTAACACAAAAACTCCACGAATTTTGGGGAAAAGTTTCGGATTTACGCTCCAATCGAATCTGTCTGCTTTAGGGGGAATGAGAGATCTTCTTCGGACAGAGATTATTCCATGGATCAAATCGAGATTAGGTCACAAAGACAACAAGAGAAGAATGGTGGAATCGAGAAACTGTGATCGGAGAAGAAGAAGAAGATGAAGAAGCAAAGGTCAATGAGAGATCTTTGGCTTAAGCTCTCTCTCTCTCTCTTTTTAAAATGTTACTAATTTTTTTTCTTCAGTTCATGAGATTTAATGCGTTTATGTATATTATTTTTATAAGATTACAGTTTCCGTAATTTTTAATTCTTCAATAAATGCATTTGATAACACTTTTTTAAATTTAATTATAAAGGTCGTTGATTGATTGATTCCTCGAATAATAATCAAAGTGTAAAGATTTGGAATGTGTGAACGAAGGAAAGGAACGTCTGACTTACTATCAGTTTTGACTTCCTCGGTTTACTTTCTTCATTGTACTACGAATTTTCGGTTCGGTTTGGTTCAATTTGGATTTGGCTTTGAATTTACAAAAACATAATTGATGTATAGTGTATGCTTCGATTTAGTTTTATGATTTCGGTTCAGTTTTCTAACAGAAACGTAATTTAAAATTTTTAAAGAATCGTTAACAAAACAGAAATAACCAATTGATGAAGTATTTTTATTCGAAAGCATATAACAACTTGGTTTTAATAGTTATAGACGATGGTATACCGACCAATAATGTATAGTAGTAACAGACACGTCGTTTAAATGTCAATTACTCCAATTATTCAAATGTCTGTTCTATTTTACAAATTCGAAAATTGAAAAAGTGGAGAGTTAGACTTACACGACTTTGCGGTCATACAATAATCCAATACTCTACCATCGATGATAGGTCTCCTCCACGCGTTTTCTTTCTATAATACAATATTAAAATTTTTTTAGCATAAATATACAACGTCTAATTTGGCTGTTGTTATCAAGAGTAAAGCTTGGTTAGTAGTGATAATATTTTATTTCCAAAAAATGCAGTGACAAACAATTTTTATTTTTAGAGACCATTTTCCATGACGTCGTGGAAATTAGGAATCCAGCTACTCTTAGCTTTAATTTAGTCCTTAAGCGACGACTTGTTGTGTGTTCAAGCGAGACGCTAATGCTAATTATCCTTCCTCGTGAAGTTAGTGCACTCAAACCCTAACGTATCCGCCAAGATTCTCTGGACATGCATCGCAACATCATACCCGGATGAACACGTGCTCTCGATTGGAAAGTAGTCAAATAGCGTTACGTTATAAACCAATGTAGGGTTCATTAACAATAAAATCAGAACCAAACCATCCCAGCCTCTAGCCGTGGCACGAAATACTAGAGCTAACCCATTAATCGCGACAGGCACGATTCCATTGGTTTTTTTTAGTGAAAAGAGTGGTGAACATTAGCAAAAACAGTTCACCACAAATTTCTCCTTCCGAAAATATAGCTAGATCTCTTTGATACAATCCTAATTTAATCTTCTCTTGTGTAATAAAATATCAAATCTTCTCTTGTTTTTGGCATATCGTCCGGAAGAAGATCAACGAATTCTCAGTTAATTTTAACGAATTTACAGGGCACATATAATTGGCTGAAATGGAATAAAGAGATCGTTTAATGTTCTTTATATGGAGTACTTAGATTTGACTTTGCGCTTATAGTTTAATGTAAGATTCCTACAATAAGGAAACCAAAAATAGGCAAAGTCCAAAACCAAACCTATGCTTTCTTTAAAAAGGGTAAAATCCAAGAAGAATCGAGGTTAACCAAATAAATAAATAAATGTTTCTTTTTTATTAGTTGGACCCAAGAGAGAGTCTTTTAAGTTTGAACCTAAGTTAATGACAGGCCTTTACCCGTCAGAAAGAATCAAAGCAGATAACACAGTAACGAAGAGAGCCCCTTCATCATATACTGAATGATTGAAGAAAAAATTGAGACAAAACCAGCCAAAAAGAGAAATTCTCAACCTCGTGGGATTCATTGTTCTTTGAGCCAGATCACATCATAGTTGTCGCTCAAGGTAAGGGTCTCGAGGAGAATTTGATCCGAGATACTCTGAAACATCTGCGACATAAGTTTTCAGTTTCGATGTGGTTCGTGTGAGCCACCCGGCGTTTGCCTGCTCCATCTCCTCCTCCATTTTCTTCTTCTCTTCCTCTTCCAACATTCTGATCCTTCTCTGACCCATGTACGTCTTCACAGCTTCAACACCTTCCTTCACCACTTCCTCAGGTGGGACCACGAGCGGGTTCTGATCCACATTTAGTTTGGTCAGGCTATCGAGTGTGCCAAAAGTGTCTGGGAGGGCATGGATTTGGTTGTTACTCAAGTCGAGTTCTTGGAGGCTTATGAGGTCCCCAAATGAGGAAGGGAGATCCTTGAGATCACTGAAGTTGCTGCTTAAGTTTAAGTACTCGAGGTTTGTGAGCAACACGAAGGAATCAGGAAGGCCGTGAAGTTCGTTGAAGTGGGCGTCGAGGTGTTTTAAGGATCTCATTTCGCCTATACTGGTCGGGAAGGATCGAATCTTGTTATACTGAACCAGGAGCTTTTCTAGATTTACTAGCTCAAGACCGATGTTGGTTGGTAAGTAGGTGAGACGGTTGAAGCTCACGTCTAAGATAACCAACGACCTACGATTTTGATAAAATAAGTGGTTAAAATTGATCAAAAATCAAACTTGACAAAGTGGAGTTATTGTATATTACGTACCCACAGCGGCAGATGGAGTCAGGTAAAGATGTGAGCTTGTTAGTCGAAACATTCAGGATTTTCAGTTTGGAGAGTAAACCAATAGAATCAGGTAATGTCTCCAGAGAATTCGTGGAGACATCCAGTTCAACAAGACTATGCAATCCAGCTATTGAATCAGGAATCGCCTGTTGGACATAAACCTCAGTCAGGTAAGACAAGTGAAACTCAGCAACTCAACTTTTCACTAATCGCTAAGAAATCCAGAAATACTAATGCAGCTCGGGCCAATTGAATCTACCTCAGAACTATCAAGAAAAGAGCTAGCATGGACATCAGCAGCAATTGCTTGCAAAATTTGAATTAACCCATACCACAGCTAATACTTAACATGTAGCTTCTCCATTGATAACTAACTTATTGGCCACAGTTTTTAGGAGTTCTAAGACTCCTAATTCCTTTTAAGATTTTTTACAACAGGCAACATCAAAGATGTAGAACCAAAACAAGCAAACACGCACATACACATACCGGGATCTCTACATATATCACCGGCCAAATCTAAGATGCAAAACCAAAACAAGCACACATACCAGAATTACTTCGAATCACATCAGACTAGACATCATTGATGCATAATCTCTTTGAACCACATAGGAAAAGGCATTGTTCATCATCAAGATAAGAAAAGAAAAAGCCAGAATTAAATGCCATGGCGACACTAAAGGGATTACTCATCAACCATCGTATTGTGCCCAAAAATGCTACCTTTACGCTACACTAATGATTACCAAATTCTCAAATCCTAAACCAAAGTTGCATCCTTTTAACACAGACAAGCCTAAAACAGATTCAGACCCACTAGAGAGAACACATATCAGCTTACTTATATTTGAGAGATTAAATCAAATAAGCAACAATGTAGCAAATTTGTGATTTTGATTATGAATTGTTAAAGAACTAACCTCAAGCTTATTGTTGGAGAGGTTAAGAACAAGCAACCCTTGAATCCTCCCAAAAGCTTCAGGTAGCAATCTCAATTTCCTCCCAGACAAATCCACACGATCCACCGGATTAGCCGAAGCATGCTGCAATATCCCAACAACTTCCTCATTAACCTCCACCGCCGCAACATTCTCCTCATCCTCCGCCGCATTCTTCTCAGCAGATTCATAAATCCTGACAAGCCTCTCCTCAGCTTCTTTCAAAAGCTTCTCATACGAAGCATGAACCTCATCAAGCTTCAAAACCGACTCACACCAAGTCTTCTCCTGATCCATCTCTTGTCTCCTCTTCTCATCTTTCGCCGCCGCATCGGTAAGCGCGATATCCTCAAACGATTCAGATAAGAACGATTCGATTTCCGAGAGCTTAGCACGAGCCTTGTCGACGGACTCGTGATCAGGTCTAGGTCCTAGGGTTCGAAGGATAGATCGAGTCTCGGCGACGTCAGAGATGGCACTGGTCATTGAAGCGAGAACATCTGGTTGTGTTAAATGAGGCATCTGAGTAACGATTTCGATCGATTGGCTTGATGATGATGATGGTGGTTGTTCGATATCGAAGGGAGGAACGGAGGAGGAGGAGGAAGGGGATTTGGCGGTGAAAGAAGGGAGACGAGCCCAGACGTAAGAGAGGACAGGGAAATTCTTAGGGTTAGGTTCTGCCGCCATTGTTTCGTTGAGCTTCGAAGATTTGGAATCTGAATCTGGAAATTGATGAAGATGAAGATCGATTTTTTGATCCAGGCTTTGTTTTGTCTCTCCACGTTCTCTGTTTTGTGCTCGCCTTCTCTGCTTTTTCTCTGATGTCAAGTTGACACGTGTAAGCTTGTGTTGCTGAGTGAGTAGAAAAACTAACTAATAATGATATATATCTCTTAATTAAGATAATTAGTAGTATATCTTTTCTGAATAAATCTACAATAAAGTTAATATTTCTCTTTTTAATTAATATATATTAAACTTTTTTTTCACCATGGATAAATACAAATCGCTTTTAAGTTCAATTGAAAATATACCATGTCTATTTTTATTAATATAAAGTAAATTAAATATTTCGGAAAAAACTAAATAAAATACATTTTGAAGTAAGAAATTTTATTTCCTTACTATAATAATTTAAATTAAATTAATCGTTTTTTTTATACGCCCTAAATTAATCGTTTATGTTGTTAAATATTTATAAAGAAAGAAAGAAAAGAAAGCATAAGTAATTATCGGCTTGATTTTAATTTTATTATTGATATATTAAAGAATTCTTGAAAATAAATATGAGTTCAATCGAATACTAATGAGTCGAGAAATAATGGAATGTTCTTTAAAACAAAACAAGAAAATATATTTTTAGGAGTTGAAGAGGAAAAAACTTGAAAGCCGAGCCAGTAATTATACGGGGAAAGAGTGTCGAATGCTAGCTTTGGAATACGTTGTAATGGGCATATATAAAAATTTTGGATCTTCAAAATGAAAGAGTTGCTATATAGCTATTGACACGGCCTCATAGATCGAATAAACGTCATATTATGGTTGGAACTTTTGTTTTGGAGCATCATGATGCGTCTGCTAAGGTGGTCTTGTGCTACTATTTTTATAGTTCAAATGTTCAATGGTTTGTGCTCAACAGTTGTTACATCTATACTCGTTTATTACATGTTGTGGCCCCAAAAAAATTAAAAAAAAATGAGAAACCGTTGTAAATGATATCGACCTTTCTCCTACTTTCAGACTCACTGTTGACGTATATAACCACCGGATGAGTACATGTTAAAATTTCTATAATTTAAATGACTCTTAGTTAGATAATCCAAGATTAGTAAAGATTTGAATAAAAGCAAGTTGTGCCCACTAAGTAAAATAAGCCAAATCCAAAGTCAGTCACTTTTGGAGTTATGTTGTAAAGACAGTCACTGCTTTGTCATCATCTCATCTTTTAAAGCATTGACCTTTTCTTTTTTGTTCAACGTTTTGCGTTCATCAATTTCGAATAAAACTGTATAGCAGTGTAAGTAACAAATTCTTCTTGGGATACCAATTTGAATTTGAAGTTTTAACTTTTTAACTTTAATATTGTATATTGTAATGAGTTGAATTATTTGAGTTTTAACTTTTTATCACACACAAACCACGACTGAAACGGATGGAATAGGAAAAAGAACACTTTATTTTCTTGAATTGTCTAAAACTTAAACCAAAGAAAAAATTGTTTAAAATGAACAAAATTTCGGCTACAACTCAATCTATATTTGTTTTTCCAAATTTAGCAACAAAAAAATACCAAATTGAACACCTCCACATGATAAAAAAAAGATAAACATGAATTGTTTAGCAAGAAATTTGATAACCCCACATGCATTTGGTCGTTGTTTAACAACAAAAAGTAGACTCAATTTTAATATTCTTTAGATCTAATCAGCACAATGACGTATCTTTCTGACGTAATAGCTACCGTCTGAACATCTATAATAGCCAAACCTGTGTGAACAAGACGTAAACAGAGAAAAACAAAACAAAAATGGAGACTAGAGAAACAAAACCAGTGATCTTTCTCTTCACTTTCCCTTTACAAGGTCACTTAAACCCAATGTTTCAGCTCGCCAACATCTTCTTCAACAAAGGCTTTTCCATCACTGTGATCCACACTGAGTTCAACTCTCCAAATTTTTCCAATTTTCCTCACTTCACTTTCGTCTCCATCCCCGATGGCTTGTCTGAACCCGAATCCTATCCCGATGTCATCGAGATTCTCCATGACCTCAATTCCAAGTGTGTTGCTCCTTTTGGTGATTGCTTAAAGAAGCTTATAGCTGAAGAACCATCTGCAGCTTGTGTGATTGTTGACGCTCTTTGGTACTTCACTCACGATTTAACCGAGAAATTCGATATCCCGAGGATTGTTCTTCGAACCGTTAACCTCTCAGCTTTCGTCGCTTTCTCAAAGTTTCATGTTTTACGAGAGAAAGGGTATCTTTCTTTACAAGGTAACTTTTGTTGACTTCAAGATTTATATATATCTCTAGTTTTCTTCATTTTTTGTTGACTTTTCTTGCTCTGATCTCCATGGCAGAGACTCAGGCAGACTCACCGGTTCCAGAGCTTCCGTATCTTAGAATGAAAGATCTTCCATGGTTCCAGACAGAAGATCCAAGATCAGGGGATAAGTTACAGAGAGGTGTGATGAAGTCACTAAAGTCTTCCTCAGGAATCATATTCAACGCCATTGAAGATCTTGAATCTGATCAGCTTGATCAAGCACTCATAGAATTCCCAGTTCCACTCTTCTGTATTGGACCCTTCCACAGGTACGTTTCAGCTTCATCCAGTAGCTTACTTGCACATGACATGACTTGTCTCTCTTGGTTAGACAAGCAAGAAACAAATTCCGTAATCTACGCAAGTCTTGGAAGCATTGCCTCGATAGACGAATCTGAATTCTTGGAGATCGCTTGGGGTCTAAGAAACAGCAACCAACCTTTTCTATGGGTGGTTAGACCTGGTTTGATCCACGGGAAAGAATGGATCGAGATTCTGCCTAAAGGGTTCATCGAAAATCTCAAGGGTCGGGGTAAAATAGTAAAATGGGCACCTCAGCCTGAAGTTTTAGCTCACCGTGCAACAGGCGGATTCTTAACACATTGTGGATGGAACTCGACGCTTGAGGGCATATGTGAAGCTATACCAATGATATGCAAACCATCTTTTGGGGACCAGAGAGTGAATGCTAGGTACATTACCGATGTTTGGAAGATCGGATTGCATTTAGAGAACAAGATAGAGAGAACAAAGATTGAAACCGCGGTTAGAACACTAATGACGACCTCAGAAGGAGAAGAGATCCGCAATAGGATCATGCCAATGAAGGAAACTGCTGAACAATGCCTAAAGATGGGAGGTTCATCATTTCGGAATCTCGAAAACTTAATTGCTTATATATTGTCTTTCTAATCCGTTGTTCTTCTTCTCTACATCCAAATTTGCTTTCCTTTGATTTAATCTGCATTCCCAAAATAAGACATATTTATAATTCAAAATTTTGTTTTAAAACTTTACATGTATTTTGAATTATCAGAGATGATAAATTTGTTTCAACTTGAGGTTTTTTATTTGCCCAACGAAAATCTATTGGGCCATAATTTCGAGAAGCGTACCCGCCTTTTAACCCATTAATGATCCTCTCAAATTTAAAATGGCAATTAATATAGCTATATATATAAATCGATTAGATTGAAAAAGTTCAGCAAAACCCTAAATTTGCTCTGTATCATCAAACAAGAGCATGACGCTTAATCTTCAGCGACACGCAAAGCGAATCCTCGCTTACAGTAACAGGCCTCGATTCTTCTGCTCCTACAGAAACGGAACCCTATCGTCTCCGGGGACGAACCAAACTCTGCTGAGTCGAATAGAATCAGCTGCTGATCAAAAAGCAGCAATCACTACGGTGCTTGAGCAATGGAGACAACAACAACAACAACAACATGGGAATCATCAGTTAAACCCTTCGTTGGTGAAAGGTATCGTCGAGAAGCTCCACGATTCCAAGAGATATCGTCAAGCCCTAGAGGTATCAAACTGGATGATTGAAAAAAAGATCTGCAATCACCTACCGGAAGATCTTGCAGTTCGATTTCATCTGATTGAGAACGTTTTGGGATTAGAAGAAGCAGAGAAGTTCTTCCAAAGCATCCCAGAGAATCTGAAAGGTGAATCTATCTACACTGCTCTGTTAAAGAGTTACGCAAAATCGGGAGAAACATCTTTACGTAAAGCCGAATATACTTTCGAGAAGATGAGGAAGCTAGGTATGCTCTTGAGACCATCACCTTACAACTCCATGGTCTCACTCTACAGCTCTCTCAGAAACAGAAATAAGGTCGATGATATTCTTCAAAAGATGAAGGAGAACAACATTGAGCTCGATAGTCCCACCGTGAACAATGCTTTGCGAGTATACGCTGCTGTTTATGATGTTGCGACAATGGACAAGTTTCTAGCTGAATGGAATGCGATTACAACGCTTGAGTGGCTCACAACACTTGACATGGCAAAGGCTTATCTGAGAGATGGTTTTAAGGGAAAGGCGAAAGAGATGCTTCGTAGAACAGAGGAATTGAATGATCCAAAGTCTTATGAGAGACTCATAAGACTATATGGTGAAGCAGGGGAGAGAGAAGATGTGTACCGTATATGGGACTTATACAAGAACACAAAAGAGAAGGACAATGAAGGGTTTCGAGCTTTGATTGGTTCTCTCTTGAAACTTGATGACATCAACGGAGCAGAGAAGATATACTACGATGAGTGGGAGTCCTCTGGTCTTGAGTACGATGTACGAATCCCGACTATGTTGATGTCTGGTTATCGCGCAAAGGGAATGGTGAAGAAGGCAGATAAACTATTGTACAAGACTATGAAGAATAAAAGATTGGTTATATCGATTAATCCATTTGTAGAGGAATTGGTGAAAAATAGAAACCAAGTGAAGCCGTCGGACTTGAGAGACCTCATCAAGAATCTGCGTGACTCAAATCAATTATCTAAAGCACTTGAGGCATCAACATGGATGTGTGAAAAAAGGGGCTTTACTCTTTTTCCAGAAGATTATGCAATTAGGTTTCATCTGATTGAGAGAGTGTTGGGTTTGGAGGAAGCAGAGAAGTTTTTCGAAAGCAGCATCCCGAAGAACATGAAGGATTACTCTGTCTACGACACACTCTTAACCTCGTACACAAGATCTGGCAAAACTCTAGACAAAGCGGAAGGCGTTTTCGAGAAGATGAGAGAGCTAGGTTTCCTCTCAAAACTTTCCCCATTCAACTCGATAATATCTCTCTACATTCAGCTTGGAAAACAAGGGAAGGTCAAAAATCTTCTACGGACGATGAAGGAGAACAACATAGAGCATGATAGTGTCACGGTAAACAACGTTTTGAGGATGTATTCAAACGAAACAGACATAGAGACAATGGAAAATTACAAGAGCGAGTGGGTTAACGCTGATGGTGAAAAAACCAAGCTAGAAATGAGGACGATGGATGCGATGGCAAAGGCTTACGAAAGATCCGGGCTACTACTAAAGGCGATAGAAGTAACTGGGAGTGAAAAAGAAGTGCACCGTCTATGGAACAAGTACAAGAAGAAGGCAAAGTCAGAGATAGAGAGAGATGTGTTAAGACTATGGGTAAAGAGAGACGAGATAAAGAATGAAGAATATCGAAGTGTAATAAGGTCTTTGTTGAAGCTTGACGATGTACAAGGAGCAGAGGAGATATATGGAGAGTGGAAACCACAAGGTCCCGAGTTTGACAATGGAATACCATGCTTGCTAATGTCTCGATATTACGAGGAAGATAATGAAGTTAAGGCAAGACAAGTAGAGTATTCGAGTAGACAGAAGCAGAGGCGGATGCAGTTTAAGCTATTCAAAGAAGATTTGATCGGTTGTGCGGCAGGTTCTATGCTCATGGCTTCGGTTCCTCCGTTGATAGTATTGTTTTGTGAACAGTACCCCGGTCTAGCCATTGCATTCATTTTCTTGGGTCTGGTTGAATACTTCAAATAATATTCTTGTGTTTTCTTGTTTTTTTTGGGTTAAGAATTTTATACCACCAATTAAAACCACATATTTTTGTTCGGTTCGAAACTTTCTTTTGGTTCGGTTGGATTAAATTTTTTTTATAATAATATTTTGTATTCATTATTTTCGTCATTAAATTTGCTCGGAGAAATCTACACTCAAAATTTTATTGTACATTTTCGATTCATTTTTTAATCTCTGGACCGTTGTATTTAGAGTTTAGATGATAGATAATTACGATTTTCTATGATTTAATTTGACTATTTGAGAGATAAGTTAGCTAAATAAATGATAAAATCGTCTAAACGTGTAAGACAAGAAATAATTTTATTTTTGCATTGCTATTTTTTAATTTGAATCCGAGAAAACCGGTTCCACAAAAACAAACCAGGCCTGGTTAACCATTACCGGAGTTAACCCTTGTATTCGTGAAGCTTACCCGCTATTAATGTCGTAATCTTTTCGAGATTAAGTTAATTACGTAATTAGTTAGCTATATAGATCGATTAAATTGAAAAAGTTAGAACAAAACCCTAGCTAGAGTCTTCTTCTCCTATAATCATCAAACATGAGCATGACGCGTAATCTTCAGCAACACGCAAAGCGAATTCTCCTTTACAGTAGCAGGACTCGATTCTTCTGCTCCGACATAAACAAAACACTATGTGCGTCGAACCTAACTCTGCAGGATAGGATCGAGTTGGCTTTAGACCAGAAAGCAGGAATCATTACAGTGCTTGAGCAATGGCGACATCAACAAGGTTGTCGATTGAATCCTTCGTTGGTGAGAGGAGTCTTCGTGAAGCTATGCACTTCCCAGCGACTTCACCAAGCCCTAGAGGTATCGGACTGGATGATTGAACATAAGATCTGCAATCTGGTTCCTGAAGATTTCTCAGCTAGGTTTCATCTGATTGAAAACGTTTTAGGTTTGGAAGAAGCAGAGAAGTTCTTCGAGAGCATCCCGGAGAATCTGAGAGGTGAATCTATCTACAACTCTCTGTTAAGAAGTTATGCAAAACGATCGGAAAAGAATGATCTTGATAGAGCCGAATTTATATTCAAGAAGATGAGGGAGTTAGGTTTGCTCGTGAGACTTTCACCGTACAGTTCGATGGTCTCACTCTACAGATCTTTCGGAAAGAGAGATAAAGTCGATGAGATTCTGCGAGAGATGAAGGAGAGCAACATCGAGCTCGATAGTCTCACAGTGAACAACGTTTTGCGAGTGTACGCTGCTGCATCTGATGTGGCAGCAATGGAGAAGTTTCTGGCTGATTGGGAAGGAAGTGTAACGCTTGAGTGGCTCACAATGCTTGACATGGCAAAGGCTTATCTGAATAATGGTTCTAAGGGAAAGGCGAGAGAGATGCTTCGTAGAACAGAGGAATTGAATGATCCAAAGTCTTATGAGGGACTCATAAGGCTATATGGTGAAGCAGGGGAGAGAGATGATGTGTACCGTATATGGGACTTGTACAAGAACGCAAAAGAGAAGGACAATGAAGGGTTTCAAGCTTTGATTGGTTCTCTCTTGAAGCTTGATGATATCAACGGAGCAGAGGAGATCTACTACAATGAGTGGCAGTGCTCGCGTCTTGAGTTCGATGTTCGAATGCCAATTATGTTAGTGTCCTGCTTATCGTGAAAAGGGAATGGTGGAGAAGGCAGATAAACTGATGAACAGAAGTATGGTGAATAAAATATCGGTTATATCAGTGACTCCGGTGTTGGAAGAATGGGAGAAACAGGGTAATGAAGTGAAGCCAGTGGATGTTAGAAACCTAATCAAGGATCTTTGTGATTCAAATAGTTTTTCTAAAGCTCTTGAAGCATCATCATGGATGGTTAAAAAAAAAGTGTTTAATATATTTGCACAAGATTATGCAACTAGGCTTAATTTGATTGAGAAAGTGTTGGGTTTGGAAGAAGCAGAGAAGTTTTTCGAAACCAGCATCCCTGAGAATATGAAAGATTACTATGTCTACAATACACTCTTGAGCTGTTATGCAAGGTCATCTAGCAACAGTCAAAATAAAGCTGAAGCCGTTTTCAAGAAGATGAGAGAGCTAGGTTTCCTCTCACAACTTTCCCCATTCAACTCGATGATATCTCTCTACACTGAGCTGAGAAAACGAAGTAAGGTCATGAAGCTTGTATTGGAGATGAAGGAGAACAATATAGAGCCTGATAGTGTCACGATAAACAATGTTTTGAGAGTTAACGCATATTTATCAGCACTCCAGTCGATGGAGAAGTTTAAGAGTGAATGGGATGGTGATGGAAAAACCAAGCTTGAAGTAAGAACGATGGATGCAATGGCAGGTGCTTACGAGAGAGCCGGGCTACTACTAAAGGCGATATTGATAGCAGGGAGCAAAAGAGAAGTTTACCGTCTATGGGATGAGTACAAGAAGAAGGCAAAGGATGGGATTGAAAGAGATGTGATGATTACCTCTTTTTGGAATGAAGGATATCGAAATGTGATTAGCTTTTTGTTGAAGCTTGACGATGTACAAGGAGCAGAGGAGATATATGGAGAGTACTTGGATCGATCAAGAGGAGTAGGGTTGTATGCTCAAATACCGGGTTTGCTAATCTCTCGTTATTCCGAGAAAGGTGATGAAATGAAGATGAGGGAAGTGATAAATAAGCTCATGGCGACTAAGATTCAGCGTTGGCGCCGTTGTTCGGGCTTAATTCTTGTTACTGCTTCAATCACTTGATCGTTATTTTAGCGGATTTAAACAAGATATTTTGGCTTTTATTCTTACACTATATCTTACTTTTTAAAAGCTTACGTACGAGAAGACGTTCATGCAGAGGCACAGAGCGTGTTCTTCTTAAATTCATTGTATTTGTTTGCTGGTTTACAAGATGAAACCTATTAAAAAAAAAAAAAAAGAAGATGAAACCTATAAAATTGAAGATTATAATGAAGTACTATTGTTTTATATATATGACATATACAGTATATGGATATACCAAAATTTTATGATCACTACATATTAATTTATGATAAAGTCAGCACTATCTTTAACAAAAAATAAAAATCAGCATTATACTAATTTAATTTTATGTATATCACTCTCATCATGATATAAATTATAAACTAATATTCAGTGACGTCAAAAAAAAACGGATATACTATAAATATAACAAGATATATATTAAACTAAATATATATATTTTTCAAAGTATAATTAATTTGAAATTTTCTATACAAGAATTAATTAATTTCACTAGGGCTAAACCCTTTACCGTGCAGAGGTAGCCCATATAAATCGGAATGGGTGATTGCAAACTTAAGCCGACTATATTGTTTCAATGTTGGAGGATTTAATTTTCCTAATTACAGAATATCATCATAAGGTTTAACTATATAAACTGATTAAAATTAAAATATCTCAAAACCCTAATTAGTCTTCTACTCTTGGGTCCATCACCGGACATGAGCATGAGGCATAATCTTCAGCAACACGCAAGGCGAATTCTCGCTTACAATAGCAGGACTCGATTCTTCTGCTCTATACACCAACGGAACACTATCGTCTCCGGCGACGAACCAAACTCTGCAGAGTCGGATCGAAGCGGCTTCACATCAGAAAGCAGAAATTACAACGGTGCTTGAGCAATGGCTACAACAACAACAACAACAGGGGAAGCAGTTAAACCCTTCGTTATTAAGAGGAATCGTCGAGAAGCTCAGAAGTTCTAACCGAGCTCGCCAAGCCCTAGAGGTAACAGACTGGATGGTTGAACAAAAGATCTACAATCTCCCGGAAGACTTCTCAGCTAGATTTCATCTGGCTGAGAAGGTTTTTAATTTGGAAGAAGCAGAGAAGTTCTTTGAGAGCATCCCGGAGAATATGAGAGGCGAGTCAATGTACAATTCTCTATTAAGAAGTTACGCAAGACAGTCCGGGGAAAAAGCTCTGAAGAAAGCTGAATCTATTTTCAAGAAGATGAAGAAGCTAGGGTTGCTCTTGAGACCTTCACCGTACAACTCGATGACATCACTCTATAGCTCTCTCGGAAACAGAGATAAGGTCGATGAGATTCTTCGAGAGATGAAGGATAACAACGTTGAGCTCGATAGTGTCACCGTGAACAACGCTTTGCGAGTATACGCTGCTGTATCTGATGTAGCGACAATGGACAAGTTTCTAGCTGATAGGAAAGCGATTACAAGGCTTGATGGGCTCACAATGCTTGAGATGGCAAAGGCTTATGTGAGAGATGGTTCTAAAAAAAAGGCTAGGAGGATGCTTCATGAAACAGAGGAATGGTTGGGTCATGACTATAAGGAACTCATGAGCCTATATGGTGAAGCAGGAGAGATAGAAGATGTTTACCGTGTATGGGACAAGTACAAGGCGACAAGAAAGAAGGATAATGAAGGATTTCGAACTTTGATTGGTTCTCTCTTGAAGCTTGGTGATATCAAAGGAGCAGAGAAGATATACTACAATGAGTGGGAGTGCTCCGGTCTTGAGTTTGATAACCGAATCCCCGATATGTTGGTGTCGGGTTATCGCGAAAAGGGAATGGTGATGAAGGCAGATAAACTGGTGAACAAGACTTTGTGGATCAGAGGATTGGCTAGACCAATCACTCTGTTGCTGGAAGAAATGGATAAAAAGGGGAATAAAGTGAGCCCGTCGGGCTTGAGAGACCTCATCAAGAATCTGCGTGATTCAAATCAGTTGTCCAAAGCACTTGAGGCATCATCATGGATGTGTGAAAAAAAGGTGTTTAATCTCTTTTCAGAAGATTATGCAGCAAGGCTTCATCTGACTGAGAAAGTGTTGGGTTTGGAGAAAGCAGAGAAGTTTTTCGAAAGCAGCATCCCGGAGAATATGAAAGATTACTCTGTCTACGATACACTCTTAAGCTGTTATGCAAGATCTAGCAACACTCAAAATAAAGCTGAAGCCGTTTTCGAGAAGATGAGAGAGCTAGGTTTACTCTCCAAACTTTCCCCATTCAACTCGATGATATCTCTCTACAGTGGGCAAGGGAAACTAAGTATGGTTAATATACTTCTATGTGATATGAAGCATAAGAATATAGAGCCTGATAGTGTCACGAGGAACAACGTTTTGAGAGCAAACGCATACATATTAGCCATAGACTCGATGGAGAAGTATAATAGAGAGTGGGATGGTGATGATTATAAAGAAACCAAGCTTGAAAAGAGGACGATTGATGACATGTCAAAGGCTTACGAAATAGCCGGGTTAAGACTAAAGCCTGAGCTAATACTAAAAGCGATAGAGATAACGGGGAGTGAAAAAGAAGTGCACCGTCTATGGAACGAGTACAAGGACAAGGCAAAAACAGAGATAAGTAATGAAGGATATCGAATTATGATAAGCTCTTTGTTGAAGTTTGACGATGTAAAAGGAGCTGAGGAGATGTATGGAGAGTGGCAACCACAAGGATCAGATTTCGACACTCGAATACCGTGTTTGCTAATCTCTCATTACAGCAAAGAAGGTGATGAAGTGAAGGTAAGAAATGTGGTGGAATCGAGTAGAAAGAAGCAAAAACAGATGTACTTTGAAACGTTAATCGTGAGAGCTTTGGACGATGTGACGCCCGAAGTCACGAGGTGGTTTTTTATTCTTGCGTCTGTATGGATTTTCTTTTCCGTATAGAGCACCCCTTCTTATCAATACTAATCTTCTTATTATTCTTTACTATAAACTATATTACGTTCTAATATTAACGATTACTTATCCAGTTTTTAAATGTTTACCTTCTTGGGATGCACTTTGAAACGTTAATCAAGAGAGCTTTGAAAGATGTGTTGCCCGATCTCGCGATGGTGTCTTTTCTTATTTGGTTTGCATGGTTTATTTTTTTTTCCTAGAGCACCCCTTCTTATCAATAGTATATTCTTATTATTCTTTACTATAAACTATATTACGTTCTAATAATAATGATTATTATTTTCTGGTTTTTAAATGTTTACTTTTTTTGGATTTAGTCTAAATCTTAGATAAATACTAAACATATATAATCTCTTAAAAATTGTCATATTTTATACCGTATTATCGTCATCTCGAATGTCGTTTTTGTTAACGTAATATCATTCCTAGTTCTCTGGATCTACAACCATGTTGATATGCAGGTTTTGGAGAATACCGCATGTTCTCGAAATTGTGCAACATCGTTGACATGCCCACTTAACTCGGTCTTGTAATTGTATGATAGTGGCCAGATAGCTGCAGAGAAACGGTTGACAAAGGTGTCACATATAATGGCCAGGTCTGTTTTCTGAAACATGTGATCCTAACTCGGTGATTCCATTGAACACAGCATGTGGCTTGGTTCTAGTAAATAACCGGAGGATCATCATTGTCCAATCATCACATTGCCACCAATTTTGTTGTATGTTCCATTTTAATATGAGGATATGCTAAGATAATGTTTCTATTTATTCATCATATTTTTTACAATGTAATTTTACAGAAAATTTAATGCTCTGTTATTTAAATTCTGGATATAAGATGGATCTAAATCTTGTATGTGTACAGCCTGGAAACAGATCTTGACATAAAATTCTAATGAGCATAAAAGTAAACGGAAGTGTTACAGATCAATTTTATTGGTCTGTTATTTAAATCTTAGAACTAATCTTGATCTAAATCTTAGTATATTTTTTTTTTAAATGTGCATTGCACAGAGTGGAAACAGGTATTGGGAAAAATTTAATGGTAATTTTATTACAAAAGTAAACGATGACCGAAGTATGAAACTGTATCTTCTGGTCATTCTTAATAATATAAACAGCAAGTTGGTCATTGTCTATTAGGAAATATGGGGATGCTTGTTTATTAATATGAACACTCCCATTTACTAGACTCCACGAGAAGAAATTACCAGAAAACATACATCGATCATAACCAAAGAACCAAAAAGATGCCAAAAGAAAAGGTACCTCCACTTCCTCCACTTGTTGGATTTGGACGATATCATAACCGGTACGGCAAAAAGATGGACAAAGAAGAAGAAGAAGTGGCTCCACCTCCTCCACCTCCACCTCCGCCACCTCCTCCACCTCTTGGATTCAAAGGATGTCGTAACCAATGCAGCGCAAAGATGAACAAAGATAAAGTATCTCCACCTCCTAAGCCTCTTGGATTCAGACGACACCATAACCAAAACAGCGCAAAGATGGACCAAGAAGAAGTGTCTCAAGATCCTCCATCTCCTCAGCCTCTTGAATGTAGACGATATCATACCCGAAACGGCAAAAAGATGGACACAGAAAAAGTACCTTCAACTCCTCCATCTCGTAGATTCAAACGATCTCGTAACCAAAGAAGCAAAAAGATGGACAAAGAAGTACCTTCAACTACTCCAGCTCCTCGTACTCCTCGTAGATTCAAACGACATCAAAACCAAAACGGCAACGAGATGGACAAAAAGATAACACTTGCAGCTTCTCACCCTTTTCCTACCGAAAACCCAAGATGTCCTGTTTCTCATCCAACTCACCCTCACACCCTCTCTCCTAGATTCGGTGGAAACACCAAGTTTGGCTGTTTTTCATGCGGTGAAAATACATCTCCCATGACTGAAGACCAGAACTACCATTTCTTCTGCACCACTTGCGATGTGGAATTCCACGGTGGTCATTGTTTAAGGTTTCCGAGGAAGTTGACACATCCTTATCACCTCCAACATCCTCTTACTTTCACCTTCCGGAACGATGAAACCGGGATCATATCAGATGGCAATATAGATGAATCTTTTTGCACTACAGTTTTCTCTGATGCCAACACGTCTGATCCTAAGAAGTTGGGATCTATCGAATCTGATCAATGCACATGGTGTGGAAAAATTATCCAAGGAAGTTGGTCCTATCGTTGTTCTATATGCAACTTTTGTTTGGATCTATCTTGCTCCCAAAATATTCCACTTCTCCTCGTCACGAACCCAAAGAGTCATCAACATCCACTAGTCTTCTACCGGCGACCACTCTTGACTCCATGTGATGCTTGTGGGTTGGTCAATATGTTGGATCCAAGCTATGCTTGTTTTCAATGTAATTACATGGTCCATCAAAGTTGCATCAACTTACCACGAGTCATAAAGATCACGCGTCACCAGCATCGTCTTTTTCACACTCCTTGCCTCCAATCTAAGATTTCAATATGTCGGGTATGCTATCAAAAAGTTGACACCAACTACGGCCAATATTCTTGCAACCACGAGGGTTGCTCTTATGTAGTGCATTCGAAATGTGCAACAAATGAGAACGTATGGGATGGGAAAGAACTCGAATGGGAATCCGAGGAATCTGAAGAAATTGAAGATATCCTCCCATTTAAGAAGGTTGGTTGTGGTCAAATAAAACATTTCTCTCATAAACATCCTCTAAAGCTCAAGAAGTATAATGGTATTAGAGATGCAGATAAGCACTGTCAAGCATGCATCCTTCCTATCAACTCTAGTGATTTCTACAATTGCAAGCACTGTGATTTTTATCTCCACGAGGTATGTGCTGGTCTTCTTCGAAAACTGAGTCATGCGTTACACAAACACCCTCTTATCCTAATCACCTCTCCTCGAAACCACTATGATCTCATCGATTGTTCAGCTTGTTCCAGAAAGTTCACTGGTTTCAAGTACATATGTCCCAAAAGTGATTGTGTGTCCAAGCAAGTTCAGATAGATGTTCGATGTATTTCATCAGTTCCCGATCCTTTCACCCACAAAAGTCATAAACATCCTCTATTTATCTCCACATCCTCCAAAGGTGAAAACAAGACTTATTGCGTGGGTTGCAAGAAGATAGGTATGCGGTCTTACCTACAGTGTACTATATGCAAATTTGCTATGTGTTATCAATGCGCTACAATTCCAACTGAAGTAAGCTACAAATACGACAAGCATCTTCTTTCTCTTTGCTATGGAGAAAAAGCAAATGATACATACTGGTGTGAACTATGTGAGAAAAAGGTTAATCCAAGGGATTGGTTCTACACATGCAACGAATGTTGTATCACTATCCACCTTCATTGCATATTTGGATCTTCTGCTTATATGAAGCCTGGTTTCAGATTCAAGTATTACTCGTCTAAAGTGGAAGTTCGTCGCAACAGTAACAGCGCTCGACCGAATTGCGTTGAATGTGGTCATCGTTGTCCAGGTTACATCTACTACAAAAACGATAACTCTGTTACGGTTACTTGTTCTTTGAATTGTTTAGAGAAAAAGTTGATACCGCTTCAAACATGGTGAACTTTCCTTTCCTTGTGTGTTTTATTGGATTTATTTGTTTGTTTGTTTTTTCTTTTTTGGAGGGACTTGTAACGTGACTTCTTCTATATAATTGGATGTTTTTTTTTTTTTTATCTCTGCTTCCTATACGATATAGTTCCGTTTGTTACAATAATAACTACAAGCTACATCCTATATACATTGAAAATGTGTCACACCTTTTGTTGAACCAAAACTTAAATAGAATCACGTACCTCGTGGAAAAATGTGTCCAAGTGTCCCTTATTTAAATTCACTTTGCCAATTAGACCTAGTGACCTCAACAAGACGACAACAATGAAGAACCCACTAGAGTTTTGGAACACTATTATTTACATCTTGGAATAATAATTTTTTGAGAATTTAATTACAAAGTAAACGATGACCTACATATATAATTCCTAAAGTCTTGGTCAATTTCAATAATATAAACAGCAAGCTGGTCATTGTTTAGTATAAAAAATGGGGATGCTTCTTGTTATGTAACATTAACTCCATTTTTTCTTGCATTTACTCAACTTCACCAAATCAGAGAGAAGTAGGAGACAAAAAATGATCAGAAACACACACACACAGATCAGAAACAAGCAGTCAATAGATAGACAAAGAAGAAGTACCTCCAGGCTCCAGCTCCTCGGCCTCTTGGATTCAGATGATATCATAAGATTCATTTCCAAACCGACATCAAAGTAGTACCTCCACCTCCTCCAGCCCTTTCACGTCTTCTGCCTCTTGGATTATTTTTTCACCGGAGAAGCAAAAAAAAAAAAAGATGGACATGAAAGAAGTGCCTCCACCTCCTCCACCTTTAGGATTCAGACGATATAAAAAAAGAAGAAGCAAAAAGATGGACAACAAAGAAGTGCCTCTTCCTCCTCCACTTCCTCCACCTCCTCTGCCTCATATCCGATCAAGAAAAAAGATGGACATCAAAGAAGTGCATCTACCTCCTCGACGTCAATATCCTCCGCCTCCTCCGCCTCTTCCGCCACCTCCACCTTATGGATTCAGACGATATCATAACCAAAGCAGCAACGAGCTTGAGAAACGAATAGCACGTCTAGGCTCTTCAAATCCTCGCCCGTTTCAATCCAGACGATATGATAACCAAACCCTTCCAAATCCAAGATGTCCTCTGTCTAATCCAACCTACCCTCACACCCTCAATCCTAAGTTCAGCATAAACACCACGAATGCTTGTTTTACATGCCGTGAAAATACATCCCCCTGGATTGACCACCATAATGTCCATTTCTTCTGCAAGAGGTGCCATGTCGAGTTCCACTTTGGTTGCCACAAGTACCCTAGTGAGTTAACGCATCCTTATCACCTCCAACACCCTCTTATTTTCACATTTCATAACTATCAAACTGGGATCATATCCGACGCAAGTATAGATGAATCCTTTTGCGCTACAGTTTTGTCTGGCTCTATCGAATCTGATGTCGTATTCGATAAATGCTCATGGTGTAGAAAAAATATCCAAGGGAATTGGTTCTATCGTTGTTCTGTATGCAAATTTTGTTTGGATCTCTCTTGCTCCCAAACTGATCCTCCTCTTATCGTCGAAAACCCAAAGAGTCATCACCATTCACTAGCATTCTACGCCCGACCACTCTTGACTCCGTGTGATGCTTGTGGTTCGGTCAATGTGTTGGATCCAAGCTATGCTTGCTTTCAATGTAATTACATGGTCCATCAAAGTTGCATCGACTTACCACGAGTCATAAAGATCACTCGTCACCCGCATCGTCTTTTTCATACTCCTTACCTCCACTCCACAATTCCACCATGTCGGATCTGCTACAAACCAGTTGACATCAAGTATGGCCAGTATTCTTGCAAACACGAGGATTTCTCTTATGTAGTCCATTCGAAATGTGCAACACATGAGAATGTATGGGATGGGAAAGAACTAGAAGATGAACCCGAAGAACCCGACAACATTGAAGATATCGTCCCATTTGAGAAGGTTGGTAGTGATCAGATCAAGCATTTCTCTCATGAACATCATCTTCTGAAGCTCGAAAAGTATGACGGTGTTCGAGATGCAGAGAAGCAATGTCAAGCATGCATCCTTCCCATAAACTCTCCTCATTTCTATAACTGCATGGAATGTGATTATTTCCTCCACGAGGTATGTGCTGGTCTACCTCGAAAATTGGATCATGCTTTGCACGTTCACCCTCTTGTCCTAGACCCTTCTCCTCAACGACACTTTAATCAAAATGGTTGTTTAGTTTGTTCGAGAAAATCCACTGGTTTCAGGTACAAGTGCTCCAGAGAGAAATGTGTGCTTCTCGATAACGTTCAGATAGATGTTAGATGTATCTTAGTTCCAGATTTTTTCACACATAAAGCTCATGAACATCCCCTATTTATATCCACATCCGAGAAAGGAAAAAGTAAGATTTGTTGCGAGTGTTGCAAGGAGATATGTCTGGTGTCCTACCTACAGTGTTCTGAATGCAAATTTGCAATGTGTTACCGATGCGCTACCATTCCAAATGAAGTTTACTACAAATACGACAAGCATTCTCTCTCCCTTTGCTACGGAGAAGGAGTAAAGTATGGTATGTACTGGTGTGAAGTATGTGAGAAAGAGGTAGATGCAACGGATTGGTTTTACGCATGCAACAAATGTTGTACCACTGTCCATCTACAATGTGTATTCGGATCCTCTGGTTATGTGAAGCCTGGTTTCACATTATATCATTACTTCACAAAAATGGAAGTTTTTCGCAACAGTAAGAGCACTCGACCGTTTTGCACTGAATGTGGTCAACGTTGTCCAAGTTCCATCTACTACAAACTCGGTTGGTTGGGAACTAGGACCTTTTGTTCGTTGAATTGCTTAACGTCGAAAGAAAAATTGTTGGTGTTGTCAACATGATGAGTTTTTTTGCGTGCTCTTGGATTTTTTTTATTATTATGTTTTTCAGAGATTTGTAATATTTACATTCTTTATTTTGTTATATGTTTACATTTCCATTTATACGAGAATGTAAAAAAATGTTTCAATTTATTCAGCATATTCAATTTCTTTAGTTATTATTCGATTACAACGAACAGAGTTTTTTGGCACATTAGAAACAGAGAGAAACTGAGAGAGTACACACCTGATGTGAATATTTCATTCCTGCCTCATTTTGTGACTAATTTGAGTACATCACCCACAAGTTGTAACGAACCTGTTACCAGAACCTGCTATGATCAAAACACTACACGATGTCATAAAAGATTATTTTGGTTCTTAGTTTGAAATGTTTAATGTAGAGAAAGGGTTTGGTGTTACCTGGAATCGTGTTGATGAACTATTTTGATCAACCACAATGTCCCTAAGCCACTTGATTGCCAATGGCAGAGACGAAATCACCTCACTCTTTTCACCTCCATCTTCTTCTTCTTCCCCAACAAGGCTTTCCCACACTTCCTGGAGTTTGTACTGCCACGACAAATCAACCGATGAATCATCATTCTTCTCTAGCAAAGCATTCATACCAACGGTGTGAGACATCGACATGTACGGCACAAACAAGGCTTTCTTGAAATCAACACCTACAGAAAAACATCTTCTTTAAGGTACAGCGTCTTAAGACAACCAAACTTCATTCATCAAGAAGCAATGTTGTTACAGACCATGACATCACATGCTCACATACTTACCGTATTTAGCACTTGCATTTCTTAGATGTGAGAAAATCAGATGCGGGTCTCGAACCGACATACAATTGAATAGCAATATCTGCAACAGATTCAGATACTCTGTTAGGTCTTTTCTTGTCAAAGTTAAAACAATAATGTAATCTCTGCAGATTGGGTGTTGAGAAAAGAACAGAAAATTCCTACCCGGTGGCAGGTTTCTCCAGGCTTTCTCTCCTCACAATCTTGAGAAGGTCCTTTAACAAAATATTCCAAACTCTCAGACTGTCCATTTTCCTTTACAGCAAGAGAAAACCATTTAACACATGCTTCAATGCTTTCGGGAGTGTGAGCTCCATCAAGATAAAATACTAGATTCCCTGGAGCTGCATGTTCGATATATGGATCGGGAATGACTTGTGCCCGTCCTTGCAAACGGGCTGTAACTAACCCTTTGATAAACGGCTCAGGCAGTGTTGTCTAGACAGAGAAGAACGAGGAAATGCATAAAAAGGTTGTGAAACTCATAGGCAACATAAATAATGGAGAATCACGGATGAAAGAAGCTTACCATCTGATTCAGACTGGGTATTTCAAGGTTACCACTTTGCTGAAGCCAGGTATAGGCTAGTGAGACTGCTAGACCAGCATTGAGATACTGATGTTCCCCGTCAAGACCGAGTTTCTGACCATCTAAAAGCCTTTTGTTTAGCGGCTGTACCACTTTGAGATTCACCTGTCCCATAAAATAGCAAAGCTTTTCTATAAATACACAACTATTTTCTTGAGAAACCAACAAAAATCCAATTAAAAGCAAACATTCCATTTTGTCTATAGAATGTGAAGCGCATCTACAACACCATATAAACAAATAAGCAACGAAGCTAGCTTGAAAACTATGAAATTTTTCCAGTTACATTGCCTGCCTAGTTCACTGAGCTTCAGTTTTGGCAATATCTTGAACTTACATCTAACGCAGAAGCTTTCTCTTCAAGGACACACATTGCTTCATTGAGTTGGGGCACCGTGAAAGCTGGAACTCCAAGCTGAAAGATGAACAAGGAAGAGGAAACAACTAGACTTAGTTCACCAAAAATGAATGACCATTTTACATTTTAATCGGAAGTTGTAGACACCTTGAAAATTCCTGCCTTCTCACCGGCAATTTTCGCGAGCGTATCTCCTATGATGCATGAAGCAGACATAATATAGAAATATAGTCCTAAATGGTTTTAAAGCAGCACTGATCTGGCATGCAAGAGAAGTTACTAACCCAGAATTTCCATGTGGTCATATCCAAGAGATGAAAACCCGCATACCACAGGTTTCTTAACCTGAAACATGGCAGCAGTGAACCCGTATTAGAACTTGTTGTCTCACCAGAGATGCTTATATAACTTAATATAGGCACAAGAGATGTAAACTTAACAACCTTCATTGAAGTTATCCGTTTTAAGTAATTGGAAGTCTTTTAAGGATTTAGTTAGATTTCAAGAATCAAGAGGATTGATATGTGATTATACTATATGGAGGACCATAACATTTTTCCTCCACAATACTTCCAATAAGTTTTGAGAACATCAGAATTCAGGTAAATAGGTTGGACATACCACATTGGTGAAATCAATCCTCCCACCTAGGCCCACCTCCAAGATAACAACATCTACCTGCATAAAGAAGTAGAGAACACAAAAACTTATTCTGCATGTCTCATGTAACTGAATAAGAGAAAGAACTCAGTTAATGTGTAAATATTAGCATCAAACCTCCTCTGCAGAAAATATTTTGAAGCCTAACAAAGTAAGGAAGCGGAAATATGAAGGCATTGTAGTCTCCTCATTAGTTCCCTCCTGAAAGAAAAATAACTAGCAACCTTGTAATTGAGTTCAAAACTGCACGAGTTCTATTTGCAAATAACTCAGCCCAAGTAAGTTTTATTAAGAACTTCCAAATTCTGAAAAAATCGAGGCAATAACACTAAAGATTCCAGGGTAATATGCTTTTCATCATCAATATTGTCTTTAGGAAGATAGTTACAGTATGTTCATGCTGATTAACTTGGGTGCAAAAATTTTTGTCACCACTTTACACAACTTCAGCATCGAACTCGAACACAGTACCTAAAACTAATAAATAAGGTATCTAACAAACTGAATCTTCTTTAGTTGTGAACATACCTTCAGCCTATTATAGCACCACCAGAAATAAGCCAAGAATTTTTCCTCACTTATGTCAACACTGCAGCGACGAAAACATTAGGGAAACGGAAAATTGATAATCATTTTCAGAAAATAGACTGATTGTGTGCTCGTTTTGGAACATTTTTTGCTTGACTGAAATTCAATGAGGCCAGTATTAAACATGCCATAACCAATTATTTCGAAGTAACACGAAGAATATAGACTTGGGAGAGTGGAAAGAGCCAAGAGGTCAAGTCACAAATATGCAATCAGGGCAAAGTTTTCCTGGTAATTAGGGGTGGTGGATACATATCATTTCTCAGATTCACCTAACTTCAAAAAAACATACCCATCCAAGCGAAATCTTTCACGGACATCAATGAGGTGAGGAGAAGTTAAGAGTCCAGTTCGGAAGCCATAGTTTCGCAAAATAGACTCTGTAAAGGTGCATGTGGATCCCTTCAGCATGCAAGAGAGAATAATAATGTTAGCTGTTAGATCAGACAATAATCAAGAATGCAATTATGCAAAGACAAAATATTAGCTTCACTTGGAAATAGATAGTAATCAGCATGCAAACACGATACTAATTTCCTCGAAAACTAAATCAAAGATTAATTTCACGAAGCATTGATGTGGTATCACATACATTAGCAGACAAACCCATGAATGAACATCTCAAATGAATTATTTCTTTTAGGGATAAGAACTGAAATGGGCTCACAAAAACTAATACGCCACCAAATTGTGTGCATCTCTTCTTAACTAGTAAGAATTAAACTGATGTCCTTGCTATTCCTTAGCTTACAAGCCAACCATTTAAAACGCTATGTAGAGAGGAAAGCGCTATGCATCTGCTAATGCAGAGTATGCGAACAACCATTACAAGCATGGAAACGAAGAAACAAGAAATGTCACACTTCTTGTACCTTGCCTTTGGTTCCGGTGACATGGATAACTTTCAGCTTTGCAATGTCTTCTTCCAGGTCAAGTATCTACATATGTGTTACACTAAGCGTGAACCAGCAGTGAAGAAAATGAAAGATAGAAACAATCAATTAAGTTAATATAAGAATTCAAATCATTAAAAGAACCTTCAGATAATCAAGCACAAACTCGAATTGCTCTCCTTTGTCGCGCTTCATGGTCAGCGATGACAAAGCAACAAGAGCTTCTTGGTACAAATCACCACCTGCGTTTTGCTTCGACGCTCCATAATCACCTGAAGAAAAAACAAGTGAACTCAAGATAATTATAAGCAGATTTATCACACTGAGAAGAAGCGATAGGGGAAGAAATCAGCAGACCTTGAGCTGCCATGTCAATCTGCTCTCCCAACAGATTTTTCTAAAACCAAACTATTAGTATCAAAGCTGTGAGAGGGGAAGGAAAGAGAGGGAGAGAGCAAAAGCCTGAGATGAGACAAATTAAAGACAGTGATGGCTGGTGGTATGTATGAGCTGTTGACCACTATTGGTATGAGGTCATACGACACCAATAAAAAAATTGAGAAGGATTATCATTGCTGTTGAGCTTGAATAATTTATGAAAAACAAATCTCAACAACCAAATCAAAAATCATAAACAAATAGATTTCCATGTCTATACATTATTACACTTACAATCACAAACAATCAAATTTTCCAACTGAAGGAAACAGAAGAGATTAACAGTTCCGTCAAACATTCTGTATGTTACGTACACTTAACAGCCGGACGTCGTCCACTGCAGCAATTATAGCAAGGTTGCGGCCTCATTTTGTGACTAATCTCAGTACATCACCCACAAGTTGTAAAGAACCTGTTACCAGTACCTGCTTTGATCAAACACTACACACTGTCATAAATCCGTGGAGCTTTGATTCCTTTGTATGAAATGTTTAATGTAGTGTTACCTGGATTCGAGTGGGTGAACAACTCTGATTGATGACACTGTCCCTGAGCCACTTGATTGCCAGTGGTAGAGACAAAAACACCTCACTCATTCCATCATTCAAATGTGTTTTCTTTCCTCCATTTTCTTCCCCAACAAGGCTTTCCCACACTTCCTGGAGTGTGTACTGCCAGGACAAATCAACCGATGAATCATTATTCTCTAGCAAAGCATTTCTACCAACCTTGTGAGATATCGACATGTTTGGCACAAACAAGGCTTTCTTGAATTCAACACCTACAAAAACAAAACATCTTCTCTAAGTTGCCCAGACCTTTCTGTTCCTACTTCCTACTTCTTTCATACATCAAGAAGAGAATAGTACGAAGAAGATGTTACAGAGTAAGACATCAGGCCACATACTTACCGTACTTAGCACATGTATTCCTTAGATGTGGGAAAAGCAGATGCGGGTCCCGAACCGACATACAATTGAATAGCAATATCTGCAACACATCCAGATGCTCTGTCAGGTCTTTGTCAAAGTCAGAAAAGCATGTAATCTCTGCAGATTAGGTAATGAGAGAAGAACAGGAAACCCTTACTTGTTGGCATGATTCTCCAGACCATTTCTCAAGCTTTCTTTCCTCATAAGCACGAGGGGATCCGCTAACCAAAGATTTCATACTTTCTGACTGTCCATCTCCCATTACAGCAAGAGAAAACCATTTAGCGCATGCTTCCATGCTTTCTGGACTGTGAGCTCCGTCGAGATAAAATACTAGATTTCCTGGAGCCACATGTTCAATATATGGATCGCGGATGACTTGTGCTCGTCCTTGCAAACTGGCTGTAGCTAACCCTTTGATGAATGGCTCAGGCAGTGTTGTCTAGACAGAGAAGAACGAGGAAAAACAGAAAAGTTTGTGAGATTCATGGGCAACAAAACTAATGGAGATTCACGGATGAAAGGAGCTTACCATCTGATTCAGACTGGGTATTTCAAGATTACTACTTTGCTGAAGCCAGGTATAAGCTAGTGAGACAGCTAGACCAGCATTGAGATACTGATGCTCCCCAGCAAGACTAAGTTTCTGGCCACCTAAGAGCCTTTTGTTTAATGGTTGTACCACATTGAGATTCACCTGTCAATAGAATGTTAAGGCAAGCCTCGGCACAAAACCTGACTATCTATCAACAAACTAAGAAAATTCGTATTGGTGAGCTAACATATGTACCTATTACTGGATGCAATTTGTCCCTAAAATGAGAGTATGAGAACACAAGAGTCAAATAAGCATCTGAGCTAGCATGTAAACTGTGAATTTATACGCACACACTCGCTAACATTTGTCTACGTGGTTTATCTTTTGTAGGGTTCAACAACAACAACAAAATTGAACTTACGTCTAACTCAGAAGCTTTTTCTTCAAGGACACGCATAGCTTCATTGGGTTGGGGGACAGTAAACGCTGGAACTCCGAGCTGAAGGAAGAACAAGAAAGATGAAGCAACAATGGAGACTAAGACTTAGTCACAAAAAGGAATGACCCCTCTTATATTTGTAAAGAAGTTTTAGACACCTTAAAAATTCCTGCCTTCATACCAGCAATTTTGTCGAGTGTATCTCCTGTGATGCAACAGGCACACGAGAAAGAAATCACGATTTAATGTACACTAAATCTTAAGAAATGTAATGCAAAACTATACGGATCATGTACCAGCCACTTTACTTGATTTTACAGTCTGAAATATGCATGCCTACACGCATTATACAGACATACACAATCATATAATACGGAGATTTTGTGTAATTGTGTATGTGACCTTCTTAGTAAAAGTAAATTATCTTATTACACAAACAGCAACAAATGCTTCTTCAGGTAAATGTAACTCAATTCTATTAGCTCGGTTCCAAACAACAGGTAAGTTACAGATCTGTTCATTTAACTAAGGCATAGATTCCATGAGGTGCCAATGGGAAGTAAAATTTAAAGCCAAGAGATCTAGAGAGATATCTCCGATAAAGTTTTTAAAGTAGCACGGATTTGGCATGCAAAAGAAAATACTAACCTAGAAACTCAACGTGGTCATATCCAAGAGAAGAAAAACCACACACCACAGGTTTCTGAACCTAAAATATGGCAGTAGTGAACCTGTATAAGAACTTAATGTCTCGACAGAGATGCTTATAAAAAATCATTACGCACACTTGGAACCTTTATAAAAGTTATCCATTTTTACTAATTGGAGTCTTTGAAGGATGTCTTATAGGATTGAATTTATTCTTGTTTAATTGAAGATTTGGATTCTGATTGAACCTAAGGCTTCATATAGTGAATTACTTTGAGATAAAATGAGACATGCAGACATATGATTATATGCTATGGAGAACCATAACACATTTCCTCCACGATGCTTCCAATAAGTTTGAGAACATCAGATTTCATCAAAAAATAGGTCGGACTTACCACATTGGTGGAATCATACTTCCCACCTAAGCCTACCTCCACAATAGCAACATCTACCTGAATACAGAAGCAACCCTTAACATTGATAAAAAGGACAAAATATATTCTGCATCTCAATAATCGGAAAGATTCAGTTAACGTAAATATTAGAACCAAACCTTCTCTCCTGCAAATATTTTAAAACCTAGCATAGTAAGGAAGTGGAAATATGAAGGCATCTGTGTCTCATCATTAGTTCCTTCCTGAAAATCAAATAACCAACAATCTTGTCACTGAGCCCAAAACTAAAAGAATTCCATTTCTGTTAGTACAATCATGTCACGTCTGCATAAGTCTATTTGAGATTTGCAAAATTACAAATTATTTTACAGGTCATTAGTAACTGAGAATACAGCAAAAGAAGGTATACCTGAAACCGTTTATAGCACCACCAGAAATAAGCCAAGAATTTCTCCACACTTATGTCCACACTGCAGCGATAATACAGATTAATTTAAAGCCTGGTTAGTTCTTTTTGCAACCCACTTCACTTGACTGAGATTCAAAGAGGCCAGTAATAGACAAGACAGTAATTTGGAACTACACAAAGAAAACGTACTCTGAGAAAGGAGAGAGAGGTCAAGTCACAAATACCCAATCAACAAAAGGATCGTTTGCTTCAGGTTGCAGATATATGTAATCTCTCAATTTTCTCTAAACCTCAGAAAACTTACCCATCCAAGCGAAATCTTTCACGGACATCAATGAGATGAGGTGAAGTTAAGAGTCCAGTTCGGAAGCCATAGTTTCGTAAAATAGACTCCGTAAAGGCGCATGTGGATCCCTTCATCCCACAAGGGACAAATATGTTAGTTGTTAGATCAGATGATAATAATCAGGCATGGAAACAAATAATTAGCTTCAACGCTTTCATCAACCAAACCACCACATTCAAACTATCCTCAAAACAACTAAACCAAATGTTCATTTCATTAAACAGTGCTTGATGCGCGTTATCACAAAAATTAGGACAGACCATAACATGATTAAATAGAGCAAGATAGATCAAACTTTGTGTACCTTGCCTTTGGTTCCAGCTACATGGATAATGTTCATCTTTGAAAGGTCTTCTTCCAGGCCAAGAATCTGCATATGCGTTACATTAAGCTCAAAACTAGTACGCAGTAGACAGATACAAGGAAAAATCAATAAAAGTTAAATAGGACTCAAAAAAAATAAGAAGAAGAGTAACCTTGACATAATCAAACATCAAATTGAACTCTCCTCTGGTGCGTCTTAGGATCAACGATGACAACACACCCAGCGCTTCTTCGTATGGATCACTACCTGCTAGTTGATTCGAAACTCCATAATCCCCTGGAAGATATAAAATCAGTGATATATATATATATAGATATATACACACAAGATTTAATCAGAACGAGAACGGGAAGACATTAACAAACCTTGAGCTGCCATGTCAATCTGCTTTCCGAATCTACAACCTGAGATTAGAGACTCTACTCATGGCTGGACATATATGCTCCCAATTTTAAAAAATTGGAAATTGTTGTTGAAGCTTGAATAAAATACAAATGGGAAAAATCTCATTAAACTATCTCCATTGTTTAGCAAATCCGAAAAAAAAAAAAAAAAGAATTGAACCAAAATCTCCCATGGACTAATGTCATCACCGACGGTGACGAAAACGATGGTGATGTATAGGAAGATAGCAGAAATGGTTCATGCTTGCTTCGATCATGTAACAGTGTACTGTACAGTGACTACTGAAACTAGTAGATCTCGAACGGCACGGTGTGGTACAGAGAACAAACGAAACAGCATACATTCGATGAACTATTTGTTTATAATGAGTTTAAGAAACTAGTGCAATAGGCAATAAAGTCTGGGTGGTGTAGTCGGTTATCACGCTAGTCTCACACACTAGAGGTCCCCGGTTCGAACCCGGGCTCAGACACTTTGTCTTTATTTTTTACCTCTATTTACATTGCTACCACGTCATCACCCGCTACACGCACGCTAGGTTTCTTTTCGCACGTGTGTGTTTTGATTTCACTTTTTCTTTCGTCTTGCTTGAACCACAGGAAAAAAAACAAACACAAAACCTGAGAACCAAAACATCAGCAGAGAATCGAAATCGCAGAATCACTACTCTAGAAATTCGAATCCCAACTTTCAAACCCTATTATTCAATCGTTCTTCTTCGATTTCCCAGAGCAGATTATTGTATCTTCTTTTGTCTTCCTAGTTTTTGAAAGAGAGAGATGGATTGGGACAGCGTTGCTGCTGAGGATGTGATCGAGGCGTTAAGAGAGGTCGAATGGTCGGCGAGTCCTCGTTCCTTGGCCGAGTTCTTCTCCAGATTCGCGTTTCCTCGCTCTTTCTCTAAATGGATGAGCCGTCTCAAATGCAATCTCTACTAGTATCTACCCTCTCTCTCTCTTTCTATATTCGTATTCGTGTTTGCAATTCAGGGTGTTGATTTTTGATTCATCTCGTTGCAGCTATAGGACGAATTACTTCATCCTCTTGATTTTCGTTCTGGGTATGTTGACCTTCTTCTTTTTTCAAGCTGTGATTGAGAAATTTGGGTTTTGCTTTAAGATCCTCTTGAGCTGGTTTGATACTTAATCGGGTGTTTTAACTCTCTTTTTTCGGCCTTTGTGGACTCAGGTCTTGCACTTATCACTCGACCTCTGGCAATTCTTGGTGCTGCTCTTACAGCTTTAAGCTTAGCTTTCCTTAACGACAGGTAATTTCCTGTGATTTCCTGTTAGTTTATTTTTAATATTGTTGCTTAGAAATACATTTGTTGCTACAGTTTTTGTTGGTTCGCATTATATCTGTAGAATGTTCAGGAGGAAGTTCTCTATCTATATTCAGTGATTAGCCCTTAAAGTGTCTGTCCATAGTATTAAATTCAATAGGTTATGGCGTTAGTTCTTTAAACTTGAGTGTTGTAAGGTTCCTCTATCTCTAGTGATTAGCCCTTGAAGTGTCTGTGCTTACTATTAAATTCAATACGTAATGGCGTTGTTTCTTAAAACTTGAGTGTTTGTCGTTTTAAGGTTCTCTAATTTCAGTGATTTGCATAGTTGCCTGGTTGGTCTGTTTACTTTACTCGTTGTGTGTGTATATGTAATCGTATCTGCGTTTTCCTTGGCATCTATCAAACGCACTACTATGTTTTTCTTGTCTTTTGCAGTTTTGCAGCTACTTTTAATGAGAAGATGATCCGGACCATTAGGCATATCTCGCCACATTTAGCTGCCAAGATGAGGCCTCCCCACATGTGAGTAGTTTTTGATTCCCATGGAAAAATTACAGATGGTTTTTGATATTTACTACTTGTGAACACCTTTCAGGCCTGTCATTCGTGGGCGATCTGCAACTAGAAAGACAGTCTACATTTGTGGCCAACCTCGTTTGGTATTCGTGTTGATTGGCTTAACCGGTACTTAAGTATCTTTTAGTCATAGTCATATAAACTCTCTCACCTATTGATATACAACTTGGTGATGAACTGATGCATAATATTGATTTTCCTAATGTAGCCAGTTTTGTGCTGTGGTTCACGTCCTGCGGTTTATTATGGGTCCTCTATGCATTTACCACTGCCATTCTCAGTAAGTTACTGCACTCCCAAGGGATTTTTTCGTTCATCGTTTTTCCCCTTATTGGTCCTGGTTTACATCCTTTGACTTGAAATTTTCTCTCTCCCATAGTGATACTTCTTCACGCAAGCCTGAGAACTCCAAACCTCAAGGCACGCTTGAACACATTCCGTGAAGAATTCAGGGCTGTCTGGCGTAACTACAGCGAGCTTTAAGTCAACAGGAAGCATTGATTCAATCTTGAAGCAAACCAAGCAGGAAATCACAGGTTTCAAGCAAGGACATGAACTCCAATTCCTTCCATCATGTGCACAAACAAAATGGCAGTTATTCTTGTCTTCTAGTAGTAAGCTATAAGGCCACTTATCTGATTACAGATGCGGCTCTTTGTTCTAGTTAGTTAACTAGAACTTCAAGGTTAAATCGCAGACAAAATATATAGAGTTGTGCTCTTTAGGTTCCGTTCCGTTGTAATGCTGCTCAACACAAAGTCTGTTGTAGTGATACTAATACTCTTTAGTCTTTACAGTGTGTTTAGTGATTCAGCTTTAAGTATCTTCCCTCACTTCTTCTACGCATAGTTTTCGTTTTCCAATGGTTTAGTACAGTGCAAATTTTGGTAGACAAAAACATATGGGCTTTGCTTGTAGAATCAGTTCCGGTAAAAAAAGAAAAAAAAATCAGTCCTGTAAAAAAAAGTGTTAGAAGAAAAAGCCCATTAAAACTTTTTTTGGTATAGAGCCCAAAAATAAAAAGTTACGAAGAGACAAGATTCGATCCAAAATTATTACTGTACCAACAGAGCTTTTTCTAAAGATCTGTTACGAAGCACACAGATAAAATACGAAACCCTAAGAGCTTCTTCTTCTTCAATCTTTAGGTTAAACCGAGGCATAAGCGGCGCATCTGAATCCCAAATTGAGAGACGATGACGATCGATTCGCAGCAGAAAACGACGAGCAAGTTCAGATGGGGGGAAATGGACGAAGACGACGATCTGGATTTCTTGCTCCCTCCCAAGCAAGTGATTGGCCCAGACGAGAATGGTTTGAAGACGACGATTGAGTACAAATTCAACGATGAAGGCAATAAGGTTAAGATTACGACTAGGACACGTGTCCGGAAGCTAGCTTCTGCTCGGCTCAACAAACGAGCTATGGAGAGGAGGAACTGGCCTAAGTTTGGAGACGCAGCCAATGAGGAAGCTGGTAGCCATCTCACTATGGTTTCTACCGAAGAGATTCTTCTCGAACGACCCAGAGCTCCTGGTACATTCTCTTTCTCTGATGATGATGATGATGATTCTGGTGGTTTTTGTTTGTTGAGATTCGTTGGTTTTATTGCTTCCTATTGAATTTGGATTTAGAATCAATGTGCTAAGATAAATTACTCACCTTTGATGAAGTTTGTCTGTGATCTGTTTTAACTTGGGATCTTATCTAGTTTCATTGTTTGATGATGGGTGATGTACTAATTCATTAGTCTTATTGTTTAGTTTAAGATTATTGGAGTGAGGTGACCAATTAGCCGATCACATGTTAGCCGTGAGGCTACTTCTTTGTGTGATTGGTCAGTATGTTACCAACATCAGTTTATTGTTTGTAGTCCAATTCTTGAGTAGGAGCTGAAATGGTGCTCTCACTTTTGTGGCTGCAATCTGTACACAGAAATGTTGCAGCTTTTCATAATTCTCGTATCTGATTATATGTAGATTTAGTTCAGATTGTTAAAATCTTCAAGCTTTTGTCCTGTAATATGTCTCTTTTTGTGTTCTTAGCTTTATGGAATAATTAGATTGATATTTGTAAAGCTTTATTGATCAATTTATTCATATGTGAATGACTAATTGTACGTATAGATCATCATAGATGGTCTTAATTAGTGGTTTCTTATGCAGAAATAGGTTACTATGATTGATTCTGTGGCTATGTATTACTGTATCATTTCAAAGTTGACAATGAGTTAGCCGGTTGGGTCACAAATACCTTCCTTTTGTTGTGTAATTCTGTGGTATATAGTACTATTTAGTACAAAATTCACTGATTGTTAGGTAATCCTGGGTCTAAACGGTGTGTGATAATTCAGGTACCAAAGCAGATGAATCAAAGGCAACAGGAGACGGCTTGTCTCAGCTGGGTAAAGGTGGTGCAGTTCTCATGGTGTGCAGGATATGTCACAAGAAAGGAGATCACTGGACATCAAAATGTCCTTACAAGGATCTAGCTGCAACAACTGATGCCTTCATCGACAAGCCACCCACAGGGGATTCATCTACCATGTCCGCTGCACCTGGAACTGGCAAGGCCGCATATGTCCCGCCTAGCATGAGAGCAGGTGCAGACAGAAGCGCTGTTGGTTCAGACATGAGGAGGAGGAACGATGAGAACTCAGTGCGTGTAACCAACTTGTCTGAAGATACCCGTGAACCGGACTTGATGGAGCTGTTCCATCCGTTTGGAGCTGTCACACGTGTCTATGTGGCCATCGATCAGAAAACTGGAGTGAGCAGAGGATTTGGTTTCGTCAATTTTGTGAGCAGGGAAGACGCTCAACGGGCAATCAACAAGTTGAATGGTTATGGTTATGATAACCTCATCCTCAGGGTTGAATGGGCCACTCCAAGACCAACCTAGAAAGAAATGTCTGATGAGACCTTAAAACTCTTCTCATGCTCGTCTTTCTTGTTATGGATTTTTGTTTATTGACCAGTTTGTTTGTTGGTTTGGTTCTGTAAGAATAGATGAGAAATTGTTGTTCAATTTCTCTTTAATACATAAGGCATGCTTTTTAAAATTGTTCAATTTCTCTTTACCAATGCATTCTTCACTGATGTGTCTAAATTATCATGTGATATTTACTATTCCCTCCATTTCACAAAAGAAAATGTTTAACTTGTTCGGTAAAAAATATATTTTTATGATAAATGGTAATTACGTAGATTCTCTAAATTGTAATTATTACATTTTCGTATCATTGTATAAAAACTTAAAAAGATAAGAAATTTTCCTTTGTTAAATTTAGTCTACAAAAGAAAATTTCCATTTATTTTATATGCATATATACTAGCTTAAGTAATTTCTTGTTCAAGTAGAATAAGGTCAAATCTTAGATTTTCATCGAAACAATGAAAAAGGTTTCAAAACTCAGTATTATCTTCCGTGACGAACTACAAAACCTCAACAAAGACTCCGTCGAAAATTTAGATGTCGTCGGAAAAAACACATTTAATTCATCGTCGGACAATGAACGCGACCAATTCTCCGGCTTGTTTGCTTCTTGGTCACCGTCTTCGTTTCAAATGCCTCTTCAGTACCCGAATTACACAAAGGAACAATACGAGATTATGTCGGAGGAAGAAATTGATCAACTTCTCAAACTCTATGGTCTGCCAATAGATATCGGTGACTTGTCTTACAAAAAAGAATTTGTAGTGGGTGCATTCTTGTGGGAGACGGGGTTAAATTCTTCTCTGGATGAGCATGATTCAGTAAACCCTAATTCTTTCACTGATGATTTGGATGAGAGCTCTTTGATAGGATTGATGACGGTTCTGATAAAAGATATGGTTCACTTTATTTTTCGTGTGTAGCAAGTAAAGGCCTAATTTTGCTTGCCCCTAAAGTTTCGTTTCTTGTTGTTTATATGGATGGATTTCGATTATTCTGATTTAGGAAGATAATAATTTACTATATCATATTATTTTGCTTGGCCCTAAAGTTATCGTCTGTTTTTTAACAACCAAAGAAAAGTTAAAACCAAACTGAATCGGGAAATAAAGATATGGTTTAGTGCGGTTTAGAGAAACTTAAATTCAGCTAACCTAGAGCTCAAGAAAACTCGTCGGGACATGTTTCTTCTTAAACAATATTTAAAAAGGACTAGCGACTCTAGCTGTGAGAATAATCTTGTTTTAAAAGCTGTATAAACAATGAGAGAAACAAAAGCTTCAAATAAAACTTCAACTCTGACTTTGAAAACAAAGTAAATAGAAGCATTATCTAAAACTATAAATAGAGAAATCCTAAAACCCCAAAAACAGTTTAAAGTTGGCGCCAATCTTTAGTATGACACTGCATCATTATCTGATACCCTTTTAAATCATGAAGATGATGATGATCTTGCGTTCATCTCTTCTTTTGTATTTGCTTCGGTAGTCTCCAATAACGTAGCAACTTACTTACTAGATCATGAACAAAAAAAAAAGATGTATATATCAGGAACAAATTTTGTCAGCCGTTTTAAATGTATGCATAACATACAAAATTTAAGATTTAATTTACGACCTATGCTTCTTTTTTTAATATCAAAACGTTTTATAACAACCAACATAAGAACACCGTGAAGTAACTCTATCTTTATCATTTATCATTGATGGACTACTATAGTCTATAGTCGGTTAAAGTGTTATTTAACAACTTTAGTCGAACAGTTCACTTGTATGTATGTTATACTTTTAGGGTGTTTGCACCGTTTAGCTAAAATCGTCTACCGACTATATTTGGTTTACAATGTTATTTCTAACAATTTTACCGAGCATTTCACTTGTGTGTTTTGTAGTACTGCATTGTTCAGGAAACATCGTCAAAAGGCTCACCAAGTTCCTCCATTGTGCCCCAAACACAAGTAATTAACAACATTTAAGTTAAATATTCTATACGAGCAATGGATTTTACTGAGCAAAAAACGTATAAAGTTCGTTGTTTGCTAAAAACAGACTTATGATATAAACGCAAACCTCATTGTTAACATTTTTAATGTAACACAAGGAACTCACGATGTCATGTAGCCTTCTTCAATACTATAAAGTAAGAACCATTAGGGGCATGAGTAGATATTTAATAAGACAAAATGAGACAACATTATGATGTATAGCGAAAAAAGGGAAAGAATAATTGAGAAAGATAGGTCAACATCAAATCTTCGAAACCAAATCTCACATAGACCAAATAGACACGTGTCTTTATTTGATTGTCACAAGTAGGCATAATCTTATCTAAGTTCCCACTTGTGTTGTGTCCCTCTCAATCCCCAACTCAACTCTTATTGTGTGCCCTCTCACTCTTTCCACGAACCCAATAGGCAACAGCTAAAAAATCTATCCATCATTATAACATTATGTAAATTCCAATCTAATAGTTTTTTGGCAGTGGCCTTATCTTTTGATGGTGAAATCTCCAAGCTTCGACCAATTGTATCGTATTTGATTATCAAGTTGATGTTTTCACGCGTGGGGATAGATAAATTTACCGTAGTTTTGTTTGATGTTACATTTTGGAAATGTCTTCAACAAAACCTCATAATTAGACAACAAAACCTCATAATTGTTGCTTTAGAAAATAAAACATACACAAATTAAACGTATGATTAGTAGTACCTAACAAACATTACAAATAGTAATGTAAAGGGTTTATAACACATGATTGGATAGAAAAAGATTTTAATATTTGGTCATTGTGGCAACTGGCAAGTGGCAAGTAATGGACGGTCGAAAGTATGTAATATTTTTTGTTCAAGTTGATATTAATTAATATATAAAAGAATGTGAATATCATATTCCTTTTCTTTCTTTCCTAGTTGATATTTTTTAGTCAATTTAATCAAAATCTGTTTAATTAATAAATTTACTAACTAATAAAAATCTGTTTAATTAGTGATTGATTCCGACCTTAACTGACATGAAGCATTCGACAATGTTGGCCAGATAAATCATTGTACTTTTTACTTCTTACTGATTCTCCAGCAGCTGAGTCTCTTCCATCATAGTTTAAAATTAATTTAATTGATTTTTTTTTTTAATTGATTTATGTTTCTAATGTATGATCTTTGAATCTTTTAATTACAAAAATGTGCTACATTACTTAACCAGTTTGGATTCAAATTACCGGCAGGATCCATACTCAACCAGTTCGAACCGGATAACATAAACCACGTGATTAAAAAAATGGTACATACGCATAAATCTGTTTTCATTACTCTTTTATCAAATTCGTTTAACATTCTTTCCCCTCTGAATTACATGATTGCAATTCCACACGCGCATAGTAAAAGAATACATGTATATAAAATATTACCTTAAACAGAAAATTAAAAGAAAATATGCAAGTTTTTAATCAGCTCTTTTTCTTCCCCAGCCTGAATTAAGAGCTAACAAAAAAAAAAAAAAAACACCTTCAATAAGAAAACTAAAATAGAAAAAAAAAATAACAAAAATTACAATTAGGCTTATGTAACAATTTCTCTAATACTATTACTAATTAAAACACTAATTATTATTAAGACGACGATTGATTATTCCTCCTCTTCCTCAGGTCAACCACCACGACGCTCACGTTATCGGAGCTCTGTCTCGCTAGAGCCAACTTCGTCAATAGCAACGCAGCATCGGAGCACGCATTGTGCGCCGCAGCTGCATCAGAATCATCACCATCCGGCAGACCAGCACCTCGAAGGCACATGCGAGCCACGCCACACGCCGTCTCATTTGGTACAACGTCCCATAGTCCATCGCTCGCCAAGATCAAACACTCGTCGTCATCGGTTCGATCCGTCACTGTAACCTCAGGATCCGGAATCACATATGGTTTCAAGTAATTGTCGCCTATAAAAACAAAAACACAAAAATCATCAGATTTAATTCAAGACATGTAATTGTAACAACCCTTACAAAGTCAAATCACAAGAGAGATCAACTCACCAATTGCTCTAGACATGGCAAGAACCCCAAGAACCCTAGCTCCATCCCAATAAATAACCCGCCCACCCGCTTGCTGGATCCGAATCAATTCATCGGGTCGATCCGGCTGTTCATCACAAAACAAAACTATTAGAACCATCCTTCTTAATTTCCACAAATCAATTCTTGAGTCTAAAACTTACTATATTTAACTACCTTGTGATCTACGGATAGAGGAATGGCTACACCATTACGGCAAAGCACAGCGCGAGAATCACCGCAGTTGGAAACAATGATCTTCTCCGGCGTGACAACAGAGACAACAGCAGTGGATCCGACGGCATCGCACTGAGGAGACTGCAATTCACATCTACAAGAGTTCTTCATACTCCGATTTGCACCATTAACAACTAAGTTACACTCTCGTTGGCTAACTTCTTTGTCCATTTTTTGAAAACTCTTCACCATCGTCTCTTTCCACTCGTCGGAAGCCATAACTTCAACTTCCTTCTTCACTATATCATGCAACCGTTCTCTACACTTCTCCGCAACCTAAATCAACCAAATCAAACCCTAATTAGTAACTAATTATACCAAAGAAAAAAAATATCAACAAAACAGAGGAAATTAACGTACGTGAGAGCAGCCATGGCCGTCAAAGACACCGTAGAAATGAAGATTCTCAGAGTTTCGTTGAAGAAACGAAGGATGGATAGATACAGCGTCTTCCATGTCTCGTCTTCTACCACAAACCGACGTCGTACCGATCCTAGGCACATCGGAAAAGAAACAGCTCTCTGCTTCCGTAACGGAATTTGAATTCGTAACCGCTGATTTAACCTTCTTATTATCACTTCTCACATTCGATTCCAGATCTAGATTTCTCGACACTACTGTCTCACGCTTCTGCCGTTTACGGCAGTTCTCAAGCGGAGGAGCAACGGCGGAGTCAGCAACAATCTTGATCGACGGAAGTAGATCTAACCTCCGTCTAAGAGAAGCTCGAGAAGTTGAATCAACGGGTGCCGCCGGTTCAGTCTCTCCAACAACACCGCAACAAATCCCAGCCATTTTGATCTCAAGCAACCACAACAGAACCTTTCTTCAATTACAGAGCAAACAAACAAACAAACAATCTCCGATTTGAGTCTTCTTCTTCTTCTTCAACAAGAGAGAGATATTTAGTAGAGAGAGAGAGATTTTTGAGCGTTAGGAAATGCAATGGGATTTAAAAAAGAAAAGGTTTGATTTAAAAAGAAAAGTTGAAGAACACAAAAAAAAAAAAAGGTTTGATTTCGCATGGAAGGGTTACACGTAATTAACGGGCAGGGGGTATGAATGAGGGAAGTTGCTGACCGTCAGCATCAACGGGCAGGATCCGACACGTACCGTTTGGTGTGACGTTCCATTTCCTGGTACCTAGATACAATCTAAACCGTCCATTCTTCTTTTTCTCCCGATCGATACACGTGCCCTTTCTTTCTTTTGGATACGCCGTTAACGTGGCCCAATCACAGTTCGACACACCTTAACGGTAACGACCGGCCTTTCTTGACACGCATGTGGTCCACCCTTTCGTTTTGTTCTTTTCTTTTTCCTTTTTGTTTTATTTTTTTTTAATTTAAATATGCTTAATACAGTATTATGCTGTTAATTAATTTAAATAATATAGAGTCACAGGTCAAAATAATGGGAGAGAGACAATCTTGTTCTAAAATACTGGTTTTAATTAATTTTGTCAACTTTTTTTCATAAATCTATTATGAACCAATAATCACTATGAGTTTAATGTAATCAAATGAAAATCTCTAATTGTAGAAGATGATATAGCATGAGACAACAAAATTTCACATTATCTTATGAATATTTATGGTAAATATAGGTTGAAAACTGCCCTTAACATATTAATATTATGTCAATCCATTAATTTAAACAAATGCAGTAGTAAAAATGAAAAATCTAATAATTTATTCATACTTCTCACAATAGGAATAAAATATATAATATTATTTAACATTCTTAAGATCTCAACTTAATCTGACAATTTTTATTGAGATATTACATATGAAAAAAACATAAAAAAAGATAAAGAAGATTCTTCTGTATTGTGAGGTAAATTTCAAAACATTGACAATATCGTATAGAATCTCTTTTCGTTATGGAATCCTCGATAGTGAATACTGATGAGTGATCACAAATAGAATGATAGGTAAGCCACTATCGCTAAACATATAAGAAAAAGATCTAGTAATATACGATTCATATCATTTCACAAACATGAGAAACATCAATAATGCATTTGAATGTTTCGAATTCTAGTTTTGAATATTGGTGAAACTGCTTTAATTTCGAAAGTAACGCATCGTGAACACATATTATCCAAATTAATCGAGGATATAACTTTTAACTTTATAAGATCCAAACTACACAAAATTTTTTTTGTTAAACAAGATAATTTGATCCTAGAAATAAACAAGGGTTTTTTTTTGTTTGGGCAAAAGAAATAAACAAGAATAAGATCTAAAATTTCCCGACAAGGAAATGTCCTTTGTTCTCTCACTTCACACATGCAATCTAATTAAAGATGTTTAAACAATGAAAGTATAGTTATTTTTATGCTTGAAATTTTTTTTTTTTTTTTTTTTTTTTTTTTTTTTATGCTTGAAAATTCTGAAATGCGCATAAACGAAAATAAATTGGAAAATAGTTACGTGTATCTGATGAGTTCAAACTTCGGCATCAAACACTTTTCTTTTTGGTTTTGATGTTAGAATTTTATATCTTGAAAACGATTAAAACCTATATACCACAATCCATAACTACATGTAGAAGACTTATGTATATCAATCATCTGACTACAAATGTTTCATCTCATTCACACGCATTGTCCATGCTTGAGATATTTGTTGACACACACACAAAAAAAAAATGCTAGAGATATTTTGGTTTCGTACTGATTGATTAATGGATTTTTTTTTTGTGTTCATGATTTTTTATATGCTTAGTCGATGGAGGTGTAAGGTGTTGCATACTCGACACGTGGTCATGTTCGTCCTCCCACTTGTGCTTGGTTTCACTTACATCACCGATTCCACAGTTCACGAAAAGGTGTCTACGATCACGTCTATAAAAACACGTCGTCGTCTTTTGTTTATTGCAAAAAAAAAAACCCTACAAATCTTGAATTTGAAAAGACAGATAATACTACAAAATATCTCTGTTGTCAGAAATAAAAAAATAAATTACTCTTATGTGGGAATCCTTAAAGAGAAGGTTTCGTAAGATCACGAATTTTTTTAAATGAGTCTTTTGGCCTTATAAAACTAGTATAGAAGAAAGTAAGTACTTAACAAAATAAAAGAAGAAAGTACTCAAAAATGTATAGTCTTCTACATCGTTTTACTATCGGTTTCATAAATACTACCTTAAAAGTTACGAAGATACAAAATATAAATTGAATATGACGAAAAGTCTCATTTTACAAAGCAGATAATTGTTGAATTTTCGTTTTGTTAAAAGGATAATTGTTGAACTTACGTGAATACAATACTTAGCCGAAGAAATCAGCAAATTGTAAATTTTGTTATCACATGAACAAAATGATAAAATCACTCAGCAGATAGATATGATATCTATCTAGTGATTATCAAATACGTTAATTTTTTCAATCAAGTTCCTGTTCTTGATCAGAAAGAAGTCATCATGCACAACAACAAAATCCAAAGTTAACCCAAAAAAACAGAGCGTGACACATACACGTCAAAAAAGACTCGCGTGGAAGAGAATAAATCAATAATTCTCCTTTTTAATTTAAAATTTTTTCAGTATGTTGCATTGCATCTGCACCACACTAACTCCATCGCATCCAGCTGTGATTAAAAAATTTAATGCCAAGCCCCCGTGAGAGAGTGTGTAACACGCGCCTCTTCCTCTTCTTTAAGAACTCTGAAACTGACAAAGTATCTTGTTTTGTCTTTTTTTTTTTAAGCCTCCAAGGCAAGGCCTGATCGACACGTGTTTTATCTGACGTGGATACTGTAAGATGCTTCCTCGGTGACTTCTCCATGACTCGAATTCGGCGCTTCTCCACGTTTCCATCATATTTTCTCTTTTGTTTCCTTATTTGTTCTTTCAGTCCTCGTACTATTTTTAATCATCAAGTATAGCTCCTATCTTTTGGAATCTTAGTTATATACCCTTTAATTGTATAAAACAATTCCAATTTTGGTTCATTTGATCATTCGATTAACTGTTTATTCTTATAGAATGTTTTGACAGATTTTTATGTTTAGTAGCTTCATAAATTTATTAACATACTTCGCGAAACTTTACATGTTTGAGATCCTAACATTATTTTCATATTGTAAAAATCAAACATGTATAAATGTTCAAAAACATTAGCTGTTGTTATTTTGACTCATGACACTAACAATATTTTTTTTTTTTTTTTGATAGCAAATTCTTTTTTTTTTTTTTTTTTTTTTTAATTATTCAATCCCAAAATGGGCTTTTGGCAGAAGGGCCTAGAAAGTTACATGGGTTACAAAAACAAGTGGCCCAAATCGGAAAAAACAAAAGAAACGAGATCTGCAAAACGGCGGTACACCGGAGACGCAGCCCTCGCCTTCCAGATCCGATGCTAACAAGGACGGCTTCTTTGCGGACAAGCCTCGACATCAAGCGTGTGGTTGGAGCTAGCAAATCCCACCGTACACCATCAACGAGAAACAAGCCGAACCCAAAACATTCCTTTCGGGAAAGGGAAAACCGCCACAACCGAGCCCCAGAACCTCTTCTCCCCAACCTTCAGATCCGACACTAACAATATTTTGCACCAAAAGAAAAGATCCTAACCAAGTTATGCTTAATATTTTCCAATTTAGACTAAAGAAAACAATTGGTTTTATTGATCAGAAATCCTCATATCTTTAAGGATATAATAAAATTTAATTTTTGAAAAGAAAAGTTAGAAAATCTTGATTAATACATGAGGAAGTTAGACTTTGGGAATCTGGAACAATTAATAACATCCTATATATATGGTGGCATTATGCAAATATTGAAAACAAATTTCTCTCTTTTTATAGATTCTGCATAATAATAGAATATTGAATTTCCTCTTGATATTGTTTTGATAAGCTATAGGATGTTTACACACGTCCTCTTTGGTATAATGAGAGCAGTTCTAATCTCACCAAGCTTGGGACAGCTATAAAGCACGACAATCCAACTATACTACGACACGTTTCAGATTTTAGCTAGCTGTCACGAAACAGACCTACCACTACTACCGCCACGTGACGGTCAAAAGAAAAGAAACTTGTAAGAAGAGATCACCGGCACGAACCTAACACATCGCGAATTCGACCGGTCTCGGTCGACACGTTATGCATGTTTTTTGTTCGTTTAATCTTAATGAATGACTCTTCGCTTTTCGTTTTTGTATTAGTCAATAATTACAAGAGTTGGCCAGTTAGGTTGATTACATTAAATATTCAATTAGGAGAGACTAAAAATATTTGTACGACTTTGTACACGTAACCTTAAATAATTATTACCTTCGAAACTTCTTTCCATATGAGTCATGACAAGGAAAACTTCTTTCTATGTGTTCTCTTACCCAAAAAATGTTCTCATTTTTATAATCGGAAGATTCCATATATTATTTAATCCTCGGCTTAGTTGAATTCTACCGGGTAATATTGTAATCTAGATTGTCAATATGAGATTATTGTTATTAAAATCTCAATGAAATGACTCAATTAAGATAGTAAAATTTTTAAGCACAAGACACTCGAAATTTTGATATAAATTACTGTAAGGCCAATATCCAAATAACACTCGACTATACGACCAGTTACGTTGTTGTTATAAATTCGGTCGACTATTAGCTGTTGAAGATATTAATTAAGAGGCTTTGCGCATTGCAAATCCAAAATTCTTCGGCATCAAATCAACCGAAATTTCGTGACATTTATAATTGTGCCCTATATTTTATTTGATTCTTTGATTGCGTCTACTTTTTGACATTTGTGTACGTAAAATATTATATATATCGCCGTGGATTCGGCATGCACCATGACATTTTCCCAACATGCAAGCAAACGACACAACTTTTTAAATAGTATTCAATAATTTTCTGGTATTTTTTTTCGTAATTAAACTTCAAACCTGGGACGCTGGGACCTATCGCATTCCATTCATTGTAAATTATATACCATGATCAATAATGTGAATCGATAGGAATCGATCAATTGCTTAGACCAGTGTAGCAATCGACTAAAATAATTTTCGACAATTCCTGCATTGATCGAGAATATAGGATATATATAGTGCCGGCAAGTTTAAAATCCGTGCACCCAACAAAAGAAGCATATTGCATATAGATATTTTAGCTTTTAGTTATTGGGTCATAGAAGAAGCCACTAAAAAATATGCACCAAAGTCAAGCGACATAAGAGATATGAGATGAGACCCACAAGCATCGATTTGGATCAAGTTTGTTGAGAGATAAACATTCGGCGAGAGAGTCCACTCAATAGTGAAAAGGCCTATAATGGGCTGTTATTGAGCCCTTGACTCTAAGAAACGTGCCTTTTCTTCTTTTTTTGTTTTTTTCAATTTAAGCAAATGTACTATATTTGGTATAACAAATGTTTGCCATGTATCTTACATACTTACTCTTTGCTTCTTTTCTTCTTAAATGGTTAATCTATTTAAATGAAAACTAATGGCAAGGTATTTATTTCGAGTTATAACGAGAGAATAAAAGACTTCCCAGGAATTTGATCTTGAATTAGGAGAACTTCAAACTGTCCAAACCAGAGTAGCAACATAGTCGGATATCCAAAGGAGATTACGATTAGTCAAGATCCGATAGTTTTCGTTTCACGAGGAGCTTGATTTGTTGATGGACGGAGACGTCGATTGATCGCGAGAAAAGAGGTGTGAAGTCTTGCATTCTTCGTTTTCCAGTAGCCACTAGCACTAGTTTACTCTTTGGAGCACAAGAACGATATTTAGAACTGTTGATTTTACATTTTGAATGGAGTAGTGGGCCTTTTGCCCAATAAAAAAAAAAGAATGTAGTAGTGGACCTTGGGGGACATATATAGAAAGCAAACTCTTTCAATTTAGGTGAAGCCAATTAGGTAAAGTCGATAAAATCTGTAAGCGAGATTGGCGATTGCAATGCATCCATTCATTTTGTGACTCGGGCCCTCCCCATTTCGTACGTAAACAAGAAAACGCGTTCTCTTCACTGTATGAAAAACAATTTGGACGACTTGATCGACCGACGTCTGCATATGCAATATATTATATAACTGATTCTCAAAAGAAGGCCTGATGCATCAAATCATGTATCTTACCATTCTTATATCTTTGTTTCAATTATAAATACCCAAAAGATGTGAGCTGAGCTATTATTGTTGACTTGTTTTTAATCACGATCTATGTAAGCATTTTTACTACAGATGCGTGTTTCCAGACCTATTTTCTATCTATTCATTAGTATTCTGTTTTTTTTTCAACTATTAATTAGTATTATGTTACATTTAATTTTTTTCTATTCACTTTTTTCTTTAACTCTCTACTCTTATGACTAATGTCGATATTCATTTTTAGCTCAAACAACATGTTATGATCTATCCCATATTCCCATTATAGAATAAAGTGATAAGTGATGAAAGTACTTACGAAGACGAAAGATGTTATGGAACAAATTGTAATAAACTCTAATAAGAATATAACTAAAAGATACAATAGATTTATATAGAGATAAGAGATGCAAAACAACCTAAATTTCTTTAGCTAAGATGAATACATATGTGTTTAAAATAATTGTGACTTTAAAAACTATGAAATTTCATAAATATTTACGTTTCTTCAATAATTGAATGATCTCGACATTGGCTTGTAATTTTGCAGTCGACCTTAGTTTCTGCTATCTTCCGAAATAAATAATTCCCTTTCTTTTTTGTTTCTTTCGAATACTTAAGTTTTTATTTGTTTTTTCTTACATTTTAGGAATTAAGAGATTCACTAATACAGCCAGTTTTTTCATGCACGGACAGTTTTTTTTTGTAATATCCCAATAGTCATAAATTAATTTAGTTACAACATTATTCTATTATAGTTTTAGAACATTATGGTTTGAAACTTGAAACTTGAAAAACAATCTATTAGTAACATATATTCGAAAGTCGTCACATCGTTGACTGAAGCTGAGGACATGTCCGTCATTTGTGTGTGTTTTTTATTCACGTGGCTACCTCTTCTTCTTCGTCTCCCATTTATGTGTTATCCCTCAGAGCTTGTCACTCCAAAATAGGTAAAAACAAAAAAAACCAGCTTCTTAAAATAAAAAAAATAAAAATAAAAACAAAAAATAATCCCAGCCACCGTGAGGGTAATTCCGTAAATTTTAACAGAAACTCCATTCCCGCGGCGTATGCAGAGGGTAATCCCGTAAACTTAAGCCATCTCCGGTGATGAATAAGATCCACTCCTTCACGCCGGAGTGATTTTTCACGGTGTTTCTCTTCTTCTCTCCTCCAACCCAAAACTAAAAATAAACATGAAAGCAAACCGCGGCGGCGGAGAGCACGGCCACCACGAGGCTCTCAAGTTTTCAAGTTTCTTCTTCATGCCGGAACGGCCACGTGATTACCTCGTGCTTTTCACACGTTTCTCCGTCCTCACGTGCCTCATCGTCTCCGTCTCTCTGGTTCTCCGCGCCACTTTTTTATCCCCCTCCGCTCGAGACTATTCCACCACCTACGGTCTCCGACTCACCGCCGTACCTCAGAAAGCCATAGCTTTCCCTCCGACCGGATCCGTCGGACCAATCAATATCTCCCACATCTTCTTCTCTATCGCCGGAGCAGCTGAGACATGGATCGATCGGAGCCAGTACATCTCCTTATGGTGGCGAAACTCGACACGTGGCTTCGTCTGGCTCGATGAACCGGTGAAAATCCCCAAAAATCACTCCGATGTCAGATTCTCAATCCCGACTCGAGTTTCCGATCCAGGCTGGACTCGATTCAAATTCTCCAGCTCAAGAGCCGCCGTTCGAATCGCTAGGATAATCTGGGATAGTTATCGGCTAAATCTACCAAATGTCCGGTGGTTCGTGATGGGAGATGACGATACCGTCTTCTTCACGGAGAATCTCGTCAAGGTTCTCTCGAAGTACGACCACGAGCAGATGTGGTACATCGGAGGAAACTCAGAGAGCGTCGAGCAAGATGTGATGCACGCGTACGACATGGCGTTTGGCGGCGGCGGTTTCGCTATTAGCCGTCCATTAGCGGCGCGTTTGGCTGCCGCGATGGATGATTGTCTCCAACGGTATTTCTATTTTTACGGTTCTGATCAGAGAATCGCGGCTTGCGTTAGCGAGATCGGCGTTCCGTTCACCGAAGAACGCGGTTTTCACCAGGTACGTCTGTTATACACGTGTCCGTTATCTGATTGGTTGATATGTATACACGTGTCGAACCGTTTTTGATCTCGATTTTGGAGCCCGACAAATTCAAAAGGTTTTAGATGCTGAATTTCTCGATGATTTAAGTGGATTCTTGACACGTGGATTTTCATAACATAAGGGGTCAAAACATTAATTATCACTGGCTTAGTGTTAGTCAGCTAGAAAAAGCATTTAGAAGTTGATTTATTGAATAAAGTCATAAAATTGTTGACCAAAAAGGAAAATATTTGTCATTCAATTATAGACATTAGTACTTTTCTCCTCTAAAATTTGAATTAACTAATCAAATTGAAGTAACAGTTTTTATTTAAGTTAAGTACTCTTAGTTCAATGCTTGAGATAATGCTGTCCGACCATTTTCCCAAATTTTATAGTTTATTTTAGTGAGTGGTTCTAGTTGTGGTCCATGAATGTGGCAGAAAATTGTTTCTAAATTCGTGGGTTTAATTTATTGGTGGAGCACATGATTCTGTCATGTTCAGAATTCAGATACAAAGCTTTTAATCATGTCTTCTGATCAGCTTTCTGCAATTTGCTTGTCTTAATCTTTAGTTTCCGCTAGGATCTAACTATATTGTTAAATCATATCTCTGGTTCTAAGATATTTTATGTTTATTCTTTTATCTCTATGTGCGTGTCTTTATCACTACGATCACGTGTAGTGTCTAAAGGGAAATTTCAAATTATTATTTGTCTACGAATATCTATTGTTTCTTTGGTGTTTTGAATTAGTGCATTAGGATATTTAGTATCAGTTGATACCGGATAATTAACTGTAAATAGTGTAATTATGTTTGTCTATGGATAGTACAATTGTGTGTGTTGTGATGAATGAATCATTTATATTGCAGCTTGACATAAGAGGAGATCCATACGGGTTTCTAGCAGCGCATCCGTTGGCACCACTTGTATCGTTGCATCACCTCGTCTACTTAGACCCAATGTTCCCTAACAAAAACCCGATCGAGTCGTTACAGACCCTAATGAAACCTTATAACTTAGACCCGAATCGAATACTCCAACAGATTAATTGCCATGATCGCAAGCGTCAATGGTCTATATCCATCTCTTGGGGATACTCCATACAGATCTACACTTACTTCTTGACTGCTACGGAGCTGACTACGCCGTTGCAGACCTTCAAAACTTGGCGGTCTTCCAGCGATGGACCTTTCGTGTTCAACACTCGGCCCTTGAAACCTGACCCGTGTGAGCGTCCCGTCACTTATTTCATGGATGGTGCAGAGGATGTGCGGGGTAGTGGGACGAAAACTTGGTATAGCATAGCGGATAAGAATTATGGTCATTGCGAAAAGAGTGAGCATATTCGGTTAACTAAAGTGAAGAGGATATTGGTGACTTCGATGAAGACGGATCCTGAGTATTGGAACAAGGTACTTAGTGTTTTAATATTACTCATATTGAATTTAACATTTTGAGTGAGTTTAGGTTATAATTTTTTGGTTTTTGTTGACAGGCACCGCGGAGACAGTGTTGTAAGGTGATGGAAGGTGGGGGAGGAAAAAGAATGGAAAAAGAAATGTTGATAAGGATTAGAAAATGCAGATCTTTGGAGAAGATATAAAAAAAAAGCGTTTTAATTAGAGAGATATATTTTTGCACATACAGATTTAGATTCGATCATAGTTGTTTGTTTCTAAATTCCTCAATTCCTAGTACCAAGAGAATGGCGTACGATTTTCTCTATTAATACTGGGCACTCTTGCGTTTTTCAACATGTAAACATTACTTTGTATAATTAGTCGATATAAAATAAATAGCTATAACATGATCTTAAGTTCTTAACTATCACAAAATATTTTTTTAAAATAAATAATTCAACAAAATGTGTCAATATGTAACATTTCGTAGTTCTTCCATTTTAAACTTCGATTAATTGTAATACTATCAAATATATTAAATAAACATTATTAGTTTATTTTTTCTGAATGAAGTTGCCGATTTGTTTCCAACCAAACCTCAGCTAATATAGTTAGGAAAACGGATAAGACATTACATAAAGGGGAAAAAAAAAAGGCTTTGTAAACACGCAAGTTTACGTCAACTTGACATAAATAAACTCGTAGGAATTGTGTAAAATGTTTATAGTCCTTTTAGTTTTTAATCTGTAGTCTTGTTATCAAATTTGCAAGAAAATTACTATTACAACATATGTTTCCGTGCTTCGATTTCCTAGCTTTCTGTTCATTTGTAATTTTGTCCGTTAGGTAGGCAACCAAACCGGGCCAGATTAGTCACAAATGAAATTAGGCTCTACTTTGGCAAACTTTTTCATAATTAAAAATTAAAAGTCTAACCAAACTAACATAAACTGAACCAAACAAAAATGTTCACGCAATTACATAGCACTTCTTTATGAAACTGTGGATAATTCGATTTGAGCTATGGTAAGTTTCTCTCAAACCGAATTAAACTAAATCAAACCGAATATAAACCGTTGTAGAACACCCATCATAAACCTATGTTCTGTACTCCTATTTGCTATTTTACTTTTACAGATACTTTGTGACAACATCCAAATATAGGCACATTATACAGATTATAAAGCTAGAAATTAATTAAAATTATGAACGATACATAATAAGGTCAGTAACCTAATTAAATCCATATATAAAGATAGCCTAATTTTGGTGCATCCCGCCAAAAAATGGAACAAATGGTGAATTTCAAACCATGAAATTCTGTGTTATACACATTACGTACACTATTACATCAGAGCAAAACAGTAACGTGCATAAACGTATTTTCTTCACATAATCTATATATATAATATATTGATTCATGTACATTTTTCAACATAAAAAAATCATGTATACAATTACGGTAGGTGCAATATTGATAAACTGCCATTCCCATTGCATTAGACGCTAGTCAATCCAAACCTTATAACATAAAACGTTATAGTCCATTTTTCTTTCATATCCAATCGAGTCAAAATTAATATTCGATCAAAAAATCACCAAAAAAAAACAAAAGCAATGGTTATGGAGCAAGCTGGAACGACACCGTATTCGGTCGTGTCAGAGTTTGAAGGAACAATACTGAAGAACGCAGACTCATTCTCCTACTTCATGCTCGTAGCCTTCGAAGCATCTGGTCTAATTCGTTTCGCTATCTTGTTGCTTCTATGGCCCATAATCACACTCCTTGACGTTTTCAGCTACAAAAACGCCGCTCTCAAGCTCATGATTTTTGTAGCTACTGTTGGTTTACGTGAACCAGAGATCGAATCGGTGGCTAGAGCCGTCCTGCCAAAGTTCTACATGGATGACGTAAGCATGGACACGTGGAGGATTTTCAGCTCGTGTAAAAAGAGGGTCGTGGTGACAAGAATGCCTCGGGTTATGGTGGAGAGGTTTGCTAAGGACCATCTTAGAGCCGATGAGGTTATCGGTACGGAGCTGATCGTGAATCGGTTCGGTTTTGTCACCGGTTTGATACGTGAAACCGATGTTGATCAGTCTGCTTTGAACCGTGTCGCTAATTTGTTTGTTGATCAGAGGCCTCGACTAGGTCTTGGAAGACCGGCTGTGACCGCTTCTACAACTTTCTTATCGTTATGTGAGGTAAACATTCTAAATTGAATGCGCCGATTACTAAAATTTAAATTCATAAACATTTGTTATACTTATGAGAAAAAAAAACTCAACTAGAACAACTTTTTAAATCTAACGGATCTTTGTATTTTCAACCAAAATATATTTCTTAATATTTAACAAATAAAAAATATATTTTCTCAAAAATATTTGTCTTTGTATATAGGAGCATATTCCTGCACCAATCCCGGAGAACTACAACGACGGTAACCAACAACTTCAGCTACGTCCACTTCCGGTGATATTTCACGACGGACGACTAGTGAAGCGGCCAACGCCAGCCACCGCTCTCCTCATCCTCCTTTGGATACCACTTGGGATCATACTAGCCGTGATCCGGATCTTTCTTGGAGCCATCCTCCCATTGTGGGCCACACCTTACGTCTCTCAGATATTTGGCGGCCATATCATCGTCAAAGGCAAGCCTCCTCAGCCACCGGCTGCTGGAAAATCCGGCGTGCTCTTTGTGTGTACTCATAGAACCTTAATGGACCCGGTGGTATTATCCTATGTGCTCGGACGTAGCATCCCAGCCGTTACTTACTCGATTTCGCGGTTATCAGAGATCTTATCTCCCATTCCAACCGTCCGATTGACAAGAATCCGAGATGTAGACGCGGCTAAGATCAAACAACAGCTGTCCAAAGGAGATCTAGTGGTTTGTCCTGAGGGAACCACTTGTCGTGAACCGTTTCTGTTAAGATTCAGCGCGCTTTTCGCGGAGTTAACGGATAGGATTGTTCCGGTTGCGATGAATTACAGAGTTGGATTCTTCCACGCGACCACAGCGAGAGGCTGGAAAGGTTTAGACCCGATTTTCTTCTTCATGAACCCAAGACCGGTTTACGAGGTTACGTTCTTGAATCAGCTTCCTATGGAGGCAACATGTTCGTCCGGGAAGAGTCCGCATGACGTGGCAAACTATGTTCAGAGAATCTTGGCGGCTACGTTAGGGTTTGAGTGCACCAACTTCACAAGAAAAGATAAGTATAGGGTTCTCGCTGGAAACGATGGAACGGTGTCGTATTTGTCGTTGCTTGACCAATTGAAGAAGGTGGTGGGCACTTTTGAGCCTTTTCTCCATTGAATTACTCCAATTAATTATCGATCATCCGATGATTTTCTCTTTGTTTTAATATATTAGATCAGTAGTTTCACATCTGTTTGCAATTTCTTTCTCTTGATTAATTTTTGCTTGTGAAAAAGTTTGGGTTGATTTTTTTTATAGTCTATAATTATAAGTGTTGTATTCTTGTTTAAATGTCATTCTTTTTTCAGATATGTAACTCCTCATAACCATTGTTGATGAATAATATATATGGGGATGAATAGTTTTGTAATTAGTCATTATATATTATGAATTGTTGTTCATATTTTTTTCTAACTATTCATTTGTTTCAAGAATATTTTTGTAGATTAAATTATTTATCTTGAATGACGAAACATATGCATGCATTATATATATATTTAACTGTTATCAACATTGATTCCCTTAACACTTTGTTCTTAATTAATTAGGTTCTTAACTTCTTTAAATATTCAAATATCGAACTCACTCATAGCCAATATTTCGTTTAACCAACTATGATTATAAAAAAAAAGGAATCTATTGAAAAAATAAAATCAAATAGCTAACTTGAAATTGCAAAATTTGTTGGATTAGTCGCCAAACAGTTTCAAATTTGGTGGGCAGATCAGAAATAGACAAACTCGTTGACCAGAAGACTTTCGCTGCCACTGGAGCACTTTCCCGGTTACAGTTGGCCTACCTCTCCAGTTCCACGTCATCGTTCATAAACTTCTCTTTTGCTTTCATTACGATGAAATACTTTTTTTGGGTTATAAATAATGTATGTGTTTATATGAATTTATTTCAGCAGAATTCTACGAAATTTCTTTTGTAGGCATACAATGATATATATATATATATATATATATATCATTTTTTTCCCTCTAAGGAATAAAATGGTATTCTAGCAAACATAAGTCGGAGTGTGTTTATCCTACTAAGAATTTGGGGTTACTAGAGGTAAATATCTCTAAATTATTTCACATTTTAATTAAGCCTATGTATTTAACGGGAACCGATCTTTGATTTCGTGCAAGAGTAGGTATTTGAAAACCTTTAACACCAAATGTCAAATTTATTGCCAAAGAGAAGAGTTCAACTAAAAGAAAAATCCAAAATTTTGTGGAGAACATTGATTGGATAACATTTTATATAGGATCTTAACAGAGTAAAAGATATTGAATGGGCTTTCAAACGTAATATTACAGAAGCAGTCAAATGGAAAGAAGTGGTAAATGGTAATATAGCTTCGAATACATTAGCTCCATCTGTTTCTTCACATGTGGTAAACCAAACCTTATAGCTCATTTTGCAGGTACATATCGTTGCATAGCAAGAAATGTGAGATTCGTTTGTTATCAAGAACCACAACCATTATAAATCGTTTTTGGACATGAAGCAAATTATGGAGAAGGCTCCTCACAAGACAGACACACATCTCACCTTATACATAACAGACACACATCTCACCATGTATAGTTCAAGTTCTAGCTTCCAAACATTCATCTGTAAATTTAACTTTTGTAATACCATTAATTAATTTTTATTTTCCATTTAGAGCCTAGTCAGAGATTGACATTTTGGGAAGATGGAAATTATAAATTCACAATAATAGTCAATGTGAATAATATGTTGGTAGATCTGGAACATACATAGCATATGCATCACTTAAGAAAAATTAATCAAGAAGTACATGACTATAACATATTCGTTAAAAATATTATTGGATCTAGAGATACTTATATATGAATTAAGGATTTTTTTTGGAAAACTAAGATCATTTGAGAGGTTCAAAACATCACAAGAATTCAAGAAAGAGAACATACCAAAAAGTCTCGAGCTATATATATTCAAGAAACATCTCCTCGTGTGATCCGATCTGTGGATTCCTACAAAAAACAAAAAAAATGAACTACGAAATAATTTTCAATCAACACATACCTGTTTATATGTGCAAGCCACTGATTGCAGCTGCAGCATCATCAAGATTCTCATACATACATCAACAATCTAATTAAAAACGGGTTCATTAATTTACACGAATACTTGATGATTTGTGAATCTTGATGATGCTCCAACAGCGAACAGTAGCTGGTTGGTGATAGGGATGTATATGTAGTGATTTGGATCTTTGGTTTTGTCTTGGATCTTTTCAAGACTCAAGACGGCACCATTTTGCTGGAAACATGAAACCCTAATCTCAATCCTTAATCTAGAGTGTATTGACCTAGAAAGAGAGAGACAGAGACTTTTATATGTATGAAGCGATAAAGAAGAGACTAGTTGGTGCTTTCTCCAATGATGTGCATAAATATTACTAGTATATAATTAACTCAAATATATATATATATATATAACAAATTAAAATACGTTCACTGAGATCTCAGATACTCAGGTCATTAGTACAAATGGCTAATAGAGACCGATTTTGTCATCCATATATGTTCAAACCATATCATTTGCCATAACCGATAAATATTTGTTAATTAGTCTACATATGATTGTCCAAATTCTTTTATCTTTTCTCCCGCCATCACATATGTCCTATATGATATCAAATTACCAGATACGCATGCGCAATAATCCATCGAAGTATACATGTTATTGTGTCGAATTTCGTTATTACGATGGATCGAGTTTAGTTTTTGGTTTTTGGTTAGATAATTTTTAGTTTTACCGTCAAATATTTTTTATACTAGTCAGCGAATTATAAGATCAAACAAAAATTGTCATTAGTGGTTTGCTGGAAATCGTCAGAATTTATATTACAAGTCAGTGAATTTTAAGATGAAATAAAATGTGAGAAACAAAATAGAGAAAGGTAGACAGACAGAGAGAGACAAGCGTGAGACACGGAGAAGTGGAACTGATCCTCTTTACGTTCCTCGTACGTTTACCAAGTTTACACTGCTTTCCATATTTCTATATTATTCTCTCCATCACACCCCTTCTTCACACACTTTATAATTTTTTTTTTAAAACCCTCATATTTGTATTCCCAATTGATTGAAACAAATAGAAACATGAATCCATTTCAAATTAAGAAGCCTTGAAAGATCTTGAACTATTACAGCTTGTAATAATAGTAGAATCTATATCTAGAGTCTCAAAACATAACCCAAAAAGCCAAAGCACTGGGGGTTTGGTGTAATTGATCTTGATATATGGGTACATTAGCATCTTTATCATTTTTCTTGTATTGTCAAGCTTGCGTCAGGCCTGTACTTATCTTCATATGACATTATTTATGTACATAACCAAAATTCAGGCCACAAACAATACGTGAGCTATTCAGAATCACGAGGTCCACGCGCTCGCTCACCTTCCTCTTTCTTCCAACTAGGGCTTTAGCTAATTGTTAGCCAGATGGAAATTAAACAATGCTATATATTTTTATCAAATTTTAAAAATTTCTTATACCAATGTTGGCAGATTCCTAATATAGTAGTATATTATTGTTTTAATGAATTATATAATTTTGTATACCAATGTTGGTCGATTCCTACTATAGCTGTTTATCAGATGGTATAAGGGATTTCGACCCTAGTTCCTCCATATATTTGAGTTTAAAATCAAAGAATTTAACCCAAGACAAAAACAAAAACAATTATTCATCGTTTTAAACTTATTGCTGACAAAAATATATTTACTATGTATAGTCAATAAGCTGAACGAGGTTCAAAGTCATCAGTCATCTGATTAGAGGAGTGATCAGTGTCATTATCATCTATTTGTTGACAAAGAATGAATGACACTAATTAATATGAGTGCGGGAGTCTCATAATCTCAACGTATCTACGTCATTAGCTCATTTATACATCATTAAATTTAAGTATAAATTGCAATTTATGTTTGGTGGGTTCCTTTTATCAAGACGTATACCAAAACATTTATCAAAAATATAATTAAATGACACATTTCGTAAAGATTAGTATTACGATTATTATTTAAAAAATAAAAATGAAAATTATACAAATTTTTAAGATTTTCGTTTATAATACAATATGAAAATAAAATTGACTAGAAAAATCACCTTTTTTTTTTCTTTCTCATCCAGCTTATACTAGTGATAATTAAATCAACAATTAGAAATTTCAAAATTGATATAAAAAGATACGGGATTTCTTAGTTAATTGATTTTCTAAAAAAGATATTGGATTCTTGACAAAAAAAAGAAAAGAAAAGAAAGAAAAAGCAAAATAATTAATTAAGTGGGGGAGAGTTATATTATTATTTTAGTTTCTTTCCTAAATTAATCTCTTTTGCCACTTCTGTTGAGCAACCGGAGCTCTGATGAATCTTCCTTTGGAACTTGAATCTCTTTCTCTATCTTCTTTATCTCTCTCGATTCTCTGAGATATCTTCGCTCGAGCTTTCCCGCGTTATCTCTCTCCCTCTCTCTCTCCTGGTAATGTTTTCTTCTTCTAGATTGTTCTTCCGTTACTAGGTCTTGAATCCATTTCCACGGATCTCTGATCTTCAATCTCTGTTTTCGAGCTTGAATTTTTGAGCTAATCTTTTTTCGATTCAAATTTAGGATTTGTGTGTGTTTCCGATACCAAATCGGATATCTTCAGCTCAAACTCGAGCTCCGATTTCGTCTCATGTTGTAGATCTCGACTACTTCGTCTTTTTCTATGTTTTGCTGATTGTATTAAGATTGCCAGATACTGAATAGAGAGCTTACTTTTACCTCAGCTAGGGTTCGTGTTTGTTGTACCTTTAGTTGCTTTTTGATTCTTGTCAATAGATATTTTCATTGTTCAATCGTAGTTTCTGATTGATTGAATATCGAATTATTCGTATTCGAAATTGGTACTAAGATCTAGAGATTGCGAATTTTGATACATAAGTCATTTCGATGTTTCAGAGCTTCTGTGGTAGTATCCAAATAAGCTGTAAAATGGTGCTTAGCTAGTTTCTGGTTTCCATTTGTGGATTTTCATTCAAATACGAAATGCATATCTAATGATTCGTCAAAATGGTGTTACTAGTGTTCTGTGGAATTTTCATTAAAGACTTTTAGTTGTTGCCTAGTATCAACTCACATCTCAGCGGTAGATATGAATCTACTTAGACATATTTTCTAACTCTCTGTTTTCAGTTTTCACCTCCTTTTGAAAGTTTATCTTGTCATCAATTTGTTGATTTATACATGAATGCTGGCTGAAATATTAAAGAGTTTGTCTTGTTCCCTCTAAATTGGTTCAGGTGGGAGCTTGATGTCTAAATTGTTATTGAGGTGCTGGAGTCTGTCTTGCTTTAAGTAGAAAGAGATGAGTTACACGACGACAACTGTTGATAGTGATGATGGTATGCACTCCAGCATCCATAATGAATCACCAGCTGCTGATAGTATTAGCAATGGCTGCAGAAGTAGAGGGAAAGGAAGTGTCCTGAAGAAAGGACCATGGACTTCAACTGAAGACGGGATTTTAATTGATTATGTAAAGAAGCATGGTGAGGGTAACTGGAATGCTGTGCAGAAACACACAAGCCTGGCCCGTTGTGGTAAAAGCTGTCGTCTGAGATGGGCTAATCATCTGAGGCCAAACTTGAAGAAAGGAGCATTTAGCCAAGAAGAAGAACAGCTCATTGTTGAAATGCACGCCAAGATGGGAAATAAATGGGCACAGATGGCTGAACATGTAAGTAGTTTTATAACTGTGGAAGCTACCTGATCATGGTCCATTTTCATTTTTTAATATTTTTTGTGAGCCTGAAGACTAAACTCTGGTATTATCTTTTCTTCTTGTTTACCAGTTACCTGGTCGAACAGATAATGAGATAAAGAATTATTGGAACACTCGTATCAAGAGGAGACAACGTGCAGGCTTACCACTTTACCCTCCTGAAATCCATGTTGAAGACTTTCAGTGGAGCGAAGAGTATACAAAGAGTAATATCATAAGAGTAGATAGAAGAAGACATCAAGATTTCTTGCAGTTGGGGAATTCCAAAGCTAATGTCTTATTTGATGATCTAAATTTTGCTGCTAGCTTGTTACCTGCCGCTTCTGACCTATCAGATTTGGTTACATGCAATATGCTAGGAACTGGCCCAAGTTCTTCCCGGTATGAAAGCTACATGCCACCAATATTGCCTTCCCCAAAGCAAATCTGGGAATCTGGATCTCGGTTTCCTATGTGCAGCAGTAACATAAAACATGAATTTCAATCTCCGGAACACTTTCAGAATACTGCTTCACAGAAGAATCCCAGATCTTGCAGTATCTCTCCTTGTGATGTTGATCATCCTCCTTATGGAAACCAACATTCATCTGATATGATGATGATTCCAGATAGCCATACCGTTACGTATGGCATGCTTCCTACTTCTAAGCCCTCATTTGGGGCAGTGAAGCTGGAGCTCCCTTCATTCCAATATTCAGAAACTAGTGCATTTGATCAGTGGAAGACGACACCGTCACCTCCACACTCAGATCTCCTTGACTCTGTTGATGCCTATATTCAATCTCCACCATCATCGCAGGTAGAGGAGTCAGATTGTTTCTCTTCATGCGACACCGGCCTACTAGATATGTTACTTCATGAGGCCAAGATCAAAACTAGTGCAAAGCACAGTTTGTTGATGTCATCACCCCAGAAGAGTTTCAGTTCAACTACTTGCACGACCAATGTTACTCAGAATGTACCACGTGGCGGCACCCTGATCAAATCAGGTGACTATGAAGATTCCCAAAAGAATTTGACTTGCTCCGAGATTACAATTCCCATGCAACTTAGCGCAGGTGGAATTTCATCAGGTGAGTTGATTAAAGATACTTGTTGATTGGTATCTTATCTGATCTTGTTCCATATTGATTCTTATGCTTCTCTGTTGGTTTTCATATATGAAGCTTTTGCAGGGAATGTTGTAAAGACAGAAGAGTTTGATCAGGTTTGGGAACCAAAGAGAGTTGATACTACACGGCCTGATGTTTTACTTGCGTCGAGCTGGCTTGACCAAGGCTGTTATGGGATTGTTAGAGACACAAGCAGCATGAGCGATGCGCTTGCGCTTCTTCTAGGTGGTGACGACACTGGGAACAGTTACATGACTGTTGGGTCATCATCGGGTCAAACACCACGAGGCGTCGGGTCTTGTGGATGGACTAATATGCCTCCTGTTTGGTCGTTGTAACGAAATGAACCATATCACACACTTGAAATCTTTCTGTATTTTCATGCAACTGGCTTACATGACTTGTGGTTTGTTATAGTTGAGAGAAGATTTATGGACTTGGTAAAAATATGGATTTTCTACACCTGATTTCTCTTATGCTTTAAAGCATTTATATACCCATTTCTTGTTCTTGTTCATTCCATCATACTCCAGCTCTATTGTTTTTGTTTAGTTTGTAAAAAAGCAAATCAAAATAAGATATTCCAGTTCGGATTTAGCTACGTTCATGTTAAGGCTTATTGTAGCCCCCAACCTCTAATTGAGACCGGAGACAATTTCTAATTCCGACTATTAACCAATTTCGCAAGATGTTACTGAAACATTACATAAGATTATGTCAAAAAAAATACTCCATAACAGTGGCTCCAGCACTCTCAGTATATAGAGACAACAAAGGGAAATGAATCATTACAAATAATAAAAAAGTTTTAGGTCTTGCTTCTCGCAAAGTAACGGTGCCCCAAGAGGATTCAAACCCAAAATTCTCATGGGACTACGAAAAGATTTTACCTCAGACTCCGGTTTTCTTGTTTCTAATGATTTCCTTAAGCTCTGCAAACTTCTTCTTGCATTGGATCATAGTTTTACTAGGAACAGCTGCAGCTACTCTCTCCCATCTTTGGCTTGTCTCTTTCGGGAATGTCTTTAAAGCTTGAACCAAAGCTCTTTCTTGCACAGTTGACCAACTATCTGCGTCTGAACTTCCACCTACTTCACCATTGTTGTCTGAGCTTTGACTGCTCGAGCTCTTCCCCACAACAGTCTCTTTAGAGGGTTTTGCATTTGCTGTGGTAGTCGTCGTGGGTAGATATTCTCCGAGCTCCTCTCTCGTGGAGAGGGGGGATGAGATTGAAGCAGAGGGTTTCCTGTTCTCGAGGAAAGAATCGAATGCTTTAGCTGAATCTGGTTTTTGGAGAAGAACTGTTTTAGTTGCTTTCAGAATCTCCTCTACGGATCTTCCTGTACCAATGTACTCTGAAACAACTTCCCATCTTCGAGATGTCCCCTTTGGATATTTTATCATTCCTTTTCTCAGCATATCAATCTCTTCCTTGCTCCATGGTTGTTTCTTCTGAGTGCTACTATCTAACTGAGAAACTCGGGGTGTAGGCTCTGTGCCACCGTTGGTCTTCTTACTTTCTTTTTCTTTAGATTCGGCTTCGTCGTTTCTACTACTGTCGCATCCATCTTTGATCACCTTTGCCAATTCTAGTCCTTCTTTGTTTCCCATTTTATCACATAGATTCTGCAACTGCTCGGTGTTTAGTGACATGCATAGATTCTCTATATCTTCCTCGGAGATGCCAAGCAGACGCTGAGCCACGAGAGGAGCTGAGAGAGTTCTAAGACGATTCCGTTCTTTGCGTAAGAGCTTCTTCTCTTTTTCCTTAGTTTTCTTTTGTTGTTGTGCAGATTCTGCTGCTCGCTTTTCTTCTTCTTCTTTTCGCCTTTTCTCTTCTTCAGCAGCAATAGCAGCGTCCTCTGCCTGCTTCTTCTTGGCCAGAAGCTTTGCTTCTTTTTTCTGTTGCTTCTCAGCCTTTTCTTCCTCTTTTCTTTTCACAATTCTCGGGTCTTTTCTATACGCATTGTCAACAAGAGTCCGGATTCGAGCATGCTCCTCCTTTCTAGCCTTCACAGTTTTTTTTGCATTCTCCTTCTCCATCCACCTCCGTTCTTCACGGGAATCTGCTTGTTCAAGATCATGCTCCTCTTCATCAGGAAATTCCCTCCAACTCTTGAAAGCGTACCAAAAGTTGTAGAACTTATCAACATCTTTAAGTGTTGTGTTTTCATCTCCCAAATCTGGAATACGCTGATTCACTGACCACCTAGCATTTCTTTTAAAAGCTGGACCAAACACCTTGAAAAAGTCTTGCGGCAAGCAATCTGATGGAACCTCGTCATCAAACTCATCAGTGGAGTCAAAAATTCTTCTCCTTGTTGGGTCCATCAATATCTCATATGCTTCTTGAATCGCTTTGAAGTGAGATTCTATCTCATCTTTTTTTGCCTCCTTGGCTTCTTCTGTTTCCTCTGCGAGAAGGAGAGTAGCGAGTTTATCAGGATGATGCTTCAGCGCAGCTTCACGATAGCTTTTCCTAATCTGATCTTCTGTCGCAAGATATCTTAAATTGCTCAAACCCAACAAGGCATAGTGGTCTTGTTGCTGGGTACCAGACTTCTTTTTTCCTTTGTTGGCATACGAGTTGAATGAAGGAACATATTCCTTCTCTTTCTCATCTCCCACTTTCTTATCACCACCTTCATCGTCTATGGGTTCTTCTGCACAACCATGCAGTTTAAGAGCAGCAGAATGGAAGGCATGACCAGCAGGTTCACGGTTTAAAGCCTTTACAGGAAGACAATTGGAAAAAGCAAAGAACGGTTTTCCATCCACAAGCTCCTCAGAGTATGTAATAAGCTTAACGGCAGACTCACTTCTCCGGCTCGGCATGATGAAAAATGTATAGAAACTGCAGATCACCTTACTCCAAGTGAATACCCACGCTGATTTCTGTCCCAAAGATTACAGAAATATTGTGAACTTAGTAGGTCAGTAATTTAAGCATGTCAATATTCATCTAAACTTATCTATTAGCAAAATCTATGACTTGAAAAAGATGTACAAGTATAAACCAAGTAACCTTGAGAACAGATATTACACAAAGCCTAATGGTTTCACTGGACCTGATTTAAAACACATTGTTATGGCAAGACATGATTAAAGCCACGGCCACCAATTCAAGTCCGAGTTTAAAACTCCATAAAAATGACGAAAAAGAAAGGAACATGATAACAAAATACATCTCTTAAGAGTTAAGAACCCTAGAAATCAATCCTACTCCTCAGAGGCTGAGATTAGTTATCACTCAATACCATCAATTGTATAACAAATTAATAAAGAAAATCTAGATTTTCTACTATCAGTTTACGCACAAACAAATGATGATCAATTCGATCTTAAAAAATTTCAAGCTGCTAACATTCGAAACCACTCAGCCATATAAGTAATAAAACAACAGTGATTGAATCGATTTTCTTACCAGAAACTGAGCTCCTAGTCGCCCTGATCCCGTTGGTCGGGAGCTGCTCCGGCGATTACTTGCCGCGCGAGCTTCCCTCCAACCTACGGCGGTAGAGAAAGATGATGAAGAAGAGAAAGTTTAATCTGGTTTATTGAGGAAATAGCGGCGGCAACGATTTGCAGATGGAGGAAAGTAGCATTTGAGAAGAAGAAATGGTCTATCAGATTATTTACCTGTTTGCTTTTACGTATAACTCTAGTCTCACACAGTTTGGGCCATTCAGGCCCATATTATTTGGGCCTTACTCTCATAAAGGATGAAACTATGCGTTTTAGCCAAACAAGTCATCATCGGCGGAGACCATGACCGTTACCAGCTTTGTACGGAACTCCGTGGTGGCTTCGACGTCATGGAACGTGCGTCTGAGAGAGCTCGCATATCAGTCATTGTTTGCTGAATCTATCTCTCTTTACCGGTCAATGCTCCGTTCAGGTTCTTCTCCCGACGCGTTCTCGTTCCCTTTCATTCTCAAGTCATGTGCTTCCCTTTCGCTGCCTGTCTCCGGCCAACAGCTCCATTGCCACGTGATCAGAGGAGGTTGCGAAGCTGAGCCCTTTGTGCTGACGGCTCTGATCTCTATGTACTGTAAATGCGGTTTGGTAGAGGATGCACGCAAGGTGTTCGAAGAAAATCCTCAGTCAAGTCAGCTTGGTGTTTGTTACAACGCTTTGATATCTGGGTATACAGCAAACTCGAAGGTCTCTGATGCTGCGTTTATGTTTCGTAGGATGAAGGAAACTGGTGTGTCTGTGGATTCAGTTACAATACTTGGGCTTGTCCCGCTTTGCACGGTTCCTGAATACCTCTGGCTTGGGAGGTCTCTTCACGCTGAATGTGTTAAAGGAGGAACATATTCTGAAGTAGCTGTTTTGAATAGTTTCATCACGATGTACATGAAATGCGGGTCGGTAGAATCGGGTAGGAGGTTGTTTGAGGAGATGCCTGTGAAGGGTTTGATTACTTGGAATGCTGTGATTTCTGGATATTCACAGAACGGGCTAGCTTACGATGTTCTAGAACTTTATGGGCAGATGAAATCATCGGGTGTTTGTCCTGATCCTTTTACATTGGTTAGTGTTCTGTCTTCTTGTGCCCATCTTGGAGCTAGGAAGATTGGTCAGGAAGTAGGGAAGTTAATAGAAGCCAATGGTTTTGTACCAAATGTGTTTTTAAGCAATGCATTGATTAGTATGTATGCTAGATGCGGTAACTTGGCAAAGGCACGTGCTGTTTTCGACATCATGCCTGTAAAAAGCTTAGTTTCATGGACCGCCATGATAGGTTGTTATGGGATGCATGGAATGGGAGAGACTGGGCTTACGCTTTTTGATGATATGATAAAAAGAGGCATAAGACCCGATGGGGCGGTGTTTGTAATGGTTTTATCTGCTTGCAGCCATTCAGGGCTAACCGATAAAGGTTTAGAGTTATTTAGAGCGATGAGGAGAGAGTATAAGCTGGAGCCTGGTCCTGAACACTACTCTTGCTTAGTTGATCTACTCGGAAGAGCTGGTCGACTAGATGATGCCATGGAGTTTATAGATTCAATGCCTGTTGAACCGGACGGTGCTGTTTGGGGTGCTCTCTTGGGTGCATGTAAAATCCATAAGAATGTGGATATGGCAGAGTTAGCATTTGCAAAGGTGATTGAGTTTGAACCCATGAACATTGGCTACTATGTATTGATGTCAAATATATATTCAGACTCAAAAAACCAAGAAGGAATCTGGAGAATTCGGGTAATGATGAGAGATAGAGCATTCAGGAAAAAGCCTGGGTATAGTTATGTGGAACACAAGGGAAGAGTTCACTTGTTTTTAGCTGGCGATAGAAGTCATGAGCAAACAGAGGAAGTCCACAGAATGCTGGATGAGTTAGAGACTTCTGTGATGGAGCTTGCGGGAAACATGGACTGTGATAGAGGCGAAGAGGTTTCGAGCACTACCCGTGAGCATAGCGAGAGGTTAGCAATAGCTTTTGGGATTCTCAACAGTATTCCAGGCACAGAAATTCTTGTGATAAAGAATTTGAGGGTTTGTGAAGATTGTCATGTGTTTATCAAGCTGGTTAGCAAGATTGTAGATCGTCGGTTTGTTGTAAGAGATGCATCTCGGTTCCACTATTTCAAAGACGGGGTCTGTTCGTGCAAAGATTACTGGTGATAGGCTATTTTTATTTTTCGCTTGCACATAATGTACTACAGAGGATGTACTTAAACCAAAACGAGAACAGAAATCTGAAGGCTACACTACCTAAAGAAGTTTGCTTTCAGAAATAAGTTCATCTTCTACAAACGGGATGGTTTTTCGGACAATCACCCTCATAGGAGCTCCTGCAAGAAGGAAAAAGATGTGATGAAGAAACTACTGAATAAAATGGACTTTTCAGTATCAAGAGCTATGTCAATTGGAAATGCACCTCCACTAGCTTGATCATCTTCAATACAGATTGCAGCATAATGAGAATCAGCCAACTCCAAAAGGGCAAATTTCCATTCTCTGTCACATTTGTTTGTCTTCTCCAGTGAACTGGCAGTCATTTCAGATGTCTAGAGAAAACAATCAAGCGTCTTAAAAATCTATCATTACTGTCTATTTATACACTATACTGCAAAGGAAATTTCAGAAAATGTACAATGCAACAACTAATCGCAATTTATAAACACGCTTTTCAATTCCAGAGTGTGATTCAAGTCTAAAACAAACCTTGCAAAGACTGTATTCTTCTTTTGTTTCAGCCTTCGACTGGATTGTGAAAGTATTAAAAGGTGCAGCAGAAAAGCCTTTTCCTAATGCTTTCACATATGCCTCCTGAATTAAAGAATCATCACAAAAGTTTTAAAACTTTTGACAAGTAACAATTTTCAGGCTCTAAGAAAATCTGTTGTTAGTAGAAACTACCTTTAGAGTCCATAACTTAATAAACTCCTTTCGCTGACTTTCAGGGTCCGGTATAGTTGACAAAAACTTCACTTCATCAGCAGAGTAAAATCTTTCTGCAAATGCTAAGACATCATGTTTAATCTTCCTTTCCTTGTCTTCAACATCGATACCAATCTACAGTCGTTGGTAAACTGCAACTGTTCAAATTTAAAACAAGAAACCACTAATTTTGGACAAAACTGTATGGCATTTGATTGAATAGAAGACTTACCGGAACATGTACAGTCACCCCACAGACAATTAATGAATCTGTGTGGGAGATATTGAAATGCAATGGCGGGATATTACAGTTCTTATAATTCTGCCAATCTACCTGTAGAAGTTTAAACAAGAACAAATGAAGTTTTGCTCATAAGCCGAGACTATGAGTTAGTCTAGTATAATCCCAAATAACTGTCTCACCTCAGGCTTCCCATATATATTCTTCTTGAACATCAAGGACCGAGGGTCGACTGCATTGTTTGTCTGATCTAGTAGTAAAACCATTACAATTAATGCTCTGCAAACTCGAGTTAAAATCTACAAAGGCCAGGTTCAGGTCACTAAGCTAAGCTATCTTCAAGAAACAAAGCAAAAGCTACAATGGCTAATGGTTGAATATAGATGGAAAGTAAAAAAGAATAAACACACATCTGGCAATGGTGGTGCGAACCAAGGTTCGAGCAAGCAAAGCATTCTTCTTAAGCGCATCGCCTCGAAGCTGAGAAACTTGATCTTTCTCAGATGGTGAGAGAAGTTGAGAGTAGTGTTTTAAAAGAGATGGACTTTTCACTTCATCTGGTCGAATATACCATAGATGAGTCTCCCTACATGTAAAAGAATGTTCATTACCAAAGAAATCAACAAAAGACTTTTTTTTGAACAAACGCAATGAGCTTACATACATTGGAGATGGAAGTTTGAGAGAAACGAGTGATGGAAATTCCATTGAGAAGCTTCGCTGCAATTGCGACATGACACTGATTCTCATCAGCTCCAAAGGAAGTCTTTATTTCTAGTGGAATCGCCGCTACTACGAATCAAACCAAATGGAAATCGAAATCGGTGACAATCAAAATCGGGAATTGATCTAGAATCTCAAGAACAAGTGATCAACTGAATTTCAGAGAAGATACCCAAATCGACGAGGGAAAGAGAGAGATAATTCACTTGCACGACGACGGCGAAGTGCCTCGCCGGTGACGGAGGGAAAGATACCAGGGAGATAGTGTAATATAACAGAACCGTACCGAACCAAATCGAAACCCATTTTTAACCAAAATGATCAAACCGAACTAAACCGAAAGTAGTTCGGTTCCAGTTCCATTCGCTTAAAATTAAGCACCGCAAATTACAATTAGCGTGGAACAAAAAAATAAGTATGAGGTTAACAATTTCTAACTTTAAAGAGTTTCATATTTTTGGGAAATTCTCATGATAAAAATTCGGTTTTATTATGAGAATTAGGTTTCAAGAAATTAGGTTTACCATGCTAATGAGGCTGAAAAATAAAAAAACATGAGAATTTAGGTTTCAAGAAAATTATTGAATTCTGAGATTCGAGAAAATCATTAACTTATGGGTTTTGAAGCCATTTACATTTTATCATGGGAGACCCATAAAATCAGTGTACTGAGTTTCTAAATTGTTTTTATTGTCAATTTGCTCAATTAATCTGTAGAAAATCTCTCTTTTAAAAAAAAAAAAAAAATTAGATGCCATATTGTGTCTATGATTGGTAAATATTTTCTTATAAACGATTTTCAACATTAGGCTTTCTTCATGTTCTTCAAGTCATATGGGCAAGCGGGTATCGTTGTGTCTGGTTTGAAGGTGACAATCAGGAATTGGTTCATCTGATTAATACGAATGGAGATCGCCTTGATCTTGGACCACTCCTCTATGACATACGAAACTGGACGAGAAAATTACCACAAGCTTCCATAGCTCACATCAACAGAGAGAAAAATGCAGCTGCAGATATTCTTTCTCGACATGCTGCAATTATGAACTCCATGTATCAAACATTTACTGTACCACCCTTTTGGTTGGTGAACCTTTTGTATCATCCGTATACTGTTTGAATGAAAGATAGATGTTTAAAAAAAAAAAAAAAACGATTTTCAACATTTATAAAACAGAACCAGACCATCCAATATAAATTCTCTAAGAAATTTCTTCTTGTTGCAATGTTGTTTTTCGTCAAAATTAATTAAACCTTAAAATCATAAGAAAACCGTTATACCGCTGATGAATGTTTACTTGTTTTTCAGATGTTTTTTGTTTTTTCTGTTTACTTTTAAAACTTTTTTTCATCATTTAAAGTTCTAAAAATTAGGAAAATTGAGTAAATTCAGTTTGGCCAATTGAAGAGGTCCGACCACGACCACCCATCCAATATCTCCGGTTTTTAAAACGTGCACTAAATTATAAAAGAAAAGACTCTCTTCTTTTGTACGAGAAAATTTGAACCTATTGAGTCACCATATGATTCCTTAAATATATAAATGGTGAAGTACCATCAGTTAGACCCACAACAATTATCTGTTAGTACGAAAACTTTCTGTTCCACACATCACACATGGTCTGTCTACCGTTCGGGATTGGAACTCTTGATACGGACAGTGAAGATTTTTTCGACCAGAGGATAAACTCATAATATTTTGGAGACGAACTGTGCATATTAGATTTAGATGATACAGTTTTTTTTTTTATTAGTGGTCTGCTTTTTCATTTCTTTTAAATATATTTGAATTGCTTCGAGATATATGTTCTCATTTCTCCATATATGTAAATTATATTCTGGTTAATAAATTAAATTTTAGAGTATATTGTTTAGCTAAAACTAGATTTGTTGAGTTCTCTTATGTAAATATTTTTGATCCCAAATGGATCCCAAACCTAACTAAGAGTCTTTAAAAAACATCAATATGTGGTTGTTAAGAAAAAAACAAAGACTGGTGTGTTCCACTTGATTAGAATTACGTGGCATGGAACATTTACATCTGGGTCAAAGCATCGTCCACATGTTTGAACACCATACATAACACATGCAATGCATTACCATTAGTTTCGTTTATGGAGAGAAAATTCGAGGTTACAATATATTTTTTAGAGGACTTTTGATGTTGCTAATAGAGATTACAAATTTCACGCGGTTTGATTAAACGAATCTTCGAAGACTAGGCGGAGATTCTTAAGCACACACTCCGTTCACATTTATTATTGGAGACTAAACTTAGTTGTCACTTTCAAGTCTTTAATTACTGGAAGATACACGTAACTGTTCACAACTAGGCAGTTTATAGTTCGTTTAAATTCGTGTTTTATGTATATTTAATTAAGAAATTATTTGACATATAAAAAATGTATCCTACTATTCTGAATATCATAGTACCAAGTTGTTTTCTCTTCGATAACCTTTTTGTCTTTTTCATTACAACATGAACACCCACAATGATAAAATCATCGTGTTTTCTGTTTTTGTCATTTTTTGGTCATACATATATGATATATATATAGACCCGTAAGATAAAACATTTTTATGTTGTTCTTTTTGTTTGTCTCGGATCTGACATCTTTAGAATTTCACATTTTAATTAAGAAAGTTCATTAAAAGTGTATTTCGAGTATTTTAAACATATGCTTATTTGTTTTAGGTTTGATATTCCTAATTTAAATTATTGTCATCGTTTTTCATTATTTAAAAGCGAGATAAATTAATTATTTTCTTATAGTTTTCATATTTTTTTAATATTAGTGAAATCCGCAACGGCTAAAAATGGAAGAAATTCTCACAAGGATAAGCCACTTTAACGTATTATTTTATTTCCTGCCTTCTTCGTTTTTTAAGATCAGCTCTGAGATCCAAATCGTAAAGTCAATAACATACCATAAATTTTATCCAAATAACATAACACAATTTGAGAATCAATATATATTCTATAGATTTTTTTTTTTTTTTTGGGTCTTAATTAAGCGCAAACGACTTTGCAACTAGTACACTTGGCATTTTTCATGTTTTTTTAATGTGGCCTTGATTGATTCCCATCTCTCTATAAATTGAGATGTGTGTCAGTGTGTGGTGCATCATCCATACACAACATTTTCAGATAATTCTCCTTAATTTTATCTTACCACTAAATCAGTACGACACTTAAAATGGATCCAAGATTCATCGACACCATTCCTTCCTTGAGGTTCTTCTCTCCAATTCATCATCACTAATGCAACACACACACACACCCACACACACACCCACACACACACCCACACACACACACACACACACACACACACATACATTTTGCTTTGATTTTAGTATTTTCAAATATATATATATGCATGCAGCTATGTATGTAACGATATATGTATATCTTGATGCAGTTATAATGATGATAAGTGTGATGATGAATATGCATTTGTGAAAGCTCTATGTATGAGTGGTGGAGATGGAACCAACAGTTACTCCGCCAATTCTCGTCTTCAGGTTCTTCAATATAAAATCTTCTTTTAATTTCCTTTTAGTTTTAACCAAAATTTATATCGATATTATATGTGGATACAAATAAAATTTTCAATCATTTAATTAGGTATGATAAAATTGTAAAATCTAAAACATGAACTAACTAATTATTACATGAATTCACATCTACTATATAAGAACAACATATTTATGTCCGTTTATATGAATTGTAAAAAATCCAAATATTATGCATGAGTAGATTGGTATTTTAATTTAGTTTAGTAATACGGGTATATGCGTTATTGTTAGTGAGTAGTAACGATTTTGCCAAACAAACAAACAAAAAGATATATAAAAAAAAAATGACGGTTCCTATTGGACTATAAGATTCTCTAACGTTTAGATCACTTATAAGTTTTATTAAAAATAAGACATGTACAAAAGTCGAATTTTAAACGCGAATATGCATCAACACTATAATATAAAAATGAATTAAAATCATGTATTGTTTGTCGTTATCTTATGGAGCTGGTCAGCTGGGTCCAGTCTAGGTTTATATGTCACGGGTCGAAAATGGAATCTGATATAACATGTTGTGCCATTTTCAATCTGCCTAACAATTTCGATTATGATTCCCTCTTTCTCTAAATATGTTGTCCTGCCTCATATTTGTAAAACTTCATCCTAAGAAATTAATACATGATTATGTCTGTGACAATTCCAAGACGCAAAAGACAGTTCCAAGTTATTAATGAATATCGATCGTCTATAATAAACAGATTATGGAGAGAATAATAGTTTTTTTTGTTTAACTAGTACTGTCTCTTATTTGGTTTTTAGAGAAAAGTTTTAACAATGGCCAAACCAGTCTTGGTAAAAACCACAGAAGAAATGGTGATGAGTTTAGACTTTCCTACGTACATCAAAGTTGCTGAATTGGGTTGTTCTTCGGGACAAAACACGTTTTTGGCTATCTCTGAGATCATCAACACCATTAGTGTGTTGTGCCAACATGTGAACAAAAACCCACCAGAAATAGATTGTTGTCTGAACGATCTCCCGGAAAACGATTTCAACACGACCTTCAAGTTCGTACCATTCTTCAACAAGGAGCTCATGATCACAAGCAAAGCCTCGTGTTTCGTCTATGGAGCTCCAGGTTCCTTCTATTCCAGACTCTTCTCTCGCAATAGCCTCCATATCATACATTCCTCTTATGCCCTCCATTGGCTCTCTAAGGTACTTATAAATTTTAAGATTTTCTTTTACTTATATGAAACAATCGAGAGATTTAAACGATGTAATATTGTGTGTTCATGATGATTAAAGGTTCCCGAAAAACTTGAGAATAATAAGGGGAATGTGTACTTAACAAGTTCAAGTCCTCAAAGTGCATACAAGGCTTACTTGAATCAATTCCAAAAAGATTTCACCATGTTTCTGAGGTTACGTTCTGAAGAAATTGTCTCTAATGGACGTATGGTTCTCACATTCATCGGAAGAAACACTCTTAACGATCCATTGTACAGAGATTGTTGTCACTTTTGGACATTGCTATCAAAATCTCTCCGCGACCTAGTCTTCGAGGTATATCAAATCAAACTATTCATTTCTTTTGATATATTTTAATTAAAACATATACCAAAAGTAGTATTTTAATTTGTTTTGACATGGTACTCATCGAGATCTTTCATATATAACAGGGTCTTGTGAGTGAATCAAAGCTGGATGCATTCAACATGCCGTTTTATGATCCGAACGTACAAGAACTCAAACAAGTGATACGAAACGAGGGTTCTTTTGAAATCAATGAATTGGAGACACATGGATTCGATCTTGGTCATAGTACCTACGAAGAAGATGACTATGAAGCAGGACACGATGAAGCCAATTGTATAAGAGCTGTTAGTGAACCAATGCTCGTTGCTCATTTTGGAGAAGACATTATCGATACCTTGTTCGATAAGTATGCACACCATGTGACTCAGCATGCCAACTGCAGGAACAAAACGACTGTCAGTCTTGTCGTTTCGTTGACTAAGAAATAATTAACTTCTGTCATGTTTATTTACTACTGTTAATTTGTTTCCTTTAATAAATTCCAAGACCTGCCACTCACTGTGGTGCTAGTATTGGGATAAAAGTGTGAATGTAAAATGTTGTGTTCTGTTCGATTTCAAGATCTTTTTTGTTAATTATTTGGTATCAATAAAATGTAAAGACTTATGGTCAATTTGGTAAATGAGTTATTTCCTGCAAAAGTTGCAGATACTGCTTTCAAGTACCAAGATAAAACGTTAGGAAGAGAAGAAACTTATCATTGACATTATATGCAGAAACTTAGCATTTCTTGATACACAAGCAACCATCATCAAAATTCAAAAGCATCGTCCATCCATCCATCCCACAGAACCCAAATCAAGAAAATCCAAAAGTTGGATCAAAAACATCAACAATTAACCTTTTTTTCATCGCCAAGCTTCGAATAGCTCAACTCTGTAATTCACACGTCCCACAATACTACTCGCTTTCGACATGGTTCTCTGCTCCTCCCAGCCATTGTGTTTCTGTCCAAAACCTCCATTGTTGCTGTTAACCAGAGAAGAATTTTTTATGTCAACAAGTTCTCGAGATTCCGCACATTCTTCTTCTTCTTCATCTGCAGACTCTTCTTTGTCTTTCATCTCCGCCTCAAAGTTGTCTAAACTTTCCTCCTTGTTAGCTTTCATGAGATGCAACAACTGTCTACTGCTGCTCTGATCACCATTATGGTCCCGAGGACTAGGATTTGAGGCTGGAACCAACTTATCTCGAGATTCTTTTCGGTCCTTAAGCGTCTTCACAATAAGTGTTTTAAGAAAGTTCATAACTTGCACAGCATACATCAGAGCCGTCAATGGATCCAACATCTGCAATTTGACTGATGTCATTTAACAAAAACAACACATAAAACTATCTTTACAGATTCATTCGAGAAACTTACCTGAGTCATGTTAGGTGCAAAAACCATTGCAATGTTTCGAGCATTCATCTTGTTAAGTTGTTCCATCTCGACAACATCAGCCATTAGATTGATAGCCCAATCTAACAAAGAAGCTTCTGTTGAAGGGAGAAGCCTTACAAGTTCCACACACTCATCTTCACTCTCAGACTCCATTACTTGCTCTGGTGAAAGTGAATCCAAAACGCCACTAGGAAGTTCCCTAAACCAAGCCTAGAGGAAAAACCAAGAAAAAACCAAATTCAAAATCAAGTAAAAGACAATCAGGGAAAAGAAACAATAAGATCCTTGTGGAGTTTATGGGTTTTTACCTTAATGAGACTTGCTAAGCAGTGGACATCGATGTTATCAGGTATAATACCTTTATTCAACTCTTCCCTTATGTACTCTTCTTGAGCATTCTCACCATTAATCCTGAAAATTCCTTCTACCTATATGGCAACAAACCAAGCAAATGAAAATTTATTTACCCATACTCATTAAACCAGATGGAATCTGTTTCAAACATGGAGATTAACACGCACCCGCAATCCGCCTCTACTGTACAAATGACTCTGCATCATCAAAAGTATAGTAGGCACGATGTTCCCTCTAGTATCATATGATAGCTGCATTGACTCGGTAGAGACTCCAAACACGGTAGCACTGCATTACAATCAAGGTCTAATCAGCTTCTGAGCTAACAAAAAAGCTAAACCAACTATCTACTCACACAAGAGCGTTTTTCATCCAATCTCATCGAAGACATGAGAATTTGATTCAAGAACATCAAATAAAAAGTTTGGGATCATTGATGTCAGGGGCTATAATTATAGAAGAAAGAGCTATAAAATGTATACACACAAGAAGTCAGAAATCTATCTATCTCACTAAAGATTCAAGAACGTCAAAAAGTTTGGATAATTGATGTCAGAGGATACACTAATTGCAGGTAAAGAGACCCTGGTTCTATTAACAGAAGTGGATTTCAATTATGGAAACTACTGAATCTTATTCAAGATTTTGTTCACTAGAACAAGAACTACGAGAACCGCAATCACCAAACAATACCAGAAAATTCAATCATCTTTTTATGCAAAACTTGATTTGGGATCAAAAAACAAACCTTGCACTAGGAGCTCGTCTCGGGACTTCAGGTTCAAACTCAACAGGCAAGCCAAGGAAGCCATGGAAACGATCAAAGGTGACATGAGCGACATGTCTAACATCTGTGGGAACACCAATCTCCATTGAACAAAGATCCTCTTCACCAACACACCCACCAATCACAGACCTTCTAATAGCAGAAACTAAAATCTCCAATGCAGAAGAAAGCTCGAATCTTTCTCTCTCTTTCTCGCTTCTCTCCTCCTCTTCTTCTTCCTCACGACGAGAAATGTTAAAAGGAGAATGTGGGTCTCTATTACCACCATCATTGCCTCCACATGATGTAGAAGAAGAAGAAGAGCTTGAAGGTGAAGGGAAATGACATGATTGGCTCGATTTAAGAACTTTAGCCATTTTCTGAAAGGATAATCCAAAAAAATCAAATCTTGGAGTGATGGGTACTCTCTCAAAACAGTGATGGAGAGGTCAAAATCAATAGGGCTATAAAGAATCAATCTTTAATAAGGAAACAATTTTCAGGGAAAAGGAGAAAACCTAGAAAAATGGATTAGTAATGGGTAATTAATGATTTTCTGTTGGGGAAACTCAAAAAGATTAAAACTTTTGGGTACTACTAAGCGACGCGTAGAGTTGAATTGAAGAAAGGATTTTAGTTGGTGGCTTGTAATTATCACTCTTTCAATCTTTCTTTCTTCTTCGTATTCTATACACAGAGAAGAGAGAGAGAGAGAGATTGGTGGAGGTAGGTGAGAGAAGATGAAGGATTAACGAGGAAGATGAAGGTCGAGCTGTCTTTTTTTTTCTTTTTGGTGTCTTTCTCTTTATGAAGAAAAGAAACATTGCAAGATTTGTATTATGTAATAACTTTTTGTTTCTATGTGTAATATCAAATCTTATAAGATATCTCAAATTTGGACTATTATCTAACTCTTGTAGTATCATTTCCCTACCGGATAAATTTACCACATTAAAAAAACGAAGAAGAAATCTACCATAAATCCATAATAAATCAGTTGAGAAAAAATAGTAAAAGATTATCTACAATAAGACTAGTCTCATGTACTTGGTAAACCTAATAACAACCATTGTTCCTAGAAGTAGTATCACAAATATGGCATTTAATTCACGCTACTGACTTGTTACATTTACTTTCCAATTGAGATTTGATATTGTGACAAACAAAAATGAGATCGATATTGTATAATCAAATTTCGAAGAAATAAAAAATGGATGGTGAAGTTCATTGAATATCTTGCATCCAAAGTGAATCTATTGCAATGGTCAACGAGGATAAAAGCATATGAAGATAGTTTACGTTTTCATGGAATCCTTTTTTACCGTTAGAATTTAGAAGGAAGCAATCTCTCCATAGCCTCTTCCCCAAAACTAAAGAGAGGAATAAAAGAAAAAGGAAATAAGTGAAGTTGGTGAAAGTTCTTTTTGGATTAGTTGTAAATCCATGTGTTTAAAATTCTTATACTTTGTTATATTAGTTGGAGATCCCCGACCACGAAATGTTAAAAAACACATCAAATTGTATAAGGGTTTCATTGTATAATGACTTGGACAAAAACAATTTAGAATTTCCAGACAAAAACACAAATACCTACTTTTCTACCAAAAAAGGTATTTCAACTCAATAGTTTTGTGGTAGATATGAATGTAAGTTGGAACAAAACCACCCCACGAGTGTGCCGACGACGACCCACGTGCCGAACATTCCGTTGTGGTTACATGTTGTTGTTGTTGCTGTTTTATTGGAGATAGATAGATATTGTACCATTTCATTCATTTTGCATCACAAACAATACTTCGTGGGGCACATGCTTCCTTGATTCCTTCCACTTTCACTTGTCTTTTTCTTTCTTTTGCTTCTTCTTCTTATTCATATAACATCTTTATAAATAACATACGAGCCAAACGGCATAATTATGATCTCACTTTAGGAGAAAAGTGGGAAATAAAAATGTTAGGATAGTAGTAAAGCAAGAGACACGACCGTTGGAGCTCATTTACCCAAAATTTAGATCCCCACAACAAAAGTATTTTGCTTTGTGTAAAGGTTTGGACCATTCAAAATTAGCTTTTTTCATGACTGCTTTGATTTCTCTAACTTGAAATGATTATAGAACTTAGAGACCTGACTAACACATACGATAAGAGATCATAATTCATAACAGTAAGACAGTATCCAGATTGGCTTGTATCCATATAATCAAGGGTTCAGAAAAATCTATAGAGCATAAGCAGGACCGAACACGGGTAAAATGACATAGAGTAAAGGAGCCAAAGAAGAGGATTTCATCAAATAAAACTCATGTTCGATTCATACCGGTACAGAGAGCAAACTAAGTCAAACTCATATTACAGAAGATGATTACTTGAGGGTGCAAAGTCATAAGCTAAGATCTTCCAACTGGTTCGAGAGCTTCAACGGTGACAATGCTGTTTCCTCTTATAACCTGCATCCAGGAAATGTGGAATGTTTAAACAAAACAAAATGATAGATGAACACAGCAGAAGATTCTGTGGGTTTCAAAAGAGAGAAAGAGAGAAACGTACCACCATCCCAATGTCAGTTTTGTCATCACCATTGACTTCAACAGTGTTATCCACAACAAGATTCATGAACTGATCAAACCCACGGAGAGTTCCAACAACCATTCTGTTGGCATTAAGCTTAACTACATTGGGGCCAACAAAAAAAGATGACAATAACTTCTCATGACCATACCAAGTTACAAAAAACTTAGTCAAAAATTTTAAATGAACGAGAAACAAAACCTAAGAATCAATACAACTTTGACTAAACAAATACAAACAAATAGTAATGAGACAGCTATGATACATTATTGGCAAATTTTTATGTGACATTATACTACGCATTGTATCAATATCTTGGAATTGTAAACACAAGTTTAATTAGTACACAAAATCACCCAATCTCAAGTAATATATGACTTGAAATGGCATTAATATCGCACTATATATCGCTCTTAAGTTGAGCAATCGGTTCAAAAGTTGCAAGCAGTTCTCACATGAGCAAGAGATTTGGGTGAAACTTAAAAACGCTTTAAAATTGAAAAAGTGGAAAAAGAGATCGAGCTTACTTTGGAGTTTCTTGTCCATGTACCTGAATCACATGAAACGAACGAAGAAGAAAATCAGAAATACGAAGAAGTAGAAGCTCGAGGAAACCAAAACGGATACAGAGAAAATCAAACAAGTGGCGAAGAGAACTTACTTCTTGAGATCCGGAGGCTGACCTGATCGACTCATACTTGCACAATCGGAGAAGACGAAAAAATGAGAGCTTAGGGTTTTTTCCTTCTCAGCTATGAACACTTTACTCGATTGATTCCGGAAAACCGACGTCGGTCCTGGAAATCTAGAGGGGTTAAAGCGGCGTCGTTTCAAAGCCCAATGTTAATGGGTTTGACCGCAAAAAAGAAAGCCTTTATAACTGCAATTGATTTAAAAAATAAAAAGGAACGGGGTGTTCCGAGAATCGAACTCGGGACCTCTCGCACCCGAAGCGAGAATCATACCACTAGACCAAACACCCGGTAATGATAACGAGAGATATTTACTGTATTATATTACTGGTTAGTTTTAACAATAATTTATTAATTTATCATGGAGTTCTTCGATTACCCCCACTCAAAATCATCTGAAATACTGAAGAAATACATGTATTCAAAAGCCATAAAACTACTTTCATCAATTAATTACCGAGCCCTTCTCCTCACTAGGAAATATTGCATATGCTTTACCTTCTCATAAAGGTAGCAAGAGACTAGAACATAACAAAGCATTCTTTAAACATCCATGTTGTTTCTGTCTTCGCTAACAACCAAGAGCAACAAAAAATGAGGATATGATGAGAATCAACTCATTGCTTGAGGTTATAAGGAGGAGGCCTAATGCTTATAATATTAATATGTGCGAAGAGCTCAGGGCTAAGAAGAAATAGATGATGATGGTTATAATCTGCTTATAAATTTATTTCTTCCAAGAGATAGCATTAATCACATACTAAGCTATATCGTTAACATTCTAACCAAAAGTTCCAAAAGCCAGACTTGCGATATTTGATGTTTCACAAACAATCTCTCCTGTAGTAATTACCACATTCCCCATATCAATCAACTCTTTTCTTTCTAAGAAATTGATTGTTTTTGTGGTTGAATATTTGGGCCTCAAAAACAGATTAGGACAAGTTGACAACAACAATCTGGGTTGGTTTTGTTGCAGAACCATCACGACAAAAATTACTATAACTGCATAAAGACTTTCTAATCTAATTCTAAAGAGCACACATGGCGTTAATTATCTCGACGAAGTTTCCATTTGAATAACTAAAGTTAAAAGAGAGAAAGGAGAATATATCAAATAAGCCGATTAACAGTAACACAACACGATCAGTCACTATCATTACCAAAACTCCAAATACAATATTGAAGAAAAACACAGCTTATAACGTTCTTGAAGCAACTCAAAAGATAAATTGGAGAGAGACAAAACTAACTTCGAAGTGTACCCAAGAAAATACATAGGTATTCAAGGGGACATTTGGACGATGATGAGCCTCATCGTGCAATCACAGTCTTCTTCCTCTTCGTCCACCCTTTCGGCGTGTACTGTCTGTGGGAATCGGAGTCACATCCTCTGCAAATGCATTCAAGAGAGACTCAGTTTGCAATGAGCAATCAAAAGTAACAATTTATCCATGAAAAACAAGACGAAGTGAGAGATATTCAGTTTCTGAATTTACCTATACGACCAATCTTCATGCCAGAACGAGCAAGGGCTCTGAGAGCAGACTGAGCACCAGGACCTGGGGTCTTGGTTTTGTTTCCTCCAGTAGCACGAAGCTTCACGTGAATGGCTGTGATGCCAAGCTCCTGTTACATATGAGCATTAGACATTATCATCCAGAAGCTCAATTCATTATAAGAAGAAAAAAAAGTATGAATATCAAATCATTTCTGACCTTGCATCTTTGAGCAACATCTTGAGCTGCAAGCATAGCAGCATAAGGAGAGGACTCATCACGATCAGCCTTAACCTTCATGCCACCTGCAAAATGTTCATTTGAATATTCAAGTCACATAATCATTAAATTACACAGAATATAAATGAATTCTATAGACAAATTGTGAGAGATTAGAGTCTGCACTAACATAAACACAAATAAAAGACTACAAGGGAACATACCGGTGATACGAACAAGAGTTTCTCTGCCAGAGAGATCAGTCACATGCTGCAAAAATATTGAAAGCAAAGTCATAAATCCACTACACAGACGGTTAAATTATACAAACTCTAAGCATCAAAGAGAAAAGCTTACAATGAAAGTGTCATTGAAAGATGCAAAGATGTGAACAACACCGAAAACTTGCTCTCCCTCACGAACAGTAGGTCCAAGAGTCACATTCTCAACCTTTGGCTCTTTAGTCTTTCTCTTCGACGACTATAAACAGAGACCAAAACACATTTGATAAACAAATTGTTCACTGGTCTAACCTTAATTACTAGTACACATACCATCAGCTCAATATCAATACATAGCGATTAATTAGACAACCCCTAAACTATGAATCAGAAACTTTTTAATTGATTCATCAATCACAGAACCTAGAAGTTGAACATCAGAAACTAGCAGGACTTAGTGAAACCTCAGATCTCAATTCCATACAGACTAACAAAAACCAAATGATCTGGAACAGACAAGTGTTGGAGAGAAAGAGCTTACCATCTTCAAAAATGGATCAGAGAAGAGAAGAGACGAGACGATAGTGTTTTTAGATGCTCAATGGAAAACAAGGGGAACTCTAACGGCGCTACAAATCTACTTTATATATTAGGGTTATCTCGGAGTGCCTCTACGAAATGACTTAAATACCCTCATCACTTTATTTACCCGCTACGTCGTCGTTTTGGTTATTATTATTATTATGTGAAATCGTTAAAATGACTTAAATACCCTCATCAGTCATCACTTTAGTCTTAATTTTCTTGATCTTAGTTTAGTAAACAGCAAAATGTTGATACATATTTTCTTTTGACAAGTAGCAATTCACAAGTTTCTTATAAGAAATTATTGTTTTAACAAGAGTAAATTCGCAATGTTAACAACTTAACATTGATCGTAAACAAAAAAAAAAAAAACATTGATCGTACTTCGTCTTATGAAGACCAAAAAAGTTTTCAAGTAATAACACCACGGATAAGAATATCATCAAACTATCAATTTAATTCGAATTTGACTCCACCACAGATAAGAATATTATGGGAATAAGGACCAAAACGATTCTGATATAGAACATAAGAAGGGTTTTCATTATAATACTTTTGAATTCATACGCAAACATCATTTCTCAACAAGAACCAAAACCTTTACATATAAAAGATAAAAGATAGAGAATCTAAAATGCAGAGTTTGCACGACGACTTCTTTCAAGACTTGTTCATGGAGCAGACGACAAAAGCGATTTGGCTGGTGAAATCAAAGCAACTGCACCTCTTCCAAGTTTCGAATACTTCTTAAACACACCGCGTAGCTTGCTCTCCCCCGCTTTCGAGTGAATGAAAGCCAAAAGCTTTGAGCAATCCCTGAAAGTTAGACACACATACATAAATCAGTATATAAGCATAGTGATCACGCTTGTGCTAGAATAAATAGAGAGCAAGAAGAAGACTAACATGAGCTGAGATTCGGAATAGCCTGTGTGGAATTTCAGTGTATCAGTCCACGTAGGAGTCTTGTTCAAGCAACATCTGGCTGTGTATACTGCTGATGCAGCCAACATGGAAGGACAGAACATCAAACTGTCGTGGTGCATTAAACCCAACTCAGCTAGAAAGTGAACCATGCTCTCCACTTTCGGGTCAGAACCCGAGGCTTTAATGAACCTCACAAGAAACACATACTGTGTTGGAACTGTCAAGTACCATTCAAGATTTCCCAAAATGGTTTTCTCCATCACTAGAATCTGTTTGCTGTTGTAGGAGTTATCTGTCACATATACCAAATCATTGACCTGAGGAGGCCAGATTTCTTCGTATTTCGAAGCTATAAGCAAAGCACTAACACCTACAAGCTGTAGTTCTCTTCTAGGCACAGTCTTCAGAGATAGAAAACGATCAATTATGTTGACAGTGAGGTAAAGAGTCTCAGGGGAGAGATCAAACTTGATATGAACTTCTACAAGCCAATCTATAAGGATTGATCTCATCTTCTCATTAATCTCTGGTTGTGTATGCATATACATCTGAGGTTTGCTCTCATTCTGCAACAAAGAACGAAACAACAAACTTAAAAGAAACATTCACATAACTTATCCATAAGCATAACAAAAGAAGGTTTCACTATAAGTACCTCAACTTCTTTGTAGAAAGTGTACATATCCTCAACATATTCCACTGCAGCAAGATCATTATCTTTGTCCACATAATCGATATCCAAAGCCTTAGAAGCAGCCTAATTATGTATACAAAACAACCAAATAATCAGAACATTGCACATTACTTATGGTTTCAATATCGAACAAAGAATCAAAGAATCTACCTTGCTACGAGCATCAAGAACTGAAGAGTATGTCACTTTCTTATTAGACGACACATTCTCTTTAGCAACCTCGTTAGTATCAGGACTTATCACAATCACTTCATGAGGTTTTGATGGCTCCCGCTTATCACCTCGTGCTTTCTTTTGAACCGCTCTTACAGCTTCTTGTTTCTTGGTAGCTCCATCAAGAATTGGATCCTTGTCTACATTGATTATCTGTTTCGCAAGGATAGAAAAAAAGTAAGATTCAAGAATCATGTGGATTAAAAGATTTGTCAAAAGAAAGAAAAAAGAAACCTTTTTGTTAGCGGCGGCTGCAACTTGTGCGCTTTCTAGCAACTGAGCACGAAAGTTACGAGTAATTGGGCGATTAATCTTTCCTCCTTCGACTCCAAGAACAGAATCGATGTTTCCAATGTCGCCAAGAGCACGACGATTATTTGCTTGATCACCTTATTATTGTACAGAAAGCAACCCATCAACAACAAAATTATGTATCTTCGATTATAAAAAACAGAGATTAATCAACGGAATAAACCTCTAAGTGGTTGAGGACGAATAACAGGTCTCGTCGCCATGATCTTTTCTCTTTCGGTGTTTTCAGACTCTCCTTCTTTTCTTTTCTTGTTTATGGAAAGAATCTGAAAGTATGAGAAGAAGGATTACTGAGAGAGAGGAGAGGAGAGGAGGAGCCATTAAAAGCAAAATTGCAACGGTCAAATTATTAGCGGGATTAGATTTTTAGCCGTTGGATGATGAACTTCAAATCTAACGGTGGATGAGGATGTTTTGTTTTGTAGGATGATGAAGTTCACGCCTCTCACACTTTTAATTTCCTTTAATGACCAGTTTGCGAGTTTTAAATGCAATTAAATGAAAATTCTATTCTAAAATTGGTATTCTTTTCTTTTGGATGGGGTCAAAGCAACGTTTAAATATTGTTATCACCTTATTATTGAAGAAACAAGGAATGGATTCAGAGACCTTACACAGATCATGTAAACGATTAAAGATTGGTCGTTCGTTTTTTGTTTGAATTTATATTTTATTTGAGAACATTTTATTTGAAGATAAGACAAAAAAAAAAATTACGATTGATAGCATTGGTAATGGTAGGTAATACAATTGAGTGTTGGGCCAAATGTAACATTAAAGAACCTAGTGTTGTAACTTTTGGTTACTAACTTCCGAAACATTTAGTGGATTGGGCCAAATGTCATTACATACATTTGTTGAATTCTACCTCTCTGTGGAAGTTTCACTGGAAATAAATTAATCTCAGTTTCTGGATAGAGAATAATAATATAAATTTTTGGTAAGTACTGATTAACATTTTGTTACCTGAACCTATGCTTAATATCGTTTAGAGGGTGGATAATTATCATTTGTGATCAAAGTAACCTTTACATTTGATTATTCTTCGGAGAATAAGTTTATCTTCCTTATGAACCTTTTACAAGAAAGGTAAAAGCATTCACTTTGTTGTTTGTTAAATATTTTTAAACTGATACGAGGAGCCAAAAAAATGAAACATGGTGCTTTTCTTTTCCTTTTTATCCAATGAACATGAGTCTTAATTGTATCACAAGGCCACAAACAATGTATGATAACAAATTTACCTAGTGTTTGTTAATCTGATCAATCTTGTGGATTACATATCAATTGGCTTTAGCTTTACAGTTGCAAGTCACATCATTTCAAAACGGATAAGCATAACAGGTCAACAACTAAAATGTATTTCATTTCGCAAACATTAAAAAACAACCGAATTAATACCACGTCAAGGAGAATATAGGATTGAACATGGGAGAAATGGAAGATGTCAGATAAAAATTGCCAAATAGAGTTTTTGAGCTCATGATGAAACCATTCGCACATCTAATTGAATCATCATCCATTATCCATTCCTCCAATAGAAAACAAAAAAATAAAAAAAGTTGACGGCGAAGTCAGATTATTATGCCAAATAAAGTTTTGAGCTCAAAATGGAGAATTTCTCCATTCGCACATCTAATTGAATCGTCATCCGTCGCCGTCTTTGAGTTGAAAGACACAAACAAATCAATTAAAAAAACGATCGTGCAATCTAAAAACAATTCCTGAGATTATAAGAAACGAGAAACTTTCAGCATAAGACCAATAGAAAGAAAGAAAAAAAACCCTAAATTGCTGAACATCGATTAAACCCTAGTAGACGACGGCTAAGTCCTTCAGAGTTGATTCGCGAGGATATATATATGTAGGGGGGACTCCCATAAGTTACGTTTCTACCCTTATAAGGCTTATTGTTATTAGTCCATGGGCTTACCTGAAGGGCCTTCTGACATTATTTCATGACCACGTCGGACAAGTAAACAAAGGTTTTGTTCACAAGTGTTATTGTTGACCATTAATCGTTGCCTCATCTGGTTTAGTCTCTGGATAAAACATGATGATCAAAACCCTTAACCAATATTGCAAAACCAATTGACAAAGAGATTCCTATTAACCGATGAGGCGATGAAGATTATGATGATGGTCTTTTAGAAAACCACCTCAGAGCAGGTCCAAGGTTAAAGATATTTTATCTTTCACGATTTCCTCTCAATGCCACTCGGCAATGAAGGGAACATTCACAATGATGAATAAAACTTTTTCCTGAACATGTGAAACAACATATTTTGGGACTTTGTTTCAAGAAAAGATTCACAATGATGAATAAACTTTTTACAGACACTTGAGTGATACACAGCTTTACAAAAAGAGGGAGAAGAACACAGCTCTCTTAACCACTTTTTTCTCGGGTTCATAATAACCTCATCTTCTTCACACTCTCTCTTTCTCATACGAATTATCCAATTAGTAAATCACGAGCGCATCTACGTTACCAGTCATCATCGAGACTAGCCCGGTGGAAACACATGACAGTGCAAATGAATATGAAGAACGATGTGAATTCTATGAGCATTGCACCGGTCTCGATCATATGTGCGTGCCTTAGGATGATTGGGATAGCGAGGCTTCCCACGGTCGATGCTCCGGTCAAGAACTTAGCTGCATCTATCCACCTGCGTTTTAAGGACGAGCAAACTTGGTAATCGATGTTTCATGTACTACAAAGTAGCAGTAAAAGTCTCTAGTAACTAACCCTCCACCGTCCCGACTAGTAAGGAATTGAGTTGAGCCTCCTCCAAAGAACATACAAGGCATAGGCACCACAACATACATGAGTGCTGATAGCATTGGCCACCAATTACCATATATCGCACATGCCTGACAATTATTAGCAAATAGTTATCGCTATATCTCGTAGATGACTATAACATGTGTTACTCATTACATGGTACAACCAGGGAATCACAAAATATGAGAAATGTATCAGATAATGTAAATCTGATTATCCTTTCTTCTTCTAGTTGAATTGCAACAAAAACAAAGTAGACCTATATAAGGACCTGATCTAAGTTGAAGAGAGAAGATGCTTAAGTTTAGAGAAATTGCTGAGAAAGTCTAAGTCATTTAGTAAGTTAGACATTGACTTAGCACTTGTATAGCCTAAGTGAGCACCTGCATCGACGACAAGGATAAGGATTCTAAGTTTAATGGTTTTTGTGGTCCAGAGCTCATTAATCAACACTCGAGAGAGGAAAGCTGAAAACTTCAAATATGAAAGAAGGTTTGAATGTAACAGATTCACAAAGTATCTCTCCCAATAAAATGGGCCAAGAATCACAGCTCTGTTTGGTACACCAACAAGGGGACAAAAGGAGACCAGTATACTCAACTCACAACCTAACAGTAGAACTAGCTAACCATTTTCAATAAAGTGTTACAAGAAACGCACAAGTAGCTAAACAAACATGGGTCTCTTGGAGAACTTAAAGCTACTTAAGTCAGGATCTTATCATCAGTCTTCAAGGGTAATTCAAAAAAACGTACCAGAATCTGTAGGAGGATACTAGATGAAAACATGAAAGCAAGTCCAGCAAGTCTGTGCAATCAAGAACATTATAATCTATAAGATCACGAGGATACAGTGGCAGATGTAACAACAAATGTAATTAAAGAGCTTCAAGTCTTAGAACTTACACTGTACCAAGACACAAATTTGAGCATTCCAGGAGAAACCCACATCGGAAAATTAGAAGAAAATAGCAAACAATGAGTGAGTTTGAACATTTCAAAACCCAGAAACCCTAGCTCACAAAAATTAACAATCCATGAAGCACAAAATAACTGTAATCTGAGTATTTCAAGATTTCAATTAAAAAGGTACGGGATAGTATAAATATGGAGCAAGGGAGAGAAGTAGAAGAGGGAAATCGACATGAATCTGATTCGATTTCGTCGAGAAATGATACAGTTGGAAGAGAGGTGATTGATTACCTTCGATGGTCATCGCCATGTCGGCGAATGGAAAAGTTCTGATTACCGGAGATCGAGTCTTGATTGATCGCCGGTGACTGTAAAAGAGAAGGTGATGATTTCGTTGTTGCCCTTAGAGAGAGAGAGAGAGAGAGAAGGAGAGAGGAGTCGCGATTTGGGAGCAAAATTAAAAATCAATGTCGCCACTAAACCCAAAAGTCTGACCGGACAAAATTGGTTTTCTCTCTCGTTAATAGATTTTGGTTTGATTTGGTTTGATTTGGTTTTGTTCATTTTGGTTATAGTGGTATTTTATCCTTTTGGTTTGGTTTGACATTTCAGAATTTTTTTAAAAATATGAACAAAATTCAGGTAACATGACAAATAACTCTTTCGTTTCCCATAAAAAATAATAAAAACGTTTTGCACCAAGTAAGGTGTTATATAAAAGGGCTCTTTCGTTTTGGAGTAAAAGTCTCTCTAAGTGGCTGTAAATTTAAGTAGCCTATTCAAATTATTTGACAATGCAAAATAAATTGCATAGTCCAATTATTACAAAATGGATTGACATCAATGCAACCACAGCCAGTAGTTGAGAGCTCGGGTGAGACAAGTAAGTGATCGTTAAATCAAAAAGAGGCAGGAGCAGGAGAAGAACACAAGTGGAGGCCGACATGATCCTAACTATTGGACGCCCACTTGTGAAACTTACTTGATCCATTTCCCACTTGTTTGCACACTAGAGTGGTTTTGACAATTTGGACTGTTTTAATCGCAATTACTTTAAATTAGTAGAAAACTTAACAAAATGACAATGATTTTTTTGGTCCAAGTAAACAAAATGGTTAAACAAATATTTTTGGATATTTTTACTTTATGTGATTAAAACATTGTGAATAATGTTGTATTAAACCCGTATAAATTTGTGAGGCGAAGTTAGAGATCAATTCCTACCACCTATATATACTGATCTTTAATTTGACTATTGTAAACGCTTTTAAATTGCAAACATGCCCAATTATCTATAAGCTTGGGATATTTGTATTATGTGTTTTGGACCCAAAATCTTAAACCAACCATTTATTAAAACTAGTATTTTTGAGTGTCTACCTTATCCCGGTTTGATCCACCACAAAATTTGTTTTTCTTTTTACTAATATTTTCAAAGTCAACTTGTTCTACATGTGAGCAAAAATTATAAAGATGTCAATAATTACATACCTAAGGTTTTTTTTTTTTTTTGGGACACGTATAGAGGTTTCTTATAATTAATTCCAGACTTTCTAGTTTCTAGCTAGTCCATGAAAAATCAAATCTCCTAAATGGCTGGACATAGATTCGTATTATTATTTACTAGGTGAATACCCGCACTACGTGCGGGTTTTTTTATTTTACAACTTTACAAATTAATTTATATAAAAAAATTTGTATTAAAAATTGCCAATTATTTGTAAAATGTAAATGTAATTTTCATTTATCAAATAAAAAAATACAACCAGTTTCTGTTCTTAAAGAGTCGAGCTATATTGATGCATTTGAAAAACCATAACTTTGAAGATTTGTTTATTCAATATTTATATGCTTTTTGTGTTTTTTTAATTATTGTATGCTTTAGAAAGAAGAAAAAAAACGTAGCAACTTTATTCAATGTTGATGTTCTTGGATAGCTTACTTTTGTTAGTGTCACAATCTAATATCAGTAGTAATAAGGCTATAAAAAACACCTTGCAAGTTGTTTTATCCTCTAGCTTATAAATCTCGAGGAGTTTAGATATAATAAATCTCAATGTACATTTTTTCCAGGAGTATAAAGGTTGAAGGTAATTGTTACTACATACAGTATAATGAGTTCTTTCAATACATTAGGAATTGTTATGATAGAATAGAATTAACTCGGTAGAATCATTAAAAGCATACCTACCTAAAAAAAATTCCTTCAACTCTTATGTTCAGATTTCGAGAACAAGCATACGATCAAAACAAGTGTCTCAATGATAAACTGTACCACAACAAAATAAATCCCATCCAATACTATAAACTTTTTAACATTTCCCATTTCCATCACTACCCCAACCTTCTTCCAGAAAGGTCTTAGAACGAAAATTGGTTTAGACTTTTTTTTTCTTATGTCCATGACTATTGATATAAATACATACAAATCAAGCATAAAGTGTTAGGAGAGCTCAAAAATTTGTAGAGACCTTTTCTTATGTGTCGGATGAGGTCTTCCATCATCTAATGCAACCACATTTATCTTTTATTGTCCCATCATGTTGTTTTTTTAATCATCTTCTACCAGTCTAAAAATTTATCAAGACAATGGAAAGTCATTGTCAAATAATATAAAGTTCTTATTTTTCCAGAGAAAGATAAGACAAGTTTTCTACCAAGTTATTTTCTTATAATCACTTTTTACCTTAGAGAAACTTAATCTGAAACCCAGTCCTGAATGTAGTAAAGGATTGAAATCAAGTATGGATACTATCTTAAACCTGAAAACCAACTGGAGACTTATTAAGATAAACATAAAGATGTAAATGAATTTTAAGGAAGGAAAAAAACCATACCTGGTTTCAAAACCTGATACATCTCCCTCATGACTTTATGTCTTTCAACAACGTTTCTAAGACCATTGACCCATTGTTATAGCATTGAATTTACCGTCATCAAATGGCAAATCGAGAGCATCACATTCAATCCAAATATCAACACATTAAAAACGTATTGGTTTTGATACTTTTCCCAAGAGATGTTAGAACACAAACAAGAAGCATGATCTATATACTTGTAACAAGACCTTGCTCGAAGTATTTGTGTAGATGATGTAACAGCTAGATTATGTCTAAATCGAGAACGCAATCCTCTGTCAAATGGATAAGTTCATGAAAGAAAAGAAAGGACTTGTAAACCGCATCGAAAAACTCTTAAGCCAATAAAACTTAAAGATTGATGAAAGTTTAATATTCACCAAAACCATAGAACGTTACCATTTTAGAAACTGATCTCATTGTTTCTATATGGAGATTAGTTGTTGTACGACCCTCTGTTTTTCATCTTAGAAACATCGCCACCATTCCTGTTTGCTCTTCTTCGACATTACGTATATCAACTTTGAAGATGCTCCGTTCTTGGCAATATACCATCGTTGTTTCTGCATCGACATGAACGCCTGTAGAACAGTAGAAGAATCATGGTAACATAAGAATGAAGGAACCATATCTCATCACAAAACCTATATGGTATAACAATATCTATAAATCCACCAAATACAACTAATCTTTTTAGTAACCAGCTGAGATTCTAAATTTGTATCTTAAATATTCAGTTTTTTTACCCCAAAATTCTCATATTTATGCAGAGACGAGTATAGAAGTGAGAAAAATATAAATCTGCAGGCATGGTACATTGTTTTCATTGGAAGATTAGTCATCACAATCACAGTATATGAATTTATCATAATCCATGTTTTTACAGACCTACAAGATTAAACTCCCAAAAGAGTAGAAGCAAAACCTAAAGTCCTTCACGTACTTGTTAAATGTCTTGACCAATGATTCTGTAACTGATCGGCGAGATTACTCTTTGGGAGCCATTTTTTTGTGAGGATTCTTGGTTTTCAGAGGAAAGTTTGTTATAAGAAGAGAGAGAGAGATTCAGAGAATCTCATTGACTTCATGGTGGTTGCTAGAAAGTCGAAGGGTTTATATGGTGACATTAGGTTGATAGAAGTTTTCGATTCGTATTCATGGAAGTAAAACAGTAAACGTTTAATTTTTTTTTTTTGGTAGGAACAGTAAACGTTTAATTAGGTGAACGGATTTAGGGATTTTTAATTGCATATATTTTTTTCTTTTTTCTTTTTTTAAATAGATAATTAAGAGTGCCATGTGTCATTCTGTAGCGTGCTGACGTGTCCATCATATGGAGAGTGTTCACCTCCTTTCATATATATGATTGTATGAAAGAAACAAATCAAACAATTAATTTTCTTGCATATCTAGAGGTATTATTTTCTTTATTACATGACTAATTTCCTTTTTTCCTTTTTCATTTTTGTTTGTCAGCAGACTGATTTCCTTTTTTCTTTTAGCAAAATTATTACTGTTGTCTATTTTGTCCGTTTTTCAATACAATAACATTTTTGTTAAAAAAAATAACAATCCAGCCGTGAAAAAAAAAAAAAAAAAAAGCCAGGAGAGCTAATCTGAGTCGTTGCCTCTGTCCACTGGCTCGGACCGACCTCGTACCTCTTCGTTTGTCCCCTGAGCATATAATAGAGGCTACGCCGTCGCCGCCACCTCCGCTCCATCCATTCACGGCCAAGCGACAACTCCACCGCTTGGGTTTGGGTTTGGCATGTGAGATATAAAATCCCTAAGTTGTTACTGATCAACGCTTTCTGTTTTCGGAGGAGCCAGCCGGAGATCAGCTTCTCCTATGTTAGCTCACAGATATCATTCTTCTTTAGCCACTCGATTTCTTCTCTAGCGGCTCCAGAAGTTTCGTCAAGTTCTTCTTTTCAGGTTCTGTGGTAAGTAATCGTTAAACCCTAATTATCGGACCTTGGTGTTTAATCTGTTCGTGTCTACTCTCAATTACATATACATTCTTCTGCTTAATCGTTTCTTTTAGTTTCATTTCTAGGGTTTATATCCCAAAGGTGTGATCTTTTTGCATATTTGTGTGATCTTAGGTTTATTTTTTGGCATTGAATTGTTATGAGTTGGGGTTGATACTGTTAAAGATCAAATCTTTGGCTTCGTTGGAGCTTCATATTTATGTCAACAATGCAAGATTTAATTTTTTTCCACCTTTGATGGATTCTTTTTTATTGTTTCTTTGAAGGTGAACAAGATTTTAGGTACAAAAAAATGGTGGGACTGGAAGATGATACTGAGAGAGAGAGGTCACCAGTAGTAGAGAATGGTTTTTCCAATGGATCTCGGTCTTCTCCTAGCGCAGGTGTTTTGTCTCCATCACGAAAGGCCATTCAGGGGAACGATACTCTTTCTTATGCCAATATCCTTCGGGCAAGAAACAAGTTTGCTGATGCGCTTGCTCTCTATGAGGCTATGCTGGAGAAAGATAGCAAGAAT